CGCACGAGCTATCAACCCCTCTCTCTCAAATTACCGGTTAATCGCGCACGATTAACATGAGGAACGGTGGTTCAACCCGCCGGCAATTAGATTCCTTCGCTGATTCCGGATGGGACCGTCTCACAAATCTCGAGATCAGCGTAGATGGACGACACTCGGACACCCGCATACTCATCTATGTCCTAATCTCTCTTCACTGAAGATGACTGGATTATTTAACCTGAACCAGACTGCAGAACCAGTCACGCACACCAACCTTCAATCCTGGCACTATCTTGGACCGTAATTCGAACTTGACCGGAGATCCTGGCCTATTCCAGGTTATGACACTCCCCAAGTTTTCGCACGCTTGGAGTTAGCCAGGGCCGTGGCCGCATGAATCCTTCATGGAATTCTTGACGCGGTCAAAATGTTGCTTGGAGAGGCTGGTTTTCGACACAGAAGGGAGCACCCTCTGATACTCAAGTAACTATCAACCAAATATCATCATTTCATGGAATAGGTACCAACATCTATTTAAGCAAAAAAAAAGTCGCTTATTGTCCATCTACATCAAAACTGCATCGGGATCTTCAATGATTTCGAAAGAAGGGAAAAGGGTAGCATATTCTGCATGTTCCTCTTCTGTTGTCCACACCTCACTAAACATGTCCTTTCGATGTCGAACTTTAAAGACATTCAATTTTTGTCATAGTCTGCGCGTTGATCAGAATCATCAGATACATAATGCAAATCACACTCACCGTATCCTTCATATCCAACACTAGCACTGTCGTCTCATTCAAGGCCAGCATCTCTTCAGCGTCCTCCTTCATGGCACATAATCATCTAGCACGACGAACTTGACAGTGTTACTGATCCTGTAGGTTGCTGCATCGAAAGCATATATCCTGTCCATCTCGTAAATTACATACCTGCATTCCTGTTGTAAGACACCCACTCTTCGTCCCCGCAATACCCCGCTTTTACACTCCTTGTCAGAACACAGTAACAATGTCTACGATTACATCCGTTTCGACAGCCAACGCGCCCTCAGCCATTGGGCCCTATCATATTCCCAAGCCATCAAAGCTGGCGAATTCGTGTTTGTTTCGGGTTGTGTCCACCTCGTACCTTCCACAATGCAGGTGGTATCGAGGAGCAGACCAAGCAAGCCCTCACACATTTCAAAGCTGTTCTTGAAGCCAGCTCTAGTTCAGTTGTCAAAGTTGTCAAGACTACGGTGTATCACTTTTTCATTGTGTTCCATCTCCCCTCCCAATTTGAGTGAGTGATTCACTGATATCGCGGCGTCTTCCGCATCATGAAGCTCTGTAAGATAATCACGAAGTATTCTTTCCTCTATAAGACCATCGATGACAATGTAATCCCCGTAGTTGATTCTTGTTATTCTGAACTATATGACTGCATGTGCTCACTGTTAGCTGAAAACTTGAAGCACTGGACTTGCAACGAGCATGTCCGAGAATTGGGGATGAAGACAACGTAGTCTAGGATGATGCATGAATTGGATGAATAACTGACGCATATCTTGAGCAGTACCGCGCTGAAATTCTCAATCATATCAATTTATAAGTAAATGTACTAATCTCGCTTCTCGCTACAGCAGATATACCTTCCTGACCTTCGTTGCGCAAACGCCGAACCACATCGCAGCATTCTAGTCATATCCCACCTTTCAGATTTTCCTGAATGATTGGCGCAATCTAAAAGAAAAGAATGCAGACACGGTCATGAATAGAACTGCAGAAAATAATGCAAATACTCACATCTATGAACGCTTTCCCTTCATGAATTCGCCAATCTGTTCCAGGCCATAAATATCATTTTCTGGAAGAGCGATGGTCGGCATCGGCTCCATTGTCCATCCAGGTGTTCCCGCTTTGCTAGACAACCCTATCGCCTCCCCAATCGGTATGCAAGAGTCGAAATCGATTATCACAGGATCTCCCGCGTCATCGAGCGCGATATTAGCGGGGTTGATGTCATTGTGCACAAGACCGAGCGTCTCATGCAGAAAAGTGAGCCCTTTCGAAACACCGTCAAGAATCGCGGCATGGTTCAGGGTGGGATCACTTTCCCAAACTGCATACATAAGTGTGCGTCCATATCGTTTCAAACATATGGCAGTGATGTGATCAACATCACGGACGCATCCATAGTAGAGATATTAGGGTGAGGGTGCTGCTTAAGGATTTCGTAGACTTTGGCCTCCTTGACCAGATAGTCTCCAGGTGTCCACACACCTGGCTTTTCTGGCTCGTCTGAGTCGTAGTCATCAGGCAGGAGTATGCACGGGCGCTTTAGAAAAGAGCCTGTGGGAGGTACAGGAGGTGATTCGGTTAAAGATGGATGCCAACGGCCCTTGAAAATGCATGGGAATGGGGATGGACTTGAAGGTAGAAAGACTGTCGAGGTTGAATGGTTCGGTCGTTGCCCAATGCTCGGATTGATAATAATTATCATTTTCCTTCCATACAATGACAATATGGTCCAGCTTTTCAGTTGTAGAGTTCCATACTTCATAACTTTTGACGAGTTCTCGCATCATTGGGAATGACAAACTGCGAATATCTTCCAACTTTTATGCACTGGAACTAAATGCCTGCAGTGAGGATGCTATATTATCGCTAGTGCAAATGATTTTTCGCTCACCAACAAGGGTTATGCTGTGACTGTGCTGTGACTCTCCTGTAGACAGACCAAATGAAATGAAGATAGTTGTTCGCCTCTGCTGTGACTCGGTGGTGGTGGGGCAAAACAAATACTTCGAACGTTAGGTTCTATGAATATTTTCCTGGCTAACAGCACGCAACTGGGGCTCACAGCCTGGGGGTTATAAATCATGGCCTATCACAGCCGCAATAGATGTCCACTGCCATGCAACGCCCACATTGAATCTTCATTTGCGTTATCGTACATCGTTGATTGGCAGGAAGTAAGCGCCTCATAAGTATCACTTCCTTGGGCGGCGGTCAGCAACTGCCAGATCGGTCATCACCCAGTTGTCATCAGCTGTCAGCGCTGAGGAGTCGGGACCCACATCATGTTTTAAAATCCCCATTGGGGTAAAATACCCTATGTCGGACAGTGCTATCAAAAAACACACAGTGGATGAATAGAAGTGCCACAGAAAAGCACGCCACCGGGGCTCACAGGGGTTATAAAGCACGGCCCGCTACGGGATCCGCACTGAAAGCGTTGTTATCATTCGAGAGGCTCCAATAACTTTCGGAATGGATACCTTTGTTTTGAACATGTAACGACGGTGAGCGCCTTCGGATGAGAGGGATTGCATCTCGATAAGCTAACGCTGAAGTAGTAGTGTCCTATCCAAACGAAGCTGATTGATTTCTCAGATTTGACCGCGCAGGCAAAGGAGTGGCTCAACTTGTATCATGCGGAGACGCTGGAGAAGGTAGGACCTTTGCCCCGTAACGACCTGCGTGCTCTTCAGCTAGATATAGAGTGTTTTCCTGTGTAGAAGATGGTCCTATCAGATGCGGTTGTTTAATCTGAGAGCATCCCCAATTTGTACATCTGCGGTTTCATGAACGCCAAGTCCAGTCGGGACTTATCACTCGTTGGAACATCATGAGATGGGACGGACGAGTGGAAACCATTTATCTTGTTGATGCATAAGTGAAATAATTATAGAACCCTTGGGATTCCGAAGGTGTTACATCTTCCCTATTTTTTCCAGTAATCAAAGGTCTAAGGCATTGGCCATAGTCTACCATGGCTGACTTCGAGCCTATTACTTTATGCAGGAGGACGATTCCAGTAATACCCTAAAAATTCGTTAGCTGGCGACCATAAAAAAGGCGAAACAACGTACAGTAATCCCGCCACGCCAACAGCTGGTTGAGTTGTGCGGCATCAACTCGCACGTATCCACCCGCTGATTCTAATTCCTGCAACATTTGATGTGCTACCCATTCACCGGATCTCCAGCCCATATATAGCTTGGCTTGAAGTGCGGTATGAATGGCGGCTTTGTATACAAGGGGTTATGGGTGATGATAATCGGCTGACGTTGGATACTAGCACCATCTGCAGGCACGGGAACGCCAGTATTGGCGAATAGTACGGGGTGCCACCAATCCACGACCATCTATAATTGGTCAAGAAGAGGTTAAGCCGTAAATACTCATCAATGTTATCTCCGAAGCAAGCGGTGCACCTGGTAGCGTCTTTGCCAACCTGCATTCATATACACTGCTCCGCACAATGGAGCTACTATGGGTATAGTGGTGCGCTGATCGACGTAGATCACACAGCGCATGGACGTTTCTTCTGTGCCGGATTCCCCGTCCAGGAACCTGAGGAAATCGCCAAGTAGATGCGAATGGTTTGTACATCACAATATCTCCGGGCACGACCGGCTGTGCCATCTCGCCTGGAGTGGTACCTAAATATTGGTCGAAAGAAGTGATATACAGTGGACGGAAGTCAGCTTCAAGTCTTATATCTGAAAAAAAATGGGAGGCAACAATGAAGTTTGAAAGCTGTAGTTCTTATCATTCAATCAAAAGCTGAGTGGGTGCCATGCAGGGGCGTGAGCATCGACATCCAACAAACAAACGAGCGCCCAGTGGGATAGAAGTGCCACAAAAAACGGAGAGTACATACGGAGCTGTAGAAAACTCGACATCCTGCCATCAAGTAATGTGGCGCTAGGCCTTGAGGTTCAAGATGGCGATCATTAATCATTGATCACCACCTTTGGAAAAAAACACCAGCTGAGCGCTGATCCGGGATATCACAATTTGCAAAAGACCTTGATCACTGCAAAAGCTGTTAAGTATCTGATCCGGCTCTCCAGGATGTACCACCTCTGCGCGTGGGATGAACTGTAACTACATCAGCACCCGTCGCCCTCTTCCACTAGACCGTTAGCGTCCGCCTCGCCTGTATCGTTTGCAAGACAGAACGAGAGACCGCTGAATGGGTGGTGGTCCGTGATCCGTAGAAGCGGCAGGAGGCTTGCTAAAGTGACAATTTGAAAGTCGGAGGATTTAGATGAGACTGCTAATGAGCGCAATGCGAAACATCCCTATGTCCCCTCTTGCAGGAGGAAACTCGATTTAGTAGGTAGAAATTCACACACAATTTGGCGAGTCATGAGTCGCGACTAGGTGATCAGTTTTACAGTCCACATATTAGCACCCGGCGCGCTTGAAAGCCACTCTGACCGGTAGTCGGATCAACCTGCCTCATAGACAATATCAGGATACTGGTCCCCACCTATTTGAAAGTGTTCCCACCACTTGGGGACTTCGCCGGGGACACATCGACTAGTTGTCTCCGCCTTCATCATTTCTGCCCCCCCCCCCCTATCCCCTAGTGCAGCACTACTTCAAGGGTGCAAGGCTCGGCCTTATCCGTCGCTTTGTTGGTTTGATATCTGATTCTATCGGCCCTATATCATGCTTCTGGTTCGCAGTCAGTCTTCTTTCGGATACCCCATCCAAGCACCCTTGGTTTGTTTTGAACTCACGGTAAGCGCGTTCTTTATCTTGGGAAGGGTCTACTCATATCCCAAGTTGATCTCCAGGCGTTTTGATTTCCCTGCCAGTCAGCGCGTTCAACTCCGCAGGATCTCTTGTCAGCATCCACTCTGGGATCGCGCCACATAATTGGTCGTTTTCAAGGGTGAGTAGATTCATTAAATCTATGACTCGTCAGAAGCTGCGTAGATCAGCGGTGTGATATACATGGGCTGAGCACGGAAGAGATCATAGAAGTTATTGATGTGGCACCGATCAGAATGCCTATATGCGTGACAGTTGTGTGTGCACAAGTACACGTCTGGTTGCATCCCAACTTGATGCGGGTAATCCTGAGGCTTTACAGAGACCTAGGAAGCACAATCATTTTTCACTCGCCGAATTACGGAAAAACGATCAACGTGATACGTACATTCGTGATCCAGATTTCACTGATCAGAAAATGATCAGAAGTATGTCCCAAGTACGCTGGAGAAAAATTAGAGGCGATGATCAATGACTCGGACACGAGTCATAGAAGACTGCGACTGCCAAATAAAACCTATTAGCAACGAGTGCGTGGTGCCCGTATGGATTGCTGGCACTAGCCTAGTATCCGATGGCAATGTTCAAGTTGTGTGCCAAGACAGAGCAACGGACAAGGAAAGGTGAAGCATGAGGATGAGGATGAAGAGGCGACCGTAACTCGGACTCGGAGGGTTCAATACAGATTGTAATTCTGGTTACAAACTTACAAGCTGCAGCGGCTGGCAACTTGCAAGATTTTCAAAGTCTAGCCTTACGTACTAATCGCATAATATTACCAGGCTGACATAAGTACCTTGGTCCTCGGAACGCCCATCACTGGCAGGCCTCAGTCTGACAGGAGCCATCAAGATCCCAAGGCTTAAACATTTAAGCAACAAATGGGCGTCACCTACAGGCTACAGCTGTTCATTTTAACTCCGGAATGATTCTCTGAGCTACTTGTGGGCAAGCCAGTGCCATTAAATAATGTTATAAACCTTGCGCAACAAAGTGGCTTCGTCAAATGCCTCACTCTTTCGTCATTGCAAAATTTCTTCCTCAGCGTTCAGCTAATTGGACATCGTACTATGGGCTTGAAAAAGCTGCGTCCTTGAAAACTCTTCCTTTCCTAGCGTTGCGTGTCTCACGAACCGACGTTGGGATGCAGGATCTGGGCCGTCAAGGACAATTTCTGTTTGCGATATCCTCCGGAAAGCCAACAGGAGTGAATGATGGGGTGTTACTTTGCTCTGGGATCATCGTTGAGCATAGAAAGGAAGACGTTGCACGTTGAACCTTCCTTGCGCCCTAGTGGGCGCACTCTCTACGTTCATACTTTTCCGAGGCTTCTTGAGGATGCGCAATTCCAAATCTCGCCAGTGACCGTGCCTCACCTCCCGCATCGACTCGACGAAGCTAGTTTCCTCCTCGCCTTCTGTGGTTCAGTCTTGGAAATTTACGAATTCCTGAAGTGCGCAAATGATGCGCACTCGTCCGGTGGAAGCGAGCCCGTGGAGGATGGGTGGGATTCGTGGAGTGGCAAGTCGCCCTACGAGTATGAGCATGACCGAGGGGGTTACGTTTTTGAATATTGGAACCTCGGGATTTCAACATGTCAACTGCGTCGAAGCAACATTCATATATCAAGATTTACTACTGTATAACCAGTAAGTCGCCATCGATTAGTGATTGTGATTTCCTAAGTCCTCAATGTTTCAGACTTGCTGCAGACTACTCATGGATGGGTATCACCGCTGCCGTGAAATGGGCTTTGAAGTCAAGGGATGTAGGTCAGGATGGTATGAAATATTGCTCACGATTTCTGATAAAAGGTTTGTTTTTGTAGCATTATCATGCGTATAGGGTCCGACGAGGCGGCGCGCTGCTGCTGCCAGGTTATTCGTTTGTCGAGAATTTTGCCGACCTTCGATGCAAGCCTCAAGGCACATGCTGTAACTCTCTGGTCGATGAAGATTCCTTTGACGGTGACCCCCCAGTTGCTGACAACGCATCGGAAACGGAAGAAGTGGACTGGGATGATGGGCCCGATGTCGACCTCGAGTTTATCCCGAACTACATGCCTCCCGTGCCCGCCCCATCCACTAGAGCAATCGCCTTTGATATATTTGGCACCATCTTGGCGAGTTTTTACATTCCAGTCCCATGCGCGCAAGTTGCTCACATGTAATCAGGATCGTGATGGGCCATCAACGAAGCTATGCGGCTGCTATCACCAACATATCCAGACAATCGCCATCTGTCTAAAGTGTATCTCGAATGCGAACTTATGAGACACAGATCATACTGACGCACCCTATAACGACATCGTGCGGCACGCTCTGCAGGATGTCTGCACTGTTCTGGAAGCGCCGCCCAGTGAAGCGGTTCTCCAGGAAGCTATACAGACTATCCTGCAACCTGGTTTATATGCCGATGCAGAAGCAGCTGTGAAGACGCTCCTGATCCAGGGTTATGTGCTGGTCTGTCTTCCGATCCCGGGCGTGAAATCATTTTTACTTCCACAACTTCCATCTGGTCTTACTTTGCATGATCAACCTGCACCTCTTTCGGATCTCTTTGGCCAAAACCACTCCATATTTTCGGACCTCTTGGAGCGCTGTCGTTTGAAATGTGGAACCATCGACAGGACCCGATTCTTGTAGTGACATCTAGTCGTTACCGAGTGATGGAACCAGCAAGTATGGCGGGTTTCCCAACCATTTTGGTTCAACGTCCTGGATGTCTAGAATCGGACGTGAACTCGGCACAAGCGACCCAACCCTAGCGGTCGACGGACTACAAGGTTTACAAATGCAGCTACAAAATTGTCTGCTCTTCATCCTTCACCAGTAGAGCGCACTCCAACTCACGTCAAAGAATTCCGCGTTTGTGGCATTCAGGTGACAAAATTGCTTGGAATGGGAAGCTTTGGTATGTTCACATGTCTACTTTTCCCATCAACTAGCTTATATGCTTTGACATGACAGGAAATGTGTCAAGTGCTTGTCACGTTCTCACCGGCTCGGAGGTTGCAATCAAAATGGAGGTCCCGTCCGACTCACCGACCGCGACTGTCGTGTTGCCTTACGAAGCTCTAGTGTACAACCTGCTGCGTGGACACCCAGGGATAACCGTCATGCAAATGGAGTGGTATTGATCGAGGATCCCATATCTTGATTCTCGATCAAGTAGGTGCGAATCTTCAACAGCTTCGAAGACTCTGCAGGGGCGAGCTCTCTCTGAAGACAGTAGTTATGCTCGCTATCGAAATGGTAAGCGTGCTGGACACCTGCCCGCGAGTTTGGGTTGATTTGTGTGTATTTTGCCAGTTGGATCGAATTGAATTTGTACATTCACGAGGGGTCATCCTGCGTGACATCAAGCCTGAAAATTTCGCGATGGGCGTTGGGGAGAACTCTCACGTCGTCTATCTATTCGACTTTGGTTTGGCGAAGCTTTGTTGACCCATCCACAGGAGCTCATATACCGTTCCGTGAAGGCCCGCGTTGGACTTGAACTCCACGATATGCAAGCTATAACGTGGCATTTGGACGAGGTTCGTAGAGACCATTTTAACTCTGCTCAGGGCTAACGAACAAGGAGTAGAACAAGGGGCGACGAGACGATCTTGAAGCGTTGGGCAACGTGCTACTATTTCTTTTGCATGGACGTCTGCCTTGGCAAGGCGTCTACTCACCAAGCCTCGAGGCCAAACTACTTCGAATGGGGGAAATGAAAGCTGGTTCAGCATTTCGCGACCTCCTTACGCGCTCACCTGTGGAGTTTACTACGTACTTCGATCACTGCCGTGGTTTAAAGTTTGAAGATAAGCCAAACTATCTTTTGCTAAGACAAACTGTTTAACCAGATATTGGTCACGGAAGGGTGGACGGAAAAACAGCAGGTTTGATTGGGAGGATGGAAGTTCCCGCAAAGGTGTGCTGTTACCTGACGAGTATAAATTAGATATCCGATTTACAAAAGACGATGTGTCCACGCTACAGTACGTGGGCCCATACATTCATTATGCAATTTAATTAAATGTGTCGGGGAGAACTCTCACATCGTCCATCTATTTGACTTACATTTGGTGAAGTTTTACGTCGACCCGTCCACAGGAACACATACTATGATACTGTCCTGCGAATAGACCCCCGCCATATTCGAGCTAAAATGCACATTTTGGACGAGGTTCGTTATGAACCACCTAAATTAATTCCTGAACAAGGCTTGTGAGATGACCCTGAAGCATCGGACAATGCCCTCCTACACCTCTCGCATGGCCTTCTGCCTTGGCAAGACATATATGCACCAAGTGTTGAGACCAAACTGCTTCGAATAGAGGAAATGAAAGCTGGCTCAGCAGCATTTCGTGACCATCTCGTGCACTCCCGTAGAATTTACAATGTACTTCGATCACTGCCGTGGTTTGAAGTTCGAAGAGATGCCCAACTAGACATTGTTGAGGCAGCTGTTCAGCAAGATTATGAAGAGGGACTGAGGGTGGACGGGAGACGAGGTTTGACCTGAATTTAACGAGTCTGCATTTGATACAAAGTGTTAATAAAGGAAAGCTAATACACTAAAAATGCAAAAAGTTAACATGTCGAAGACGTGACGAGGAGAAGATCGAACCGACAAGGCTGAACTTAAAAGTGGGAGAGGGATGCATGCGGGGAAGTTGAGACCGTTATATGCTGCTCGCCGGTGACGGCTACGACATTAAGTTGAAGCGAAGATGTTGAACAGAGTCTGGGGTCTTTTTCATTGTGAGTGACGTGCCAAATGTGTCCGGACTTTGTGTGCTCAGGGTTTGAAGTCGTTCGAACGAGCCGAGCGGCGAGAAAGGTCCGAATGATAACAGGTTACCATGAACTCCGAGGAATACCTTGAAGCGAATATGTTGGGAGTGGCCTTACATAAATGCAGTGTGAGCAAGCTCGGAACCATAACAAGGTGCTACAGTTTGGACGTCGGTTCAGGACCAACTGTATCAGTTAACTTTGAAGAAAATCCAAATGCAGACTAGCCTTTTACCACTGTAGTGATACACCTTAGCAGGTGTAGACGAGTCGGGCGTAGAGCTCCAGAGCAGAGGCAGGCCGGAGACGAGTAGAGCAAGAGTGCCAAGGGGCTCGGCAGTTCCCGAGAGGTCTTGGTTGTAGATCTAGTCGCATGTAGCAATGAGCATCATCCATCATAGAGTCAGCGTCCCTTCTCTGTTCTAGAGCGCAGTGCTAGCGCGTCCACCACCACAACTCGCTTGAATGAGATTCCAAGCCACTCGAGCCTCGAGGTCACGGTTGGGTTCCTGCTTCCTTTTTTTCGCCTGGGCCCACTGGCAGTATTGTTGGCGGAAGACTGTACTAATAGATAGGCTAGAACACTAGCTTGGAATCTGACTCGGACATGAGGTGATAATAGTTTATCAACTAGACGCTGAATAAAGAAACAAACTGACACACAATTGACATTTAATTTGTATCTTAGATGTGCGATGTAAAGTCTAGACCTTCGAACACCGGTTTGGCGGTCAACATTGATTCATTAAAACAAATGGGTTCACATTGATTCATTAAAACAAAAGCACGATTCCGATCAGTGTTATGGATACACCATGACATAGTGGAGCGGTGTATCCCCGACTGTGTGCCTGCGTGTCGCGAGCAAGGCAAGAAGTGGTGGGAGAGCACTACACTACGACAAAGCCCGAAGGACACTGAATGACTCGCTGAACTACGGTGCTACTCGGCTGCCACTCGGCTCCTACCCCCGGGGTCCCCTACTCCAGCATATAAGGGAGAATCAAATTTCGGTTTTCAGTCTCACTGTCAGGCTTGCGGACTCAAAGGACCTACCTTCGGCGAGATGGCTACGCCCACAGTTTCAACCTTCGTTATCTCTGTGATCCTACAGCCCATCATCGTGGGGATCAGCAGTGCTATGCTCTCATCCCTCATATCCTACGAGATCGCTGGACAGCTTGACTGGAGGCCGGTAAGCCCTCTGTTTGTGGATTCCAGGCCGTACAGTCTTTTTGATTACATAGTGTTAAAGATCATCATATGCATGACATGTGACATTCTTGTTATTGGTGTTGACCACCTGAAGGATCAAGAAGTTGTCATCAATGCTCTGGGTGCAGCTTCCATGAAGCGCTTTACCCCCATGTTCCACCTTGCCCGTATTTTTCTAGCGTTGACTGCGTCGCTGCTTGTGATTGCTTTAAGTCAAAGTCCATCAGAAACGACGTTCCTCACCGGTAGTTTTTACTACCCCCGCTTTTCTGTGGACGACACCGCTTGATCTTCAGTGGATCGGCAGGGTATTGAAGAGATTCGCGCTGGTAAATTATGATCAAGAAGATTCACCCGGATCTAAGAACCCATTCATCATCAAACGAGTTCCTGGCATGAAGGCTATATTGGACGGTATCATTCGGGGGTATGTACTGTCGCATCCTGACGCTTTGTCGTTTTTGACTTGAAGATAGCTATGGGTTATTCTTAGTCGTCCACTCAGCACTACAGCTATCATGGCAATCAGCCAATAACGCGCCTCCGTGGACGATCTTCGAGACTATCATTTGGTCGACGGTCAATCGCACTTGTCATTGTGTAAGACAATTTTATTCTTGTGAATGAAGTCCCAACTCAAGGTCTTCCAAAGATTTTGGCCGATGTGCGTGACTATGACGAAGACAAGAAGGTTGGAGTGCCGACCATACCCGTCCTTCTAGAGTCTCCTCTTAAGACCCGAATAGTCTTGACCGTCGTTCAAGCAGCTGTTATGATGGCCTTCCTCCACAATCCATTCATTGTAGGGAATTGCTGCTTCACAATTGCTCTTGCTTGGATTCTAGGGAAAGATTCTCCGAAAGTTTACTTCCGTCTCAGTCTTCACTCACAGTCGATATTCATTATTATGTACGCTATTATGATCGTTTTACTATAGACTACTGTTGGTAGGCTTCACTCGCGGTCAATATTCATTGTTGTGTGCGCTGTTATGTATTGTAATGGCGCTCGGCCGCGCCAGTCCCCGACACAGATGCATTATCTCTACATACATTCTCTACTAGTACAGGTAAAAACAGAACAGGCATGACGTCATGTCTACTATCATTCAGCATCTTACAGGACCGCCAATCATAGTAAGCACACGGTGAGCATGTCAGCTGGCCGAGGAACGAGGCCGAGCCGATATGTTCACCGCAACAAGAAGCAGCCTGAGGGTCCACTGATCAGATTTTGGACCTGTCGAAAAAGAGTGATGTGTGACCTGTTAGCATTCCGAAATAGACCGGCTCTCTATGTTTCAGAAACCATGTTACCATTCAACTGACGTTATTTAGTAAAGGTTGGACCCCGCAAACTGTATCGGAGAGAGGTACGCATCTTTTTTTATGTATTGTCGTCTTCATTGTCCTACTCGTCGAGCTCGCGGTCTTTGCAAACAGCATCCTCTGCCTTTTTTTCCAACCCTTGTGCCCATGAATGCCGCCACCTCTCTGCATCCTGCCAATTCCGCGCCCGCTCCTTCAACCTGCAGCCTAGCTATCATGCTATGCCGTCGCCGCCGGTTAATTTTTTCGCAACAGCGCATCACGACCGGGCGGCACGCCCGCGTCAAGATCTAGCGCTCTCCTTCGCGCTCGTCGTCGACATCTCCTCCCTCGTTGTCTCTCCCCACCAGTTATTACCCCTACCTGGCGGCAGGCGCCTTCGTATTTTTTCTTCAGTGATCTCCACTGCATCCTGGATTTTTTCCTCCTCACCTATCTTGCCATCCCACCTCGTGCATACTTCCCTACCAGTGTCTACATACATATCTCTGTCGAATTTTTGTAGTCATAGTTTATATATTGCATCCTCATCTGTGCTCACTCAGTAAACCAAAGACATGAAATTTTCATAATTAAAATTTCATGATATGTAAAGAACAAAATACTGTCAAGGAGAGGCTACAAACCCAAGTCCTGTATGGGAGAGGGTGGACACGAGGATGGGGAAGCCAAATTGGTGCGTGGGGAAGCACTGGCAGGGGTTGCGAGCAGAATTCGGAGCAGTGGCGGTTTCTGTTGGCGGTATCAGAGCTGGCAGCGCTGTGGGAGTCGAAGTCGGGGATATCGACATCGAGTATTGGACGGGTAGCTCGGCAATGGGCGTTTAAGGGAGTGGCACGAACATGGCAGGACAGCGCAGAGTAGGTATGCGCGAGAGCGGTGAACTCCGACTTAAGAATCACCAGGAAATATGCTTACCGAGCGTGGTTGAGGTCTTTGCCACTGATGTAATTGATGCGTTCAGGGACTTGTGTTTCCCACCCTATTGGGAGCCGATCTACTTCGGATTAATGATAACAGGGCACTACACTCACCATCACCAAAGTCGTAAGCGTTCGTAACACGCTTAAGCTAAGCGTTCATTCCAGCGGTTTTACTGTTATCATTCGGACCTTTCTCGGTTCCTTCCGAGTCGAACGACTTCAAACTACCTATTATGACTTTATTGTACGCCCTCTCACTGTCAGGCTTGCGGACTCAAAGGACCTAAAACCTTTTGATCAAGCTATGATGCCGACTCCGAACCGAGCAACTTCACCCCATATAAGTAACCTTTTCACCGTTTCCCCTTGAAGGTTCAACGTTCCTACCTGCGGTTCCTTGGTACTGCCATGGCTCTCCACGAAGCCGGTGGACCGGTGGACTCGTCAGACATACCCCACTCTGGAAAAAATAAACAACCCTTTGACTTCAAGCAGATACTGAGAGACCTCATGAAACAGTAAGTGTTTTGTGGTGATTTTATTAGATCATCTAAGTCAATATTTCATTATCTCTCCCTCAGCCGTCAAGATGAAGGAATAAAGGATCGTCAACTTGGTGTCATCTTTAAAGGTTTGTGTGTCGTTGGTGCGGGTTCTCGCACCTCGCAGCAGCCCACCGTCAGCTCACTTTTCCATCCCTCAACGTTTCTGGACAAGATAAGGGGAATTCGCAATCCCTCAATTAGAGACATCTTGTCTGGATTCGAGGGTGTGGTCACTCCTGGGGAAATGCTTTGTAAGTACAGGCCTTTCCTCAACCTCCGGTCTTGACCTTCCGTACAGTGGTCCTTGGCCGTCCTGGCGCAGGGTGCTCGACCTTCCTCAAGACGCTCGCTAACCAACGTGGGGAGTATCATGCTGTTGAGGGTCAGATTTTCTATGATTCATTCACCTCAAAGGAGATACATGACTCCTTCCGTGGCGATGTCACTTACTGTCCAGAGGATGATATCCACTTCCCGACGCTGACTGTCGACCAGACACTCTCTTTCGCTGTTAGAAACCGTACTCCTGCAACTCGTCGTCCCGGCCAGAAGCGCGAGGATTATGTTGAGGATACCACCACCATGCTCATGAAAGTTCTTGGCCTCTATGGTTCGAAACACACCCTGGTTGGTAATGCTCAGATTCAAGGTGTTTCCGGTGGCGAGAGAAAGCGAGTTTCTATTGCAGAAACTTTAGGCTCTACAGGTTCACTTGGTGCATGGGATAAGTAAGGCGTTATCATCTGAGGTGCCGTGGTTCTAACTCGTTTCCCATTCAGTTCTACTCGTGGACTAGACTCCTCGACTGCCCTTGAGTTTATCAGCACCTTACGTTTCATCACAGACATCAAACGCACAACGACGATTGTCTCCCTCTATCAGGCAGGCGAGCCATTATACAATCTATTCGATAAGGTCTGTGTTATCGCGGAAGGGAAGATGGCCTATTTTGGTCCAGCAAAGTCTGCTAAAGATTACTTTATTGGTATGGGCTTCGAACCACAAAACAGACAGACTACCCCCGACTTCCTGGTTGCAGGTATGGCGTTGTGACTATCTTATATTATCTTATAATCATCATTATCAGTTACGGACCCGATCGGGAGGAAAATCCGCCCTGGACATAAGAGCTTTGTCCCGCGAACGTCGGAGGAACTAGCTAGCTATTTCATGGCTTCTGATCTCGGTCGTCAGAATCAGGAAGCCATTGAAAAGCGCCGCCAGCAATGCGTTGGCAATCACGAACACAAGCAGGCGTATCTGTCCAGCGTGGCTGCTGAACATGGTGACACATCTACCGTGTACATGTCCTCTGTCCTCCAGCAAGTCAAAACGGTTATGAAGCGCCGTGTGCAAGTCATTGTTGGTGATAAGTTCGAGTTCTTTCTACGATTGGCGTAGGTGGCATTTTTTTTGTTTGACCACCCCTCAGTAATGTTAGGTGGTAGTTCCCAAGTCTTTCAAGCGGTAATTATTGGCACCGTCTTTCTGAACGTTCCAAAGGACACCTCGGCCTATTTCCCCCGGGAAGGTGTTATGTTCTTGTAACCATTTCCGCCTGTCCTCATATAAGCTGTGCCTCACGGCTCTTTCAGCTCCCTCTTCTTCAATGCTATTACATCTGTTTCAGAAATCCCTACACTTTTTTTCCAGCGTCCCATCGTGCTTCGTCACCAGAAAGCCGCTTTACATTACCCTTATATTCAGAGTCTCGCGCACACCATAGTCGATATTCCGGTCACTTTGATCGTCCAACTTGCGTTCGTTGTAATACTCTACTTCCTGGTCGGGTTGCAACGTTCTGCCTCGCAGTTTCTGTAAGTTCTTCAAGGCGTCTGTTCTTCGCTTTGATACTCACCCTGCTACATAATAGCATTTTTTACCTTTTTGTCTTCTTAATGTCACAAACCATGAAATCATTCTTCAGAGCTATTGCTGCAAGCTTTAAAACTCGTCCTAGCGCAATAGCCATTAGCGGTATCTTCATTCTCTTGATGTCACTCTATGGTGGGTACACAGTTCCTTGGCCAACTGCTCCAAGGGGCTTGCGGTGGATCATGTGGTTGAACGTACGTCATCCCTTGTACGATACTTTTCTTCCGCTCAATATCAATATTGCTGTCTTAGCCATTGTGGTGGGCATTCGGTGGACTTGTTGTGAACGAGTTCCATACGCTCGAAGGAGTTTGCTCTACTCTTGTCCCACAGGGTTTGGGGTACGAGAACGTTTCACTTGCAAACCAGGTCTGCACAACTGTTGGATCGCAGCCCGGGCAGCTCCTCGTTGATGGCAACATTTATGTTGCATTGACGTTTGACTTTTGGTATAGTCAACTTTGGATGGTAGGGCGGTCACTCTATACTTCGCGAATAGCTCATGACACCACAGCAGAATTTCGGTATCCTTTGCGCCTTCTACTTTGTGTTCTTGGCCGTTCTCCTAGTTGCCACGGAATTCAATACTTCGTCTGCTTCAGACAGTGCTGTCGTTCTCTTCAAGCAGGGATCATGTGCTGTCGATGGGAATTCTAAGGCCCGAGACGAGGAAAAGGCTGGTACAGAATTTCGCTCTAGATCCCTCTCCGACGTAGCTGGTCCCTCGACTTTCGACAATCTCGAGAAGGTCACGGACCTCTTCACGTGGCAGCACATGCGATATGAAATCCCTATTGAAGGAGGGATGAAACACCTTCTGGATGATGTCACGGGCTTTGTTATCCCTGGAAAGCTCACCGCATTGATGGGTGAATCTGGGGCTGGCAAGGTATGCCTTCCTATGATACCAGTCACGCATGCTATTTACTTGAATGCTTGTAGACAACGCTCCTGAATGTTCTTGCACATCGTGTCGGTGTTGGTGTGGTAACTGGTGAGCGATTCTTTGGCGGACAGCCGCTCCCCATAGACTTCCAGGCTCAGACGTAAGTATCGTCCTAATTTTTCGGATCTTACTTGACTGTCGTGTTTAGTGGTTACTGCCAACAGCTCGACACCCACCTTCCCGAGGCGACTGTCCGTGAAGCGCTCCTTTTCTCTGCTAATCTTCGCCAGCCACAATCAGTTCCTCTCGCCGAGAAGGAAGCATAGTGCGTACAATTTCCGCCCGTGGTCAACACCCACCTAACTTTCCACTGCAGTGTTGACAAGTGCCTTCAAATGTGTGGTCTAGATGACTATGCTGATGCTATTGTTGGCTCTCTCGGGGTTGAGTGCCGTAAGCGCACCACCATTGCAGTGGAGCTCGCTGCTAAGGTTTGAACGCGAACCCTTCAAGATATAGTTTTACTGAGAGACCAACAGCCCAAACTTCTACTCTTCTTGGATGAGCCCACGTCCGGCCTTGACTCGCAATCCGCCTGGGCTATCGTGCATGTACTTCGTGAGCTTGCTGACCGTGGTCAGGCCATTCTCTGCACGTGAGTGCCATTTTGACGTGTGGGTTTCTCAATGCTTATGAGCTGTACCAGAATCCATCAACCTTCGGCGGAGCTCTTCCAGGTCTTTGACAGATTGTTGCTCCTTCGCAAGGGTGGACAGACAGTCTACTTTGGTGACATTGGCGAGAACTCGTCGACCATGCTGAATTACTTTGAGCGTAATGGTGCTCCACGCTGCGGCTCTAACGACAATCCGTAAGTAAGGTTCAATTAGACGGCTCTTACGCTTACCAGGGAGTTAAAGGGCGGAATATATGCTTGATGTCATAGGTGCTGGAGCAACTGCAGTCTCCACTACCGATTGGTACAACGTCTGGAAGTGCTCACCAGAAGCGGTGCAGCTTGAAGATCATATCAACAACTTGCATGAACAGGGTCGTTCTCACCCACGGCAACTTAGTGTCCGCTACTCTGTCTTCGCCACCTCATGGTTGCACCAGTTCGTTGCGCTCACCAACCGGAATTTCCAAGCATACTGGCGCAATCCTACGTATATTCGCGCCAAGTTTGCGCTTAATATCGTTGGCGGTCTCCTTGTGGGCTTTACATTCTTTCAGGCAAATGACTCGTTGCAGGGCACTCAAAATAAGCTATTTGTGAGCATATCAATCAGGTTCTTCGTTTAATCACATTCTCACTCTTCTTTAGTCGATCTTTCTCTCCCTTGTGGTCTGTGTTCCCCTCGTACATCCGCTCATGGCCGTCTACGTCGACATTCGCACAGTGTACGAGATACGTGAACGTCCCACTGCAATGTATAATTGGACTGCTCTCGTCATGTCACAGCTTGTCGCTGAGCTTCCTTGGAACGTGACAAGTTCTGCGATGTTCTTTTTCTGCTGGTACTGGACCGTTGGATACCCCACAGGCCGAGCAGGCTACACGTTCCTGATTATTGCCATTGCCTTCCCGTCCTACTACACCACGCTTGGACATGGTATCGCGTCCATGTCACCAACCGCTCCAATTGCATCTGTATACTTCACAACTCTCGTTATCTTTACCTTGATTTTGTGAGATGCACACTTGGTCACGCTAGTTCATGCTAATAATTCACCAGTGATGGTGTTATCCAGCCGTTCTTTGAGTTGAATTGGTGGAAATGGATGTATAGGGCCTCTCCTTTCACGTACATCATCGAGGGCCTCCTTGGTCAAGGTTTGTGAACGATTTCTTGCCAATATTTGTACTCATGTTAGCCCTCGTAGCTATTGGCAGTCAAGCTATTATCTGCTCCTCCACGGAACTAGTTTCCGTCAACCCGCCGAAGAGTCTGACCTGCGGCCAGTATATGGATCCATTCATCGAATTCGCTGGTGGCTACCTCACAAACCCCGGAGCTGCGGAGGGCTGCCAGTACTGTCCCTACAAGACCACTGACCAGTATATGTACTCGAGGTTCAACATTAAATACAGTGATCACTGGCGCAACCTGGGCATTATCTTCGGATTCGTTGCGTTCAATGTGAGTTACTGCCGGATGTTGCTCAGATCTGGTGCTGATGTACCTTCTGTAGATCATTGCGATTTTCTGGCTCACGTATTTCATGCGCATTCGCACTGTCAGCGTGTTTACGTCTCTTAAGCAGAAGTTAGCTCGTAGCAAATAAATCGCAATTCACGAATACCACATAACGCTCGAATGCACTTACAAGACTAGAGTCAAATAGCCCGACATTTTTTCTACTATGAAGTAGACATAGGATCTGTGAGCGCGACTTTGAGTCAAACGCTCGATTCTGGGGTGGTGCCCAATTCCTTGACCTGCAGCTGCTATTCAAACTAGTATAATCATTGTGATACTCTGTTGGCGACATACTGGCAGTAGTACTAGTGCTACTATACTGTTCTGACTTGACATCCCATCTATGTACTGTATTAGCAGTAGACTCCGCAGGAACACATACCATTCCGCGAATGGACCCCGCCATATATCTATCTACATATTGTAAGGACGGAGCGTTTGATGCCGCGGAACCAATTCTTGTCGACGCCATGTTCGCGCTCCACCCGAACCCCCTCTTCTGCCCCACTTCGGCGCAGGCATGTACTTCCACCTCAGCTCCTTTGTTTTATAAAAATTTCGCACGGTTGCCGCTGCGACCTCTGGCAGCTGATCGAGCGTCAGAGCAGTTAGTTTCTGTTTCACTCATCCGCATTTTTCGACCTCATGGTTATGGTGTTGGTTTGCTCTTTTTACAACTATTTCTTTATGGCCTGCATATGCGACGTCGTTCGATGGCTGCCAAGGAATCAGCGCGTAAACCAATCCGTAGACGATATGACTGAACCGTCCGCAGGCGAGCGGATCGCTTGTAACATACGTTAAGGACGGAACGTTTGGATCCTGCGGAAGCAATTCGCGTCTACCCCCACATGCGTGCTCCACCTGAGCACCACATGTACTCCTAATTGCTCCAGATTCCTCATACCGGAGAGATACATTGCCTGCCTCACATAACCTTCTCTTTCAATCCAGCTCGTTCAAGCTGGACCTTAAATCGCATACAGTTCCCCTGCGACCTGCTTATGCGACGATGTTCGACGGATGTCAAGGGCGTGACGCTAGAGAAGGTCGCGGTCGTGCCTGACCTCCGCATAGATTCATTCACGCACAGACAGTTATACCCCGCACTTTCAAGAGTGCGATGTCGTCGAGACATTCGAACGCTATTCGCAGGAGAAAAGGCGACGGCAAACGTAGGGTACAGGCATCTCAAAACCGTCCGAAGGTGAACGGAACGCTTGTACGATCTATAATGCACATTTTGGTCCTTGGATGAGGTTCGTTATGACCAACCCAATTCCTGACGACCTTGAAGTATTGGGAAATGCTCTCCTATACCTCTTGAAAATGGTCTTCTGCCTTGGCAAGACATATATGCACCAAGCATCGAGACCAACCTGCTTCGAATGGAGGAAATGAAAGCTGGCTCAGCAGCATTTCATAACCTTCTCGTGGGCTCTCCTGTAGAATTTACGACGTATGTCGAATCTCGATCACTGCCGTGGTTTGAAGTTCGAAGGAAAGTCCAATCATGCATCGTTGAGGCAGCTATTCAGCAAGAATGTGGAGAGGGAAGGGTGGTCGGGAGCCCGCTGGATGGAAGTTCCGGCAAAGGTCGAGGAGTATCAGTTAGACGTCCGATTCACAGGGGGTGTTTTTACCATGCTACGGACCATGCTCCCTCGCTCTATTTGGCAGAGGGGCATACTCTCGACCATAGGGGGAGACAGTCGTTCTGTCATGACGGAGAGACTTGGATTGTGAGACACTCGACTTCCCTATACAGTTTATTCCTACCTCACAGTATCACTTCGAATCCTGTATAAGTGCCTTGCAGTCCAGTACCAAGAAGTGATGAAAAGATGTCTGTGAACTGTATTCATCAAGTATCTACTCAACGTCTGGAATAGTCGTAATGAGCAGGAGGAACTACCAGAAAAGGTGCAGCACATTGCCGCGAAGCTGAGCGCAGTAAATCTCGTGTTGATATCGTTCGGTATGAAGATATACTCTACGAAGTCGAGGTTGGTGTTGAACCGAACCATGCAGAATCCTAGCTTTCTACGTCCCGTGCTAGAAAAGCCATGGGACCGACTATTACATGACGTCAGCCTTAAAACGAACATCAAGAATCGATAAACCAACCTCGCCCTCTAGGCCCCTCGGGCTTTATCTGTAAACAGCTTTGATGTATAAGATTGAGTGCCTTGACAGCGTCACGGCCCTCGATAACACACGAAATATTGATCTCGCTGGCGCCTTGGCTGATCATCTCGATATTCACATTACCCTGTCCAAGGGAAGTAAACATGCGTCCCGATATACCAACCAGGTTACGCATTTGTTGACCAACAAGGGAGAGGATGGCCATTTCGCGGTGGACGGAAACCTGGGACTCGTGTTAATTAAGGAGCCTAGCGTCATCAAAGGTACTCACGGTTCCACTCTTTTTTAGTTCCCCCACCAGCCGATCCATAGTTGTCCTGGACAGATTGTCCTCAATAGCCATGCTGACATGTACTTCGCTGGTGCTAATGAGGTCTACAACCACGCCAAAACGATCAAGGGTTCCAAATATCCCAGCTAGGAAGCCGTGAGACACACTCTTTCGATTCGAATTGACGTTGAGTACGACGATGCGTTCTTTTATTGTCACAGCAGTTGGTAGTCGCTTGTTCCTACGCAATTCATCGTTGGACGGAGAGAGGCCCTGTGGCATCGCGACTGGCACTTCACAGAGACCATCGTCTTGCGATACCTCGATATCCGGGTCGGGGTGAATAACTGTGCCACCGCCTAGGGGGTTCTCCACGTTTTTTATTCTTATTGGAATTTTTTGGCGAATGACCTGCAATTTGAGGGATGAGCAAAAGTTGAGATTCGATGATGGCCCTTCTGACCTGCTCCATCGTGAATGGATGTACGACTTCACTCCCATAATAAGTCAGTTCAGCGGCTTCGTCGGGCGATATGATAGGTATCAATCGTGCCGTAGGCACTTTTCGAGGATCCGCTGTAAATATCCCGTCGACTTCCTTCCATATCTGGAGTTCTGAAGCTTCGAGGCCAACAGCCAGAAGAGCAGAGAGCAAATCTGTGTATCCTCGGCCGACTTGCCGGAGAAGCGAACCCGGTACGTGGCCAAAGAAGCCGGTGACAACGGGTACGCGAGGTGTGCATCCCTTGATGCGTTCCCCGACAGCAGCGGCTACAGTATCATAGAAGGCCTGATTAAGGGAACCTTCTGGTACGGTGTCGCTATCCTCGGATACAGGGATGATATCTTCCAGTGATACGTATTCTGCGTCAATGCCCTGTAGACTGCAGATTAGTCCTCATTGAGGAATGTTGATACCAAAAACGTACTTGGTCGCGGAGAACAGCTGTCATCAGTTTACAACCCAATCGCTCGCCGAAACCTATAATGCTGTCCCGCGAACGTGGTGATATTTCATTGATTACCTGGTAAATCAGACACATTCGCGTTAGGTTATACGACGAATAGTAACACATGGACTGGATGCACCTGAGCAGCAAACAAGAAACTACGAAGCCAGTCGCAGTCTCGATCTATCTCGGCCACAATTTCTTGGAGAATCTCTGGATTTTTGACAGATGCTTTTGCAGCATTCATATGTTCTGACCGTATGAGGTCGACGGTAACATTAAATTCCGGTTGAGACTGGCCAGTCTGGGGTGTTATCAGTGGTGTCAATGCACCTGTGGCCGGAGACGAAGGCGATGTTGAAGATCTGCGCATCGGGGAGTTGGGAGAAGTTTCTGATGACCTCCTGAAGATACTATTTGTCGACGGAGTCATGGTACCGGAACCATCGAATAACTTGTGTCGTTGCCGTGCCTCGGAGGCGGCTTTAAGCAGGAGATTGGTAGTTCCCAGAGCCTTTGCAGACCCAGACCGTGCAGAGCAGACGACAGCAATTTTGTTCTGGCCAATATAGTTCCTAAAATGCGAAGTCAAGACGTTCAAAAGTGCATGATAACTAAGACTTACGATACGATATCACGAGCAATATTGACTGCAAATTTGCCTACACTAGTGCCTCCATACTTCTGGACTATCCATTTTGCCTCTGGATCCGTGTTGTTCTGACGTAACATCAACGGATTCGTAGGTGGAAAGGAGGAAGGCAGAGTGATCAGATCTAATTTTGATCCCAACATCACACGTCAACTTCTCCAGAGATAGTCTACAGCCACACAGTGCTAGCACAAAAGACCGAGACTGAGAGGGAACAGGACAAGCTTAAAGATGTCAGAAAAAGAAAAGGCAGACCCTGGTTATATGGACGATGGCCAGCGTCGTGTACATGGAAAACAAAATTGCCGCGCTAACTGCAAGTTGATGATTGACTCACCAGCCAGCTGTAAGAGACCCCTGTCACCCGATGTTATAAGTGCCGCCGGTACGCTAGTAGACCTTGAACATTGTTGCAACTTGCATTGCAGTACATAGTAATAATGTATACATTGCCATAGCACCCTTATTGAATAGGTCGCTGAACTTCAAATCATTGTGAATGTAACATGCCAATCCTCTTTCACCATGTCACTACCAGGCCGTGAGTACATCATGACAGGAAGGATGGATTTGATCAGGTCTCCTTTTGCCAGAGCCTACAGATGAAAGCCAGTCATTCAATCTTCGCAGTGCTCCGATGCGAAGCCTCGCATATAAGCGTCGGCATTTCGCTGTGCGGCAAGGGTACTGCGGGGGCAACGTGTCAGATAATGTGAGGCGCCAGGAACGATACGTTTACGTATGCATAGATAATGAAATGGATGGTTGGCGATAAGCTTAGTGGCGACTCGATTGGTATTTCATGGTACCTGTATTTCCGATCTAGATGGGTCAACATAGGAATATAGGAGAGATGTTCAATCTAAGTTTGGTCGTAGAATCACTGAAGTCACCATTAGAGGGTATGCTACGGCGCAGCGATCCAATTGCAAGACTCACAAAAATAATTTTCTGGCCTGGATGCACAACGTCCAGAGGTGCGAGACGATGATCCGAAAGCTAGGGCGTAGAATCGTACTAGTCAATGACGCAGCGATGGATCGCCACTTAAAACAATGATGACAATCAGGACTTGCGCCCTGAGAACGTGGAGATCCGCTTGGGGCTCGAGCACAAGGTTGTCTCGATTTGGAATGCTTCGGACCGGAATGTGTGGATAGTAATTTCCCGATGATTATACTATACTTGACTGATCGTGGCTTTGTACTTGTACCAGTGGCTAAGTTGCGGGACGAAAAGTATCGGATATGCCTTTTATCTCGTGTCCTGGTAATCCGACCAAAAAGGGAACCCTTTACGACATGCGGTAGTTTTCAGGGGTGCTATCGAAAGAGTGAGAAAGGCTTTACCCACGTCCAGGAACCGGAGAAATGGAGGACCCTCACTTATCGAGAGAGCAAGATAATCTGAAATTACCGTTCAGGTGGACGACGAGGTCATGTATTTACAATAGCAGTATGCCTGTGTATGCCAATTTGGGGCCCGAGAGAGCGCGGGGTTGCCATGTGCAGCATTTGTGCCTTAACTATCTGTCTTGCGTTGAGAGGCAAGCCTATTCCTGGAGGATCATCAGGTACAAGCAAAGCCGCACTTCGGTCAGATAGTGCTCATGACATTGTGTATTCGTATTACAAGGATTTGCCACAGTCATCTTTAAGAGGTGCTTACCAGCATGTTGCTGATAACGCTAGTACTAGTGGCAAGTGACTAGTCAGTCTCGGATATGAAAGAGCAGGAAAAGGCATGGCCGTGATGCGTTGATGGCAATGCCGCGATTAGTGAAGAGGAGGGAACTTGTTACTATCCTGAATCTTGCTCACGTGTAACGCCCACCTGAGAAACAGGCACCAACTTCTACCAACTTCGTCCTGGCCTGGTCCGGTGATTTCTCGATTGGTAGACTTATAATAACAAACCAAGAACCCACAGAACCTACCCATTGCTGGCAAAAGGAGCATGTCCGGCGTCAACCTTCGCCAAGCACTATAATTTGCAGTACGTCTTGTGCCTGGCAAATTACTCCATTGCTGCCGGACCCACCTTTGCCCAGGGACTCTCTCTTACTATCTTCCATCACTTGCTTTCTGTGTTTTTTTACAGCCTGGCATCTCCTACAATTCGCCATGTCTGGGGCAGTTACAAAATCTTCCCATGACTTCGACCCTTTAGACGAGGTTCTCAGGCCACCAATAAACGAAACTGAGCAAGATCGTGTTATCAGGCAAGCTCAGGAAGCAGAGGCACGCAGAGTCAGCCAAGCAATAGATGATTCAATACGAGCGGAGAAGCAGGCCCAGAAGAAGAAGGGTATTGTCAGATTGTTGTTGTTGGGTCAAAGTGAATCAGGTATGTCCGACGAGCTCAATCTCATTTACATTCACTTTGATAATTGGACGCTAGGTAAATCAACCACACTAAGACGTACGTATCAACAACTGCATCAGCCTGCGTGAAATTGAGTCATTCTGCTTAGACTTCCAAAAACTGTACACTCCCACCTGCCTTCCATGAAGAAGCGGATACTCTGGCGCAGCGTCATACAGCTCAACATTGTGCGGTCTGTCCGTACAATCCTCGATGCTTTATCCGACGTTCGACTTCCTACTCTTGATAGTGGAGGTGAAGACAGCGATGACGGTGCAGCCAACATACCCCAGGAGCTCGAAATGTTGCAGATGCGCCTTACTCCCCTACGCCATATTGAGGCATTACTCATTGCAAAACTAATACCTCCGAGCGAAGATGAAGCAGCTTCTGTCATTGGAAGCAGCGCTATTAGCGCATACCACTCTCATCGCAGCCGAAGTAGCGAGCGCTCATGGAGAGCCCAAGAAGTTTTCGTACGCCCTGGAGCCACATGGAAGGGAGCGCTCGCCAAGAGTACTCGTACTCGTCCAGTTTCACTAGGCAATACGGGAATGCAAACTCGGGATGAAGCACAAGAAGTCATCAATTCGTGCAGTTATGACATCATGGCTCTCTGGAATGACAGGCTTGTTCGGGAGGTTTTGCGGCGGAGAAAAATTCGCCTTGAAGAATCCTCCGGCTTGTAAGCGTTGGTTCTCATTCTATGTCTACTTCTACTTGAAACATTCTCGTTTTATAGCTTCCTCAACGACTTGGATCGAGTCACGGCCCTAAATTACACCCCAAACGATGGTGAAATACTCTTATGTTCTGGCAACGAAGGGAACTGGGTTAACCCTTGATATAGACGATGTACTTCGAGCGCGGCTGAAGACGGTTGGCGTCTCGGAATATCGGTGTGAAATGGAGGCCGTGGCTGGACGTGAAAGTGGTACTGAATGGAGGATAGTTGATGTTGGAGGTTCCCGGTCGCAGGTACATATTATTTGCTTCTCTCATCTCACGCTCACCCTTTTCCAACACGTGTTATCTTTGCAGAGAGGTGAGAAGCTCATTCGTGTTCAGTGTCAGCAGACGCTCAATCCCACCTTTTAGCAACATGGGTACCCTTCTTTGATGATGGTCCGTCCTCAATGTGTTTCATGTGCAGTCTGCTTATACGACTCCTAGTCGATGCAATCATCTTCCTCGCGCCAATATCCAGCTTTGATCAAGTTCTCTCTGAGGACCGCAGCGTGAACCGTCTTGTCAGTCACCTGTCATGCTATCGTTCTTTTTGGGGTTTACTATTTCTGTGCAGGAGGACAGCGTGCTATTATGGAAAGCTGTGTGCTCAAACAAACTGCTTGCAAACGTTGATCTTGTTCTGTTCCTGAACAAGTGTGACATACTCGATGCGAAACTCACGTCAGGGATACGGTTGTCGAAATATGTCCGCAGCTACGGAGACCGTCCTAACGATATGGAGACGGCCTCAAAATGTCAGCAGACCGTCTTTACTTGGCTCAGCCACTGATATCTGTCGCAGACTTCCGAAGCAAGTTTAGCGCGATACACCGAGAATACTCACCGCTCCCACGGAAATTCTATGGTTTTTGCACGACTGTTACAGTATGCTCATTCATCTTAGTTCTATTTATGGCTCCTGAATTTGGCTCTGTAACGCAGGACACGACTACGACTGCTGGTATTCTCGCCAGTGGTAAGTCCAATGTGGTCCTTCCAATCTTGTATGTTGACATTATGGTAGTGCGAGACATGGTTGTACGCAGGCACCTCAAGCAATCCAGGCTGCTATAGTAGCTCTCATAAGCTTGAATTTAACGACTGGGCCTCTAGAAAATCGCCTGAAGGAATCGTTTCCGCGTCCTTCATCTACGACTTGCCTCTACGCTCAACACGACACCACGTACATTCCATCCCAATACCTAGATTCGTCGCAACATGGTCATCCCCATTTGCTAACGGAATAGTACTTACGCCCATCAATGGTCCATGACTTCACATCATCTCCTCGCCCCATTTATCATTCTGCCTGCTCTGGAGGGAGCAGCATCTATTTTTCTCCGCAGCTGTAGCACATACTTCAGGAAATCGTCCTATCTACTCATCCCGCACCATTTCTGTCCGCGATTTACGTGTTCATCCGTCCCTTGTTAACTACTGCACTCATGTTCTCTGGATTTTCAAGGCTCCTACGGAGCTGCCCCATAGTTACCATGCATTCGACATACCTGTTTACTTTGTGGGGACGAGCGTGTACATGCTCATTCTCTACTGTACAATTGTACAACTGATGTGCTACCACTCATATATAACTGTTAAACCCCTGTGATTCGGACACCTCGATGGTTCAATAATCTGCAAAATTCAAGCACATCGCAAGCAGATCTTGTTGATCAATCACTATATAATATCTGTTGCGGTGTTGCAACATCGTATGTTCGTATATCCTGATTTTTGCTGGATTCATTTTGTCGGAGGAAAATACGGACTGCATGCCTGATTAACTCGAAGGTGCCCCCGGGGCCCCTAAGACGACAACTAAATTTGTCGACTACATAGCACAACACACGAGGATAACTTCTGATCTTCTTCCAAGGAGCTTGCTATGTTTCAAGTCCTTAATTTCGGATGATCTAGACTGTATTCGTACAAAACGCCCTTAATGTCTCCTCTCGCACACTTGCGACATCAAAGCACAGGTTCCACCTATAAGGTACATCATTAACGTTGCTAGGCACTACGTAGTCTACATATGAACAAATCGTGCGCAACGAAGTCAGTCTGTTCCTAGCAACTCGGATTCGGAAAACAAGGGGGTGTGATAGGTATTAGGGTGTGTATCCTGACTCCTGTAACGTGGTCGAATCTTCCTTCGTGAATCGGTCATCTATCTCTATCATACTCCTGAGCTCAGGCACCGGTGTACCTTGCCTGGAATTTCCATTTACCCAAATCAAACATGGAATCTTCCGTCCACCCTTCCCCTTCCTTGTTCGTTTATATCTGGATGAATGTATTAACGATGTATAGTTCGGCTTTTCTTTAAACTCCAAACCATGAGAATGATCGAAATATGTACGTCGTGAATTCCACGGGAGAGCGCGCGACTCGGAGCAGGTCACGGAGTGCTGAACCAGCTTTCATCTTCTCCATTCGGAGCAGTTTGGTTTTGTTGCTTGGTGCGTAGATGCCTTGTTATGGCAGACGGCGATGCAGGAGATATAACAGGACGTTTCAAGATCATCTCGCCGACTGTGTTCTGCACCTGGTTAGCCCGAACAGGAATTAGATTGGCCTTTACGAACCTCGTCTGAAATGCACATTATAACTGGAATATCGCGGGGTTTCCAATCCAACGCTGCATGCACGGTACATTTGTGCTCTTGTAGATGGGTCGACATATAGCTTCGCTAAACGAAAGTCGAATAGGTACACGATGTGAGACTTCTGCCCGACGCCCATCGCAAAATTGTCAGGCTTGATGTCCCGTAGAACAACTCCTCGGAAATGGGAAAGTTCAATTCTATCAAACTGACAAAACGTGCACAGATCAATATCACAATCGCGGGTGTTCAACGCACTTACCATTTGCAACCTGAGCATAACTGCCGTCTTCAAAGAGAGCTCGCATCTGCATTCTTCGGAACTGTTCGGGATTCGCACCTCGTTGTTCGAGGATCAAGAGATGCGATACTTGATTTAAGCCGCTCTATATGCACGATGGTATGCCTGGATATCCGCGTAGTAGGCTATACACCAGAGCTTCGTAAGATAAGACGCAAAACGTGTCCGATGTAGTCTCTGATTTGATCGCCGCCTCTGAGCCTGAGAGAACATGGGAAGCACTACACACATCTGCTGTGAAAAAGCGCGTCAGAAACAGCACACTATTACATGCGAACTTACCGGAGCCTCGCTCTCCAAGTAATCTCGTCGTTTGATAAATGCTACGGATGCAATATTGCATTATGGAAATCATAGGTTGCTTTGAAGGACAAGACGAGGACGACATGTTCTGTAGCTTCATAGGTAGAGTCTGTAATCCGTCAGTCACTAGGGTGGGGACACATATCACGAGGTTAACTCCCGATTCCAGCCCTCCAGGAAGTCGAAGCAGAACCGTTGGAAAGCCTATCATGCATGCCAGTTCCATCACTCGGTAACGACTGGATGTCACAACAAGAACTTGGGTCTTTTCGACCGTACTGCATATCAATTGACATCGCTCCAAGAAGTCTGAAAAAATGAAGGGGTTTTGGCTGAAGAGATCCGAAAAGGGCGCAGATTGATTGTCCACAGAAAGACCAGACGGAAATTGGGGGAAGCGAAAATGACTTCGTGTCCGAGGTCGGAAGACCGAGCAGCACATAGCCGTGATCCAGGAGCGTCCCCACAGTTTCTTCTGCATCGGCATATAAACCAGGTTGCAGGACAATCTGGACTGCTTCCGGGAGGACCGTTTCACTGAACGGCGCTTCCGGAACAGTGCAAACATCCTCCAAAGGGTGTCATACTATATCGGTATAGGGTACGTCAGCATTGTTTGTGTCTCATAAGTTCGCGCTCGAGATAAACTTCAGACAGTCGGTCTTTGTCGGAATGTGTTGGCGATAGCAAATGCATAGCGCCATATATAGCACCACCACGATCCTGATTGCGGATGAGCAACTTCAGCGTGAGATTCGAATATGAAAACCCACAATCATGGTATCAAATTTATATATCGAAGGTAAGAACTGCAGTGGACGTAGCGGACACAGGAGGTGCGCAGAGCGGGGTGAACACCACCCCAGTCAGAAGCTAGTTCCAGGCTTTGCGAGCTGTTGTCGAGAACAGGTGGGTCTCCGTCAACCAGAATGTTAAAGCATAGATTTCGTCAAAGGTCGGCACATCCCCAGCAAACGAATAATCCGGCAGAAAGAGGCACATGCTTCGTCGAGCAAGCGCATAATAAAGCTGTGAAAGCCAATTTTCCATTCCGTCAGAAGTCAACATTGCATCATACTTTGCAACCTGTCTCTCGACTTCGAAGTCCAGTTTACAGCAGCAGTGAGACACCCGTCCATGAGTAGTCCGCAGCAAGTCTGAAATGTGTGAGGGGGGAAAGGAAGCCAACAAAGCACAGGCAGCGTAATGGTTATTGAATGGCAAATCTTGATAAATAGATGGCGGTTCGACAGCAGACAAGTTGAAACTTTACTCTGTGGTTCGAGGTATTCGAACACATAATCGCTTCGCTTATTCAAAAACTCACTCTGTGACACGTCACTCCACGAATCCCATCCGTCCTCCACGGCGTCGCTGCCACCGGACCAGCGTTCATTCTTCCCGTATTATTCTCTCGTGTTTATCCAAGACAGGACGACGGAAAGCGAGGTAACTAAATTCTTCAACTTGATGCGGGAGGTTACCGGTGAGCCACGGTAACTCGCACGGGCTTGCAGTCCGAATCCTCGACAAGCCTCGGAAATGTATGGACGTAGAGAGTACCTCCTTCTGGATGCAAGGGCGGTTCAACGTGCAATGATTTCATACCTTCGATCAGTGACCATCCCAGAGCAAAATAGCACCTCTCTTGAGGCCATAGCATGATGTCCAAGAAGCGGAGCGTTCGGGCATGAATTTTGCGACGACAAAAGAGTGAGGCATTCGACGAAATATACGACAAACTGGCTTGCACGATTGGTACTGAAAGTCAACCTTCGGATGTCAGGGAGGCCCGAATCTGACTCTGAGCTGACTCATCACGACCTATAATTGTCAATTATATTTCGTCTCGACAAATTACCACCGTGTCACGATCATTAAGTTAACCAACCAAAGTACTCTTGGAGGCTGAACCAACGAAAGAGCTCCAGGTTTCTCTCGGCGACCCGCGCTTGCAATCAGTAAACCTCTTACCTCATCCTTCAACGTTCAAAACTTAGAAATGTCAACTTCGACGCCACTGGCAGAGGCCTCATTAGATGTGCTCGTCCGCTCGTTCATGATGATCATATTCTCCGAGATAGGCGACAAAACCTTTTTAATCGCTGCAATCCTCGCAATGCGCCATCCGCGTTTCACCGTCTTCGCAGGTGCCTTTGGGGCTCTTTTCCTCATGTCCATGCTGTCCGCAGCATTGGGTCACCTCCTCCCAACTCTCATACCAAGACAATGGACGCAGATTTCAGCCGGGATACTCTTTCTGGTATTTGGCAGCAAGATGATGATGGAAGCACGGGGAATGCAAGGAGGGAACGAGAAGATACAAGAAGAGATGAAGGAAGCGGAAGAAGAGATTGAAGGTGATGAAGAATCGGGGGATGCGATTCCACTTGAACGCCTCGAGGAGGGAGAGGGTGATACAGCTCCTCCACCAACGTACTCGAGAAATCGGAGTAAAAGTCTGGGTATTGCAGAAGGTGTTCGAAATTTCTGCAGTCTCATATTAGGTCCGGTCTTTGTTCAAGCCTTCGTCCTTACTTTTGTTGGGGAGTGGGGAGATAGAAGCCAGATTGCTACGATTGCTTTAGGTGCTGCTCATGTGAGTCTCTATTTCCATCAGACAGCTTGTTGGTGACGCTCTTCCAGAATGTCTACCTTGTGACGTTAGGGACAGTCATCGGGCACACGTGTTGTACTGCGCTGGCTGTAATGGGTGGGCGTTATGTATCGACCAAAATTTCCGTCAAGCATGGTAAGTTTTCCCCTCGACCACTGTCCTTTTATGTCAAAAATTTCCCCTCTGCCTTGCGCTTCTTTCAATGCCATGCCATCTATTTCCCCTGAGGTTAGCGCATGCAACGTTCCTGGATTTTTTGCTGTGTTCCCATTCCAGATGCTACCTGTTGCAATTATATGTGTTTCCTTCTTGTTCATCATTCTTGTCCTCTGCCTGCTTCGAGACTAACCACTGGTGTTTGCAGTGACCCTAGGAGGCGCAGTTCTTTTCCTCATATTTGGCGTCATCTATCTCTATGATTCGTTTGCCACTTCTGCAGAAGAATTCTCGATACCTATCAGTCCGGCTGGCCAGTAATATCCATGTCTGTGGCTCATTGCCGTTGATATGATTAGACTTCAGTGGAGGTTGCCCAGCAATTTAGCGTGGCGACATTATATCCCCAGCGGTACCTACTTCCACTTGATTATTTAACTCCCTAGCATATAATTATGATACACTACCTGATATTCTGTCTTGTGCTTGACAATGACATTAATATCGCTGTACTATGGCATTGCGCGGTGGTCTCATACGTAGTTGACAGTCCAGTTTCCATAGGATGAGCTCCGCCACATTGTAACTATTTATTACATCAAATCAGCGATGATATCCCCATGAGCCTGAGGCGCGCAGTGAGGGTCCTAAGGACTGGCTGCTTAGCCTCGCATGTCACACGTCTCGTACTACGATGCCGATAATACCGTGACTCATACCGTCATATGGGAGCTGGACTCAGAATCTTTTTGCGCAAACAAGTGCCAACACCGCGGCAGCCGCTGGAGTACTTCTGTTCTTCTGCAACATCCTTACACGCAAACTTAATTTCAGCCTCAGATTTAGTCCCTACTAGCACCACGTCGAGAGGTGCTCGGAGTAGTTCATTTTGTTTCAGACATCTTCTACCGAAGTACAACACGGGGGTTTAAATTCCGCTTGATTATTGCTTCGTGACTGATTTGAAACATAGGAGATACTGAGAGTCGAGACAGACCTCTAAATAGACTATAAATTTCTTCGTTGGGGTCGGGTCGGTCTCTCTTGAGTGCCTGCCAGGTTGACTACCGGAATGTTCACCCTATTTCTAACGCCTGTCCACTCATAGTACTAATACGATTTAGGGTTATCAATAACTGTGACGGCTCGCGAATTCGTGTAACTGGAGCCTAATATGTGTGTTTTCATGGTATAGAGCTGAAAAGTGAACAGTATTATACATCCTACCTTGCTTGGCTAATACCCACATGGCCCTACTAACATTATTTATATAAGGATCCACCCAGCTTCGGGGAAGAAAATGAACACTCATGGCCAATCAAGCTGTCAAGGCAGCAGAGTCCTCCGATAACGAGCAAGTGGCCTGGACACTCTTGGATCATTAACTGATTGGTTTTCCTAGGCCGCCCGGGTTTCCGGACTGCTGGAAGGTCCCACAGAATCGTGTATTGGCCTTGCTATTTCATGCGCTCTGTTTGATCTCGATGACAAGACCCACCCTTATCCATTATTGGCAGATAAACGGTGACGTTGAATGGAAGGAACATAAGAAGACGGTCGTTGGTAAACTGAAAAATGTCAACATTGTGGTAAGAAACATCAGAACGTCCCCAGCTGTCTCCTGATATGTATGTGGCATTACAGTCTGGCTTGGTAATGCTCTCAGTAATCAAAATATGACGGAAATATAACACTACATTGCAGGTCCTCGCTGTTTCTGCAGTCTTCCTTTCAACGCAGCCACCCTTGTCATATTTTCTTCCATACACGAAGCGTGTGTGCTACATTCTAACCCTACTGTCATTTGCGCATGCCCTCGGTGGTTTGATGTGTGGCTTAGCCGTGGCGAACGTATACCAGGAATGTGAGCAAGAATGGATTAAAAGAGTATGTGACAAAATCGAATTTGCAACTATGGCTCTTCACGCAATTACAGGTTATGACATGCACACGCTTTCGACTGTGCTTTTCACTGTTATTAATAAGTTGGGCCAGTGTATCTCTCACCCTTTCTATCCTCCTTTTGATGTTAGGTGAGCAGTCTACCTTTATGATGTGACATATCTAATGGCATTCCATAGCTCTTGTGATCGCGGCTTATACTTCTGGAATATGGTGGTTTCAATTCATGGTGACAATGGAGCTCATGTCCTGGGTGTGGCTGCCAACTTTCTTTGCCTGGTTTGCACTCAGGCCGCCATCATGAAAGAAACCGAATCAATCCAATCAGACGTAAAACACGCGGCAGGATGTCGGGCTAGTTATCGTGGTAAGCCTCCAGTCGCATCTGAGCACATGTAGCCATCGTGTCGACCACGATTTGTATAGTAGTATTGGGTGTAGAACTCATGTGTACCTCGACTTTCTATGTAAAGTTGCATCCCAAGAAGGTCATATATAAAAGCAGCAGTCCCCACACTAGACCTTCCGCAAACTGCTGTATCATCTAGCATCTTCTATAATTACGATTACATGTTTCTGTCATCAAAAGTAATGTCAGAGTCGCTGTAAGCACCCGGCAGTAAATGAATTGTGCTGCAAATACGAACTTTGCGCAACGCGCACCGCACGTGGTGCGCACGCCGTGGAACACGCAAATAATAAATATGCAGACGGCCTTTCAATGAACAACAACTAGAGTGAAAGTGTGCACCAAAGACATGCCACCTGAGCCAGTTTTTCGACTTAACCAGAAGTAACTGGGAATGTTCTCAGAACCAGCGTGCGATTTTGCACACTCGTAAGATGAAGTATCAATATAAAATGATATGCTATATGCACCCACACCATCTTCGACTGCAAGATGAGTCTGTCACGGGATATGCCTCCGCACCAGAGCGGTTCAGGTCAGGACTGTCAAGGAGTTTCTGAAACGAAGCAATGTACGGTCGTAGAATGTAGGGTTGAGCACGGGTGGACCCGCGGGTCGCTGGAGCCACACCACACCCGCTACGGTACGGGTGTATATCGACCCGCCAATTCTACGGGTATGAACGGTGTTTGCGGTGTACCGCGGGTTTTTCACAGACCCGCGGGTCATATAGTATTTTCGAGTGCTGGAGACGGCGAACACCTCCGATTCATTTGTGTGCTGCGCAGGGGAAGAAGTGGCAAACACGACCATTCACGTTCTGAATGGCAACATGATCGGTGTCAAAAATGCATAGACAGGTGAACGCAAATTCTTCTTGAGTTTTTCTGTATTGAATTGGTAAGGCACTTACATAGTACAGTAATATCAGCAGAAGTCTTACGAAGTTCCGCATCCAGGTTTTCTTCGTTGTCAGACTTTGCTGCCGTGTCAATACCATTGTCATCAATTACCGATGGCTCGGGCGATGATGACGGTGATATCGAAGACGATTTTGACAAGTATGATTGGATCGAAGACTGGTCGGCCTTCTTTAAGCAGCGCATAATCCACTGGAACATCAGCATAATCAGTGCAGTCAATTGTCACTCCGAATCGATATTGCTACTCGATGAACCTGCGATCAAAGCTTCGAAAGGATGGGTGGAGGCTGAGGGCTCTACACCCATCCAACACCGCAAACCGCCACGGGTAAGCACGGTGTACGTGCGGGTCTCCATAATCCACACCGCACCCGCGCCCGTGCTCTACCCTAACGGCACGACGGCATCTAAGTCTGTTAGGACGAAAGGAGACACTGTCAGAAAATGAATTATTACGACAGGTTGAAATATACCTAAGTTACACTGGCAGTTGAAGTGCTGACGCGCAGGGTGGGGCTTGACGAACGATGCGTAGGTTTGACGTGGCACTGACGCGGCATGATCAGATGAGGTCTGACGCAGCCGTGACGCGGCATTGACGCGGTATGTGCTATGCTTGATGCGGCATGGGCAAGTGTGGGGATTGACATTAGTACGGAGGCTGCGAAGATGTTGGGGTGAATTTGTCGTGGTATGAATGGTGTCTGAATGAGACTTGAAATGATAACACAGTGCAGAGGCTGCATCGGACTGGACAAAGTGGGGTCAAGGCTTACCAACACAGTACCAGTGAAACAATACTTCACACCAGTGCCTCTGAAAACTAATATTAGTTCAATGATCAGAGGCAATACACGACAAACACAAGATGCATACTACCAACATACTACATTCCCCAAGTAGTACGAACGCGGAGGACAAGCACCGTAAATATGGTGAGAAGCAAATCCAGCACTCCAGGGACCTAAACGCAGATGGACATTCATATAATGTATTGATCATTAATTAGCGAGGATTCAAAGCGTTTGGAATTCATTACATAATGAATTCCAAGCGTTTTGAATCGGGCGACATAAGATGGTGTTTGAAACTTGAAGCCCAGTGAAAATCGACAAGAATGAGGTAGATACGTGCCGATAGACGTCTAAGTACAAAATGAGACGGATACAAATCGAAGAAATTCGAGAAGGCAAAACTCTAATTTCGTGCAAACGCAAAGAATCTTTCCAAAGGTGAAAAAATGCAAACATATCAGACCTCGATTGTGTAGTACTTTGCAACTTTGCGACAAATTTTGCACCTGCATGCATTCAATGCACGTGTGTATTTTGCACAAGTCCATAACCGTATTTGCATTATGTTTATTGGAGTCCTAGTACAGTTGAACCACTCGCCTCATTTGTTCGCATTAGCTCTATATTGATATGTTTTTCAAGCCAAATCGAGTGATAATGTGCATGTAAATGTCTATCTAAAGATCTAATGCCATTGAGAATCCTATCTAAACGTTAAAAACTCGTCTCGATCTCTATCTTTTTGCGTCTCGAAAAGTCACAATTTAGGGATATACCTCGAAATGGGTCGATAGAATTGATGTCCTGATTTTTTTTCTATGTCTATCGTTACATATCTACCTCTAACTTGTCGATTTTCACTGGGCTTGAAGCTTGAAGGATTTGTGACAGTGCCGCGTCACGTACGCAGCATCGATTTCACCTGGCCCGATTTGGATATGTCAGACTAAAGACGGTATTTCTCAGTATCTCTCTCAAACCATCTCCATATGCCAGACCAAAGTGAGTAGTTTTTTATATTTATTTTCTAAACAGCTGATGTTTATTTGAAGCGGTTGAATCGCAATACGCAGCAGGTAGCGCACGTTCCGCTCATAAAGTCACCAGATCTTCGAGTTCCTCCACCTGTACGAAGCATGTCCTCCTCGTCGACCACACTGACTTGCTTGCAGGTACATCTACCATCTGACATCCACCCTCTCCCTGATAGCGTTGCTCTATATCCATGTACCTTTAACTCTCGAACAATCTCACTCACCCAAAAGCTCGCAGTTCATCTATCCACACACTAGAATCGCACATACTCACAGTCGAGTCTTCTCGGTGCATGACACTCGCGGCGCATACGGCGAGGAGAGAGGTGTATCTTTGTGCGAGAGAGGATGGGCGTGAACGGCGGAGAAAGGAGGCACTCAGGCTGTTGCACCGGGTTTTGATCCTGCAACGACGCTTGTGCCTGTTCGTGCTGAAGTTGCCGAGGTTAAGACGGACGTGATGGATCAGCTCGTGGACCAGCTTTCCAAGTTGGAGAATGCTAATTGAGTTGCTGGGAATATCAGGTCTTTCATCGGAAAGGATACTTTGACTCAGGTCACCGTACTTACAAGTTTGTAATTCTAACATTCTTATAGTCTCGTAATCTAATCTTTCTTCTAGTCAAGACAGTATTTCATTCGAGTGTTGGATGCAATCATTCGGCCTCTCAAACTCACGGATCAGCATAACATGCATTTATCTCCAGCATCGATCATAGTGGTCGAAGGGTACGTGCTGGTCTCCCGACTTTTATAGTTTCTGCTTCCACACTTGCACTTCCCCATTCCTTCCTCTGGTTCCGGGACACTGGCACAAGCACCGTGATATAAGGGGACAAATAATTGTTGACCGACACTCTTGAGCTTGTCGCTGGCTACAACCCTCAACTCCTTCACAGCATCGACTGCCCCCTATCCCTGTTCTGAGTCTCGTCTCTCCAGCCTTTCGAGAACGTGATCCAAATTTCTGACGAGCTGCTTGAGATCAGATTTCAAAGCAATCTGCATATACTTCCTTGCGCCTTCAGCGAAGAACGTGGAGGAACTCGAAACATTAATGTATGTCGTCAATCATGTGGCAAACATAGGTCGATGCGCTTCTCATCATTTTCACCCATGTTGATCCATGATAGAAGCGAACGGTATGACCGACATCTGTTCAGGTGCGATTTGGAGGAGTTCCGAATCAGCCACAATGAGCTCAAATTTACGGCTTGTTACAATCTTTGCTGTGAGTTTTTTCCTTTGAGCCGTTTCAATTATGCGATGTAGATAAGCCTGGAGATCCTTGCTCCAATTTTCCAACAGACCTTGCGTGGCAGCTTACTGGTATTGCAGGTATTTTCTGTTCGTTAAGGCACAATCGTGCAAGAAGAATTTAATGTTTGTTTGACGCGAGGCTGTTAAGAGGATTCTGGTGGATCAGCGGTGGATAAGTCCTTCCTAAAATGCATACTCATAATAACGAAGAATGTTATTCAGTATATAAAAGCAAGATGTCTTCCTACTAACCCTTCAGACATATTTGATCCCATATCACATCCTCACTCATAATGCGTTTCTCCTCTGCAATTGTCCTCGCCGTCGTTGCTGCTTTAGCATCATCAATCTCTGCCACGCCCGTTGCCGATGCTGGCACCGAGACATGTGCCACCTGGTGTATACATGATAGACAATGTAGCACCTGCCCTGGGCGCAAATGCGTGAGTTTCAGTGGTTTGCGTCCTGGATTTAACTACATGACTAACCGGCACGGCAGACCTTCCCTTGGTGCGATGTGAGTCGTGTTTTTTCTTTCACGTCGGTACAGTATGGTTCACGACACCGACGCATGAATTACTAGACGAGGGTCTTCCCACCGTCCTAGTGAGTCGTGTTTCTGCTTTCACATCGATGCAGTATGGTTCATGGCACTGACGCGTGAGTTACTATATGAGGTCCTTCCCACTATCCAAGTTGGTCGTGTTTTTCTGCTTTCACGCCGGTGCAGTATGGTTCATGGCGCTGACGCATGAGTTGCTAGGTGAGGCTTTGAGGCCTTCTGCTGACTTTTGACTCAGTTTCCTTTTTGATGTTCACCAGCACTTAGATATTTCGTGTCGGCTTTTCTCTTTTTTTTTCATTTCTCAGTTTCGTGCCCCTCTGTTTCGATAGTTGTTGTTGTGGTCGCCCGGCATCTCGCCTCTCTCTGATGGGAGTCCGGGGAGTAGGGAAGGGGGGAAAACCATATTTTGATAACTATCAGCCGGTCCGCGAGCCTCATTGCACGCTCTGGATGTGCAAATTTATATATATGTCGATCATACTGGACTCCGAGCACTAAAGTGGGTATTTGGAACCCAGACACCCACTTTAGTGCTCGGAGAGGATTTTGCAGAATGGCATGCTGTCTGCCATTTCACACGTAGAAATCACTTTCCTTACTAGGGTTCGGCGTTGCAGGCGCTCGCTCAAAGCGAGACCTCAGGCCTCAGGCCTCAGTACTATTCAGTACTCAATGTTGCAACGTCGACATAAGTACCGAGGCTGAGAAGATGTTGGGGAGAACTAGTAATGGTGCTTGACATGGTAGCATAGAGTAGAGGCTGTGTCGGACTTGACAAGGTGGGGTCGATACTTGAGACAATTGCACACTGTAAGTACTTAGTACTGGATGCAGTATCCCAGGGCCTGTAGTACGCAAATGGACACTCATATATCGAGGAACCTTTAATCAAAGTTTAAAGTGTTTGGAGAGCGACATAAAATGAAGGATTTGTGGCAGTGTCGCATTACATACGCCGCGTCAATGCTCGCCCTGTGCTTATTTAATCCCGGGCCTGCTCGGTAGCTTCACCCTAGGGCTTCACAGGACCCATACGAAATTAACCTATATGCCGTTCCACCTGCGGGGCTACGTGGCACATGCTTTGTAAACGGACCAGACCCGACCAAGTTTGTCATGGCTGCCAAATGGAGTCATGACTGAGTCCAGTTTGTTCATCATTACATTTTCTTTTTTTTTGGACGAGCGATATATATTTGTAGCAACTGACAAGGTCTAGTTCTACAAGTATGCGCTATGGCGGAGTTCATGGAACACCGGTCCGAGGGAAAATGCACTTACGCACTCCCGCTTTCGCGGGGTGCCACACATTTTCTGATGGTTGCGATCCGTGCAGGGTACAGGCGGACTTGGTGCGCGAAACAGGAAATCATTCCTTTATACTAAAAGAGTCAAGACGCTCTGTATCGGTGGCTTCAAATAACAGGTGCAAGAGCTAATTATCGTCTGTCATTTTATCATTCTTACTCCTCCGAGCAGACAATGTCTCTCCCTAAGAACATTACCGTGCTTATTGTCGGCGCTGGCCCCGCAGGTCTCACAGCTGCTCTTTCTCTCGCCCACCACAGGTGCCATGACTTCGTTATCGTGGATGCCGTAGTCGAAGGACAGAATGTGTCGAGGGCGTTCGCCATACACTCTGCGACTGTTGAAGTAAGCCACCTGTGCGCTCATAAGAAGGCCCACTGATGTTCTTGTAATCTTAGGCTTTAGCCAGCATCGATGCAGCAGATGGCTTACTGTCTCGAGCCATCAAGGGGAAGAGTGTCAGAATCACATCGCGTAGTTCACAGATCTTTGAGGTCAAATTCGACCCTCTAAAGAGACATTCCGTCCACCCTTACGCGCTCTACATCCCTCAAAATGTGACGGAGCTTGTACTTGGGCAGAAGTTGCAGAGCCTCGGTGTTCAAGTGCACCGTCCACACAGGGTAGTAGGAATGAAACAGAACGAGAAGGACTCTCGCATCACCGACGTGTCCTTTGAGGACGGTCAAGTCATCAGAGCTAGATATATTATCGGCGCGGATGGCGCCCGCTCAATTGTGAGACCTCTGTGCCTGCTAACTTAGCTTGGTGGAACGTCTGACGACCATTTTCAGATCCGTACCATCGCCGGTATAGGGTTCTCTGACCCAGAAGGCCCAAACCTAGCCAATAACCCATTGACTCAAATGATCTTTGCAGATGTCACATTCGAGCCTGAACCTGTCGATCCACTAACCCTCGAGGGCCACCTTAACGCCACAGTTTTTTCAGGCAATTTATTTATACTTCTACCGTTCGGCAACCGCTTCAATGCGGCATTGACACGAGATGGAGAGCCCACTATGAGATCTGTCTTCCGTGTAGGTTGTGGCGTACCTTTAAAGAATGGAGAGCCCCTCCATACTCCACCGAAAGAGTACATCCAGGACTTGATCGACAAATACGGGCCAGCGTGTATAACATCAGATCCATCTCTTAACCCAACACCTGTCAAAGTCGACCAGCTGGTCTGGTCGACACGTTTCAGAACCCATTCTGCCATCGCCGACCGCACCTTCACGCGTTTTGGAGCTGCTATTTTTCTAGTAGGCGACGCAGCCCATATACATTCACCTTTGGGCGGCCAGGGCATGAACCTGGGCATCAGGGACGCGATCTTCCTGGCAGAGGTTATCACAAAGCACATTCAAGCGTCTGTAGAGAATCCCGTTGTGGATGATATCATGTTGCAGGAAATTGCGGACGTGCGTCATGCGCGAGCGCTGGAAATCATCGGTTTTACCAAGACGCTTCTGAATCTCGCAAGCTTTACCTACGATTCATACGCTTGGTGGATGCCATGTAGTAGGGCCTCCATTCGCGATCTGATACTGAGGATCTTGGGCAGATTTGATTACGTGCAGTCGAAGGTTGCATGGAGCCTGAGTGGGCTTGGAAGGCGATAATCGGATGGTTTGGTCACCGCATTTTGTATACGATAAATCACGACATTTCAAATTTCAATTTCAAAGATAGGAGAGACATAGAAGTATCAAATATTCTCAAGTGGTGCACTGGCTCCTGACCATTTGGAGGGAGGTGCCGAACAGGTTGATTGTGATGAAGACAGTGAGCGCGACTGGTAACAGACCACACATCGTAAACTATTTTTACAAGATGAAGCAACATATATATATAATGATGCGATGTGGCCCTCCAATCCCCTTTGTGTGTGGGTTTCATCTTCGTACGCTTAGTGGTGAACATCCTGCTTAATGAATGCGACGGCTTTCGCAGGGCGAGGCTTAAAAGAACACTTGAGGGGCTTCAGATAGCAAGAATTCTGTCCAACTAGACCAGCGCGGGACGTGATAAGATATGTGACATACCTGATCTGATGGGATCACCTGAGTCTGGGATTGATCCATCGTCAGGTACATGAACTGAATGTGGACCAACCTCAGACTCAGGTGATACTGTTCTCGATGACTTTAGAGATATAGAATACGGCCAGTGACATTGCGGTGGACATCCAGACGCAGACTGCAGTAAGGTGGAGAACTATACATCAAAAGCAAGAGATGTCAGAATGTTTATCGGCGCTTCTGTGAGTCGGGCATACCTGAACAGATACTGCAGAGTAGCTAGCATTCCACAAATAACCAACTCCATGCTTACGGTCACAAGGTGCTTCCTCAGCTTTCATCTATCCCATTCGGCACAGTTTGGTAATGTCATTAGTGAGCGCTTGAGCACTAAGAAATCGATCAGATTCGTTTCGATGGAAAACTACTGGTCTGCAGCACTAACCTATCGAGACTCGCGATTCATCTCATCCTAAGACACTCTGGATCGTCACATAAGCAGTAAGCACCCATTCTGAAAATCATTTGGCGTTTTAGTTTCTCAAACCATAACGACGCAGAGTCTCGGTGCGGATCCTGTAGCGTCCGTCGGTGTATAGTAGGACGATACACTGTTGAAGAAGTTTGCAATTAAAGGCGAGGTTGAGATTTGGGTTACCGGAGCGGCGGAGACGAATGATGGATGTGTTAGGTACTTGTGACAGCCGATGTCTTCGATGTTTGGAGAACTTGTTCTGCGCGTTGCAATTGCCCGATGTCCAGGATCATGATGTACTTACTACTGGCAGTGCCGCAGTGGTTGGTCACCGCCAAGTGACCCAAGTCAATGATGATGATATTACCGTGAGCTTCGAGCTCTGCTGTTTTTTGCAATTGAACACCGGTGTATTTCGGTCTCCGATCAGGCCCGTATACACTAGTACAGTTAAAGAAGGAACGACCATCTTTGTCCAACTTGAAGTAAGACTCCTTACGAACTTTACGGTATCCGAATCGTTCAGACAAGGCAAGTCTTTTTGATGATCAAAAGATGAACCATGCGCTCGGGCTCAGCGCTACTCGGCGGCTATGTTTTAAATCTTAATCAGGGCTGAGCAGCGTGGTTGTATGTTGAAGGTTCTGATTTGAAGTGGCAGTGGGTCGGCTATGCCAAATTCGACCCTCGGAGCAGTGCACTGTCCTTACTGAGTTATACGTCTAGGTACTACTGCTGGTGCCACTACATCCATGCATGTGTTTGCGCCGCCCAATACGCGCGGTTAGTCCATTCTCTGCTACGTAATAAAATTCTGTAGCTATAAAAGCCCTGGATGGTGACGATCGTCTTTGTTGTACGTTTACCAAGTTCACTAATTCCAATATGACATACGTCTCAAATGATCCGAATAGCACTTACCTCAATGATCCTGCTTGGTGGCCATTTCTCGTTTGGACTCGTGCTTACAGCAATTTTGCAGGTTCGTGGAGAGCAACTCAGATGTAAAATGTTGGTGACGTCTCACTAACTTTAACTATGTTTTCGCAGTTGCATCCTCTGTTGTAGTGGTATACGATTGGGGTGAGCGAAATAACACCGTGACTTCCAGAGGGGATCGCTGATATCTACATGATATCAAAGCATTGACATTTGGACAAGAGGTAAGTTGATCGTACCATCCTCGGCCCAGCCATCTCACTAAGAATGTTCTTACAGCTCGAGCTGGTCTGGGTGAGAAAGGTTTATATCAGAAGCTCAGACGGGATAATTCAATCGTTTCCGGACAGAAGCAAGGCTGGTCTCTCATAAATCTGTTATATATCATTGTGAGTAGCCTGTGCTAGTAGTTCGTGCAATGAGCTACAGTCGAGAAGTTGTGCTAACTTTGACATATGATAGGTGCGCTATTTTGGAATACTATATTCTGTGTATGTTTGGGAGGTGGATAACTCCGTGCTGCGCTAATGATGTTATCTCTCATAATCAGCATCAACTTCCTAGGTATGTATCCTCAAATACGCTCATTCGGTTTGACTGACGGCATGAAGGGAATGTTCCAATCTCGAATACAGATATAGTGGGCATTCCACCGATGCCTACCCAACTAAGTACTAACTACCCACCTCCATAGGGGTGAGTGACATTCTTGGTCGCCTTGTTTCTTCAACATAACGACTGCCACAGATGTAAGTTTGTTTAACGCATCGAGTATACCTACGCACATCAGTAACTAATTTTTCAGGCAATTTTTATTACTTGCTGCAAGCATGGACACCTGTCGTCGTCAATGCTATGTTAGGGGGTGAGCTCAGTTGTGATATCTTACTGATGCTGTCTTGACTGACATACCATGCAAGTCATCATAATGACTCGGATATACGCCATGTATCAGCAATCCAAAACGATACTTATCCTTCTCATCGTAGTCTTGCTGGCTTCTACCATCGCCTCTGGAGTTGTTTTGGGCATGGGAAACATCGGTGTTTCAGGGAGTAAGCTATTGATAAAAGCCTTAAGCACACGAGACTCACGGACAGATACTAGAGGAATTCGTCATTTCTGGCTATTATATCTGTCTTGTCCAGATCACCAGAGGCAAGATGAACCTAAATCACGAGATGGTGATACCCACCGCTATATGGGAGATCTTCGCCTTCTTTCTTGCAGTCTGGATTGTTATAAAACGCTTCTGTGAAATGCGACGATCGCCAACCGGATCCTCCATTGGAGACTGTTTCAAGATGTTGATCAAAAGTCACACGTTGTACTTTCTAGCGTGAGTTCAGTTATTTAACGATTAGTATCTTACTGATGTTCTGCATGCCCTAGCTTTGCTGCTGTGGCTTGCTTCAACCTTGGCGACCTGTCTCCAACTTTGCTGGTGCGCCGATCCACGAGTGACTCGCACCTGCATCTGACCACTCCCCTTCATTTCTATTACAGCACTCAACAGCCGTTGCAGCTGATATTTATGCCGGCGCTCTCCGAGTTGCGCGAGTGCTGCAGATGTTTGTGCTGGGACCCACGTCTGATCCTTAGCATTCGGGAATATCACACTAAGCTCGTGTCTAGGTCTGATGGGGGAAGCGGTATAACTACCATGGCTTTCCAGACTCTTGGACATGTACCGACTGGTGAAGTGTAACTGGACACAACTCAAGTGATCGACCCTGTGTAATGTGGTTATTATTATTACATTGAGGATGAATGTAGCAGTATCTAGGTGTACGGGATACGATAAAAGGTGTATTGGGCCTCTGGCCTCACCAGCCATTATTGATTTGATCTACTCTGAAGTGCTCGAGCATGATTTAGTAGGCTCTTGTAGTATGACCGGGACCCATTGCAAGTCAACGCACGAGGATAAATTCGATTGAAATCGTGTTGAGTCTTCTGCAAGGTCCAGTATTATGTTCGCTTGCGCAAGGCTGGAAATTAGGGACGACTTTCTTTCTCCTTTGCGCGCGAGACTATCTTCCTCCGCCAAAGAAAGCGAGGGATCATGACCTGTAGCGTAGTTAAATCTCCTTTTGTGAATCGGACATCGAACTTATACTCTTCGGGCACCAGTGTACCTATGTCGGTACTTCCATCCAGTGGGTCAAATCTCGTATCTCCTGTCCACCCTTCCTTCTCCATCATCTGGCTGAACAACTGTCTCAACAACGCGTAGTTTGGCTTGTCTTCGAACTCCAGACTACGGCAGTGATCGAAGTACGTCGTGAATTCGGGAGGAGAACGCGCGAGCAGGTCACAAAATGCTGCCGACCCAGCTTTCATCTCCCCCATTCGACGCAAATAGGCCTCTTCGTTTGGTGCATAGATTTCTTGCCAGGGAAGACAGCCATGCAAGAAAGATAGTAGGACATTGCCCAATGCTTCAAGATCGTCTCGCCGTCCTTGTTCTGCTCCTCGCTCGTTAGCCCTGAGCAGGAATTAGAATGATGTTCACGAACCTCGCCCGAAGTGCACATTGTAGCTCGAATACGGCATGGTCCCCAATGCATCGCGACCTTCACGGTATGGTATGTGTACTCCTGTGGATGGGTCGATGTATAGCTTCGCCAAACCAAAGTCGAATAGATAGACTATGTGAGACTTTTCCCCGACGCCCATCGCGAAATTTTCAGGCCTGATGTCTCGCAGGATGACTCCTCGCGAATGGGCGAATTCGACTCTGTTGAACTGACAAAAATCAATATCAGACCGGCGCGAGTGTTCAACGCACTTACCATTTGGACTCCGAGCATGATTACGGTCTTCCGAGGAAGCTCGCTCCTCGACAGTCTGCGAAGCTGTTCGAGATTCGCACCTAGTTGTTCGAGAACCAAGACATACGATCCTCGATCCAGACCACTCCATTTGAACGACGGTATACCCGGATGACCACGCAGGAGGCTATACACCAGAGCTTCGTAAAGTACTACGCAAGGCATGTCTGGTGTGTCCTCCGATGCAGTCCCTGATTTGAGTGCAACTTCCGAGCCGGTGAGAACGTGGAAAGCACTCGTTACATATCCTGTAAGGTCACAGCCCATCAGAGAGTGTGAAACAGACAAGTATGCATATGAACGTACCAGAGCTTCCAGCTCCAAGTAATTTCGTCATCTGATACATGCCACGGACACGCGCCGGTGGTGTTAGAAAGCCAATATGAGGTTGCATCCGAGGCGGTGAAGGACAATGGACAAGCGAGGTGTTTTGCAGCTTTACCGGTAGAGCTTGCAATCCGTCTATCAACAGGGTGGGCTGACTTGTCCTGAGGTTGACTCCCGATCCCAGGTCTCCAGGACGTCGAACAAGAACCGTTGGGAAGCCCGCCATGCTTGCCGGTTCCATCACCTGGTAACAGCTGGATGTCACTACAAGAACTTGGTTTTTTTCGGCGGTACTGCATGCTAAGCGACAGCGCTCCAAGAAGCCCGAAAACATAGAATGGTTTTGGCTAAAGAGATTCGAAAGAGGCAGGGGTTCATCGTTAACATTGAGACCAGATGGAAGTTGGGGAAGTGAAAACGACTTTGCGTCCGGGATCGGAAGACCGATCAGTGCATAACCCTGATCCAGGAGCGTCCCTACAGCCGCGTCTGCATCGGCATATAAACCAGGTTGCAGTATAGTCTGTACAGCTTCGCGGAGTACTAGTTCGCTTAGCGGCGCTTCCAAAATGCAGACATCCTCCAGAGCTTGTCGCACGATGGCGGTATAGGGTGCATCAGAATTGTCTCTGTGTCTCATAAGTTCACATTCGAGATACAATTCAGACAGTCGGTGTCTGTCGGGATGCGTTGGCGATAGCAGACGCATAGCATCATTTATTGCACCGTCACGATCCTGATTGTGTGTGAGCAGCTCACACGCACGGGGTTTACATATGTAAACTCACTAAGATGGTACCAAAGAGGTCAAAAGCGATAACTCTAGTGGACGGAGCAGACACAGGAGACATGTAGTCCGGGATGAGGTCGAGTTCGACATAGGGCTCGTTATCGTAGTCCCAAATATCTGACAATTGTGAGCTTTATCGGGGGTCACCGTCAAAAGGAACCTTCATTGACCCGAGAATTAGAGCAGATTCCTTGATATTTTCATCGAAGGTCGGTATATTCCCACAAAATGAGGAATCGGGAAGAAGGAGGCTCCTCTGTCGAGCCTCGTGCGCACGATCAAACTACGAAAGCCTTCCGTTAGAAGTCGCGGGCGATGTCTTAGTGGCCTACCTTTCTCAACTTCAAAGCCCAGTTCACAGCGAAAGTTACATCCGTCCATGAGTAGTCTGCAGTAAGTCTGGAACGAGTGAGGGTCACAAAGTGCACTAAAGAGAGATAACATACTGATTATACAGAAGTAAATTTTGATAAATGGACGGTGGTTCGACAGCAGACAAGTCGAAACTGTGTGGTTCCAAATATTCGAAAACATAACCATTGTGTTTGCGCTCCCAGTCGCTCTGTTTATTATAGGCATTCCACGTGTGCCATTCGTCCCCCCACCGGTTCGCTGCCACCAGACGAGCGCTCGTCAGTTGAGTATTTGACTTGCAGGATTCTGTCATAGTCGTCCAAGACCGAACGACAGAAGGTGAGATAACTAGAATGTTCAAGTTGATGCGGGAGGTGAGCCACAGAGCGTGGCAGTTTGATTTCGATATGCTCGAGAAGCTTCGGAAATGTATGGACATAGAGAGTACCCCCCTTCTGGATGTAAGGGGGGCTCGATGTGCAACATCTTGCGGCGTTCATCCAGTGACGATCCAAGAGCAAAGTAGCACCCCTCATTCACTCCACTTGGTTTCTGAGGTGATATAACAAATAAAAAATCTCCTTCGCGCCAATCGTCATCGTACCCAATGTCTTTGCGTGAGATCCGCAACGCTAGAAAAGGGCGAGTTGTTAGGGAAGCCGCTTTTAAAATACCATAGTCGGAGGTCCAATAAGCCGAACGCCGAGGCATAAATTCTGCAACAACGAGAGTGTGAGGCATTCAGAAAGTCCCAGAATTGGCCAGTCAGTGTAGGGATTTCAAAGGACACGCTCAGGAGCCAAGGCTTAGGAGTTCGACTCAAATTTGATCTTACCGAATAAGGAAGGTGGGTCGACTTCTGCTTCTGCTTCAGCTTCGACATAACTACGACAAGCATTAAAAATTATTTCAGGCTTCTTCTCACCGGCTCTCTGATGCGCCTCCATCATTCGTCTCCGGTAACCCAAATCTCAACCTCGCCTTAATTGCAAACCTCTTCAACAGTGTATTGTCCTACTATACACCGACGGACGCTACAGGATCCGCACCGAGACACTGCGTCGTTATGGTTTGGGAAACTAAAACATCAAACTATTTTCAGGATGGGTGCTCACTACTTATGTGACGATCCAGAATATCTTAGGATGAGATGAATCGCGAGTCTCGATAAGTTAGCGCTACAGTAGTTTTCCATCGAAACGAATCTGATCGATTTCTCGGTGCTCAAGCGCTCACTAATGACATTGCCAAACTGTGTCGAATGGGAGAGATGAAAGCTGAGGCAGCACCTTGTGATCTTAAGCATGGAGTTGGTTACGTGTGGAATGCTAGCTTTCTACTCTGCAGTATCTGTTCAGGTATGCCCGACTCACAGAAGCGCCGATAAACATTCCGATATCTCTTACTTTTGATATGTGTAGTTCTCCACCTTACTGTAGTCTCCGTCTGGATGTCCACCGCAATGTCACTGGCCGTATTCTATATCTCCAAAGTCATCGAGAACAGTATCACCTGAATCTGAGGTTGGTCCACATTCAGCTCCTGTAGCCTGATAGTGGATCAACCCCAGACTCAGGTGTCTCATCGGATCAGGTATGTCACATATCTTATCACGTCCCGCGCTGGTCTAGTTAGACACAATTCCTGCTACCTGAAGCTCCTCAAGTGTTCTGTTAAGCCTCGCCCTGCGAAAGCCGTCGCATTCATTGAGCAGGATGTTCACTACTGAGCGTACGAAGATGAAACCCACACACGAAGGGGATTGGAGGGCCACATCGCATCATCATATATATATGTTACTTCATCTTGTAAAAATAATTTACGGTCTGTTATCAGTCGCGCTCACTGTCTTCGTCACAATCAACCTGTCCGGCACCTCCCTCCAAATGGTCAGGAGCCAGTGCACCACTTGAGAATGTTTGATACTTCTGTGTCTCTCCTATCTTTGAAAATAGAAATAGAGATGTCGTGAATTATCTTATACAAAATGTGGTGACCAAATCATCCGATTACCGTCTTCCAAGCCCACTCAGGCCCCATGCAACCTTCGACTGCACGTAATCAAATCTGCCCAAGATCCTCAGTATCAGATCGCGGATGGAGGCCCTACTACACGGCATCCACCAAGCGTATGGATTGTAGGTGTGCCGCCGAACAGCACAGGATGTGGTGCAGGGAGCTGATATGGAGTGGGAATGTCGCCAGGGAAGATGCCTTACGAGGTGCTTGGATGGAATGGGATCGCGTTGACAGGTTACAGTGAATACAAATGACGTACGTACGGTGCTGTCAAGAAGGTACAAGGTACAGAGAGGGAATGAATTTCGGGAGGAAAAGTCGATTGTACCCAGCTATTGAATGCGGGAGAACGGGTAAAGAAATCGGCACTCCGAGGCAAATACATGGATAGGATATCGCTGTACATGATCATAGACACGACCTATGTGGGAGTAGTTGGACGCGAGAGTCGCAGTGCAGGCGAGGACAAACGGGGAGCAGGGAAGCACAGGGAAACCTGCCGGTGGGGAGTGACCTAAGAAATATTAGGCGACACCTTGATGGTCATGAGGCATCTGTCTGAAGTTATTGAGTGGAAAAGGAGCGATGTACGCTGACAGTATGATTGGACGAGCTCGACAGATCGGAGAAGAAATTGGCAGATGCCGGCAAGGGCCGGTGGAGTCGGGAACTGGCGCGTCAGCGGCGCTACGATGTAGATTATATAACGAGGAGCCCCATCTTGGGAATTAAGGTTTTGCTCACCTCTTGCATGGTTGTGGTACGAGTTCAAGGGCCTAGGCCTTGGGCCTTGGCAATCATCAGTTCTAGTGACCTTGTAAACAAGGTAACAACCGTCATAGCAGACATGCCGACATGGAGCTGGCGCCCGTCGATCTTCATTGCTACCCACTACGCACCACATCGCTTCTAGTTCCATTTTCACCAAGACACCTCTTACACACACACACACACCCATCTTTCCCACTTCCTCAATGGATGAAAACAATCTTGCTCGGAAGAAGCGCTGGGGGCGGCCGAAGTCAAGTCGTTCAGACCCTCATTTGGTAGAGGAGAGAGGCAGGATGGCAACCAGTCAAGATGTGTGGACTTCTGTCTTTACAACTATGCTTTGTTTCTAATGATTACAGCCGTCCTTTCTCTCGCCTTTGAGGAATGGGTCTCGTGGACGAATTTTGGGGCTGGCCCCCAAGTTATTCGGCAAGGTGACCAAGCGCTTCGCTCGAAGTGCTCAACAGTCTCTCAACCCTGAATACATGGCTGCAAGTTCCAGCATACAGGACACCCAACCCGTTCAGTCAACTCAAGTATGTACAATCTCAACTCTGAGTGTGCCCCGTGTGCCATGATTGCTACTAATCGCTTCTGCAGGATTTCAGCGCTTCCACTCTCGAACCGAATCTTGAGCAATCTTCCAATTCAGGGATTGCAGTAGTCAGTTCGACTAACGAAGTTCGAAACATTCTCATCTGTCTCTTTTGACAATGTGCTGACGTCTATACTCAGGCCGAACATCTTGACCCGAAGTCTGTGAACAAAAGAATCGCCAATGCTGCCAAAGGTCTTGCAGGCATCGGCCAGGTCCCAACAATAGTCCAACGTACTTCTTCAGCGGCCAACAACCTGCAATCTGTTTCTGATACGGACGACACATTCTCTGCGTTGCTCAGACCCTTGAAGGCATTCAACATTGTTGCCAACGAGATCGCAAATGTACAACCATCTATCTCTCTTCTGTACGCGACTAACTTTCATGCGTAGGTCCATCCCTATGCGAAGGTGGCACTGAGTATCTTTACTTGCGCGTCCAAGGTAGGCTTCTTTCTTATGTAATCGTTGCCATCGCAGGTTGACGAAATTTCGGTAACAGATGATTCTCGATCAGGCAGACCGTGACGTCGCTGTTTCCAGTCTGCTCTCAAAGATATCTGAAGTCTATACCTTCATCACGGAAAAGGAGGAGTTGGCTAAAATTGAATCCATGCTAGCGATATATGGGAAGATAGCGCAGCAGACATTGGAGTGCGCTGATTTTATCAGCCATTACTCTGAGACGAAGAGCGCCTGTGAGTTGGTCCCACTGTTTCGTCCCCTAAGACTCAATGTTACCTGTTTGTATAGGGATAAGGCTTGGCAAGCACGTTTTCGATGAAACGGACATCACGATCCAAAGCTACAGCAATATTCTCGATGCTCTCATGCAGCAATTCCGAGACCGAGCGGCTCGTGACACTGTTGTGGTCATTCACCATATGGGTAAGAGACGCTTTCAGATCTCTTTGAGCCTCTGACATTCCACGACCCCTGGTATAGCTGAGAGTCTGGACCTGTTCGGCATGGAGTGCGCAACAGGTGCCGGATTGAATACGTCTAAATGTTGTTTGCCCAATACTCGGCAAGACCTTCGGAAGGATATTCCAGGATTGGATCAGCAGTACCGAGGAGGGCGCTCCACGTGTCTATTGGTTGTCCGGCACAGCAGGCAAGGGTAAATCGGCTGTTGCCCATACAATAGCCAATTGGCATGTTGAAAATGGTGGCCTTGGCTCATGCTTCTGCTTCGATCGTACTCGGCAGGCGGATCGCCGTCAGGACAAAATATTCACGACCATAGCAAGGGAATTGGCGGACTGCAACCCTATCATGCGGCGAGCCTTGGCGCAAGCAGTTCGTGATCACGACGGGCTCAAGCGCACTCCAGATGTCACAAAACAATGGCAGGAACTGATCGTCGGACCGACAAGCATAGCCTCAAAAGCCGTCGCTGCACCCATCTTGATTGTCATCGAGGCATTGGATGAGAGTGGAGACGCTGATTCCCGGGAACAGATTCTTCGTCTGCTCGCTGGCAAACTGAACACTTCCACCTCACAATTATCCGAACTCCCAGCCAACTTCCGCATTCTCCTGACTTCCCGTCCACTCGAAGATATTCACAAGGTTCTGCACGCCGCACCACACGTTCGCCATATTTCTCTTGATGAAGTTTCGCCTACGTCGACAGAACTCGACATTCAACTTTATATCTCCCATAAGCTGGAAGACCTGCATCACGTCTTCAACGATGCGCACCTCAAGGTGCTCGCTCTAAAATCTGATGGCCTCTTTGAATGGGCTCGTCTTACCTGCGAGTATATCAAGGGCACTAACAGAGTCGGCCCGGATCCGATGGAACGCTTCGAAGCTGTGGTTGCTGGAGCATCTGCAAAAGGAACGCGTCTACTGGATGACATGTATAGGCGCATCCTGGCAGAAATTATGCCCGAGGATGACCGCGAGGACACGATCCACCTGTATCGCTCAGTGATGGGGCAAGTCCTTGGATCATTGGAACCGCTTCCTATGGATGCATTGGCGGCTGTGCGACTACACTTTTCACCCAGGACCAGTCGTTACAAAGTAGAAAGGGTCATTGGGCCGCTGGGCTCGCTGTTGACTTGGACCACAGATTCCCAAACTCCCATTCGTCCCCTTCACGCGTCCTTCTACGACTTTCTCACAGACAAATCGCGCAGTCTTGACTTCTTCGTTGACGTGTCATCAGTACAGAGCGACCTCGCGTTTGCCTCACTTCGGGTCATGGAGCGCGGACTTCGTTTCAACATCTGCTCCTTAGAGAATTCTTACTTGCTCAACTCTTCTGTCCCTAAATTGGAGAAACGAGTGAAGGACTCTATTTCGACTGAATTATCATACTCATGTCGTTTCTGGGGGTTTCATGTCAGCTCTACGTCCTTTGAATCGTCGCTAGCTAAGGAAGTAGAAGCTTTCTTCGATGGAGAGCGCCTTCTTTGGTGGTTGGAGGCGCTGGCTCTGATGAAAAGCCTTAGTGACTCGGCAGTGACCCTCTTATCTATCGCAGATTGGTTTTCGGTGCGTAGCTCAAGCTCATTCTTTAGCCAACAAATTCTTACGAGTAGTGGGGTGATCGTAGGGTCATGCCGAGTTTACGCATGTTAGTGACGCCACCAGGGATACCCTGCGTTTCATCCGAACTTTCGCAGCGACTATTTTACGCAGCACTCCCCATTTATACTTGTCCGCTCTACCGTTCGCTCCCACACAGTCAAGAATGTTTCGCAAGTTCGCTTCAAAGTTTCCTTGCACCCCCCGCATCGTTGCTGGCCATGTCGAAAATTGGCCTCAGATGGAAAAGATAATCCACACGAATGAGAGGGTTTGGTCGGTTGCAATGTCGCCAGATGGAAAACGCATCGCGTGTGGTTTATACAGTGGAACTATCCAGGTGTGGGATACGGAGACTGGCGAGGCATTGAGTGCCACTCTTCAAGGCCACACTCAACCTGTTATGTCCGTCGCATTTTCGCTGGATGGACATCGCATCGTTTCAGGTTCACGGGATACAACAGTCCGGGTGTGGGATGCGAAGACTGGGGAGGCATTAGGATCCCCTCTTCAAGGCCACGATGACCATGTTCGGTCTGTTGCAGTTTCACCGGATGGGAAACGCGTTGTGTCTGGATCGGAAGACAAGACAATTCGGGTGTGGGACATGGAGACTGGCGAGGCATTTGGTGCCCCACTCCGAGGGCACACGGACAGCGTTTGGTCTGTCACAATCTCACCGGACGGGAAATGTATCGTGTCTGGTTCGCAAGACAACACGATTCGGGTGTGGGGTATGGAGAACAGTGAGGCATTGGGCGCGCCTCTCCGAGGTCACACAGGTTGTGTTAATTCTGTCGCAATCTCGCAGGATGGGAAATGCATAGTCTCTGGTTCAGACGACAAGACGATTCGGGTGTGGGATATGGAGAGTGGCGAGGCATTGGGTACCCCTCTCCAAGGTCACACTGACGATGTAATGTCAGTTGCAATCTTGTCGGATGGAAACCGCATCGTGTCTGGTTCATCTGACCAGACGATCCGAGTGTGGGATGCGAAAACTGGTGTGGCATTAGGATCCCCTCTTCAAGGCCACACTAGCTTGATTTGGTCTGTTGCAATCTCGTCGGATGGAAGTCGCATAGTCTCTGGTTCAAACGACAAGACAATTCGTGTGTGGAATGCCGACACCATCACGGGCAAGGCATCGGTTGTCGCCCTCCAAAGCCACACTGGCTTCGTTAACTCTGTTGCAATCTCACCTGATGGACATCGCATCGTGTCTGGTTCAAATGACAAGACAGTTCGGGTGTGGGATATAGAGACTGGCGAGGCATTGGTTGCCCCTCTCCAAGGGCACACTCGATCTGTTCTGTCGGTCGCAATCTCGTCGGACGGGAAGAGCATTGTGTCTGGTTCAGCCGACAAGAACATCTGCACGTGGAATATGGAAACTGGGGAGGCATCGGGTGTTAGTCTCCATGGTCACACTGACTATGTTGCGTCTGTCGCAATCTCGCCGGACAGAAACTGTATTGTGTCTGGTTCAGACGACATGACAATCCGGGTGTGGAATATTGAGACTGGCGGGGTATATCCTCTCAGTGGGCACTCTGATTATGTTCGGTCTGTCGCAATTTCATCGGACGGAAATCACATAGTATCTGGTTCGGATGACAAGACAATTCAGGTGTGGGATATGGGGACTGGCAAGGCATCGAGTGCCCCGCTCCAAGGCCACACTGGTTATGTCTTCTCTGTTGCGATCTCGCCGGATGCATGTCGCATTGTATCTGGCTCAGGGGATACAACTATCCGTGTGTGGGATATGGGGACTGGCGAGCTGTTGGGAGCCCCTCTCCAAGGCCACGTTAACGACGTTAACACTGTTGTGATCTCCTCAGATGGCAATCGTATCGTGTCTGGCTCGGATGACCAAACCGTCCGGGTGTGGGATATGCAGACTGGCGAGGGAGTAGGTGCCCCTTTCCGAGGGCACACTGGACCCGTTCTGTCTGTCGCAATCTCGCCTGATGGTAAACGAATCGTGTCTGGGTCAAAAGACAAAACCATCCGAGTGTGGGACCTAGAATTTCTTCACCGATACCAACCATTTGAAGAATCTACAATATGTTTTTCATTCAACCCAACTCATGCACTTCATGCCTCCTCTTCCTTTCTCCAAGATGCTGAAACCCCAGCCCCATTCTGCACAAACGAGGAGGGATGGATTGTAGGTCCCAAAGGACGGCTGCTCCTCTGGATCCCGCTCACTTTCTACCCGTCCGCGATGTACCATAAGTATTCCCTAGGCAACACGCTGGTGATACCCAACAATCCCCCACAGCTGGACCTGAGTCGTGTCGCACACGGCACATTATGGCACAAGTGTCGGGAACAGTAATAGGTTTGTATCTGTCAGTGAAACTTCGGGCATGTACTTATGTTCATCGACCAAAGATCTATGCACTTCCTACAGAATACACGTTTGCATTCTTGCACTTCATTCTACTAATTAATGGGCTCGCTCTACTATACACGTCACTGAGAGTGTATCATCAGCCTTCATAATAGTGAAAGACTACTTATATAGTATATTGTGCTACTACACAACGGCACTGCGAGAACGTTGGTTATGTGGAGGAGGTGCCAAGCTGTTTACTGGGGAACTCATCCTCAGGATTCTCGCGTCCATGTTTCCATCAGTACTGAATAGAGAATGCCGTCTGCGGATGGAATATAGTCAAATGAGCTCCTGCTCAGGCCCGTGAGGCAGAAGCAGTTCGCCTTGTGGGCAATGTTCAGATGCCTCTCGGGCCAGAAGGAAGGGAGTCCTAATTGGAAGATGAAGCTGAGGTCAGAATCGATCAGCTGAGAGCATACGAAGTGGTGGCGCTAGAGGCCAGACATAGAAGGAGAATAGGGATTGGAGGTGGGAGTCTCATCTTCCCGCCCAACAGTGCGCCACGCAGCAATCCCGACCGAGCGAGTGAGCAATCGAAGGGGAGACAAAAGAAGAATGTGAGTCGAGGTCAAAAGTAACGGGTACAGGAAGACGTCCGATGAATGAGATTATGTTGCCACTCGATCAACACATGTACAGCCTATTACTGAGGCGAAATTTATAAAGGGGCGCCAAAATCGGACAAATCCACCGCAAAAACATGAAAAATCGAAACCTACATAATGGAATAGCCAGATGCTGATGCCAAGCTCGATCAGATTACCCTATATAAGCGAATGGTATCAACCAGGGAACTCTATCATTTACGAGCCAGTACTTCGTTGTCGAGAGGCTGATGAGTGCCCCAACACCATGCGTGGGGTACTCATCAGCCTCTCAACAACCTCCATCATGCTAAGCCTATACTATTTCGCATCTCCGTGAGTTCAAGTTGTTCCACAGCAACAGCGGTATAACAGACGATTCAAGCTCAACGGTATTCCTATGCGCCGTCAACACCAGGCGCTAGACACTGCATTTGCCATCTGATAAGTTTTTGTTCCCTCAAAAGGCGCACATTTTACCGCTTGCCTCTCGTCCTGGCGCAGGCCCTAGGGCCTATTGTGCCATTTAATCCGTTGATTCCCACGAACCCACCTCAGTTTCAAGCTGTCACATCTATCCTTCTTCAGCGCTTCAGCAACAAGGTTCAGCGTTTGCCGTTTTTAGTCCCCAGGGCACTGGCAAGACTATAACGAAAGTGGAAGCCATGAAACAACTACTCAAGCATAAACCAAACACACGCATTCTTGCTACCACACCCAGCAACTCTGCTGCTGACATCATTGCATCCCAGCTGGCATCCACCCTCGGACCCGACGAACTTTTCAGACTTTACGCACCCTCAAGACACTTCGACCAAGTTCCAGATGAGTTGCAGCGCTACACACTCACAAAGAGACTGGAAGGGGAAGACAAGAGCTGCTTCTCTGTCCCGCCCATCCCCATCCTCAAGCGCTTCAAAGTTTTTGTGTGCACACGCATCTCTGCATCTATCCTGTACAGTATTGGCATCCCCCACGGACATTTCATGCATATTTTCGTTGATGAAGCTGGGCAAGTGACTGAACCTGAAGTGATGATCGGCATTAAAATGATGGCTGACAATGCCACGAACATCGTCTTGGCAGGAGATCCAAAGCAGTTAGGACCTATCATCCGTTCTAACATTGCGAGGGAGCTTGGGCTGGAGCAGAGCTACCTCGAACATCTCAGATGCCGATGGATGCATACAAAGCTCAAAGTGGCCATGGCCTGAGGTGATCATAGCTCATGTATTTCCTTCGAATTCGTTCAGGTTGCTAATCTATGAACAGCGTCGTCAAGCTTGTGAAGAATTTCCGGTCGCATCCCGCAATTCTGAAGTTTCCCAACGAGTGATTCTACGTGAATGATCTCGAGTCCTGTGGCAACAAGAACATCATACGTGCTTTCGAAGGCTGGAAGAAGCTGCCTTCAAAGAAATTTTCCATTATCTTCCACTCGATATCCGGGAATGATGATCGCGAGGCTTCGTCACCCTTGTGTTTCAACATTGATGAGGTTACTCAAGTTCACAAACATTCACTCCTCCGAGATGATCGACAGATCAGAGTGGGTAAGTGAATACACGCACTCATTGTTATTCACAATTTACAAACGATACGATAGCTCACAGTGAGATTGGCGTGATCGCTCCCTATCAAGCTCAATGTGTCAAGATTCGCAAGATGCTCAGTGGCATGGCTGACGAGGTCAAAGTCGGCAGTGTAGAAGAATTCTAGGGTCAGGTGGGCAAATTTAGAAGTCTGTGTCGTTCTGTGACCAATTCTAGTTACTAGGAACGACGAGTCATCATCATATCAACGGTCAGGAGTAGCCGAGAATTCATTGAGTTTGATCTCAAATACACCCTTGGCTTCGTTGCGAAACCGAGGCGCTTCAATGGTTAGTGGACATTTTTAGTTTTTGGTAAAGATAATACTCACATCGCTCTCAGTTGCTGTAACTCGAGCACAGGCTCTGCTGATTGTGGTCGGAGACCCAAACGTCTTATCCCTAGATCCCCTCTGGTGATCGTTCCTGAACTATGTACACTTGAACGGTGGGTGGGCTGGTCCTGGACCGACATGGGACACAACAGAAACAGTATATGAGAGTGGCGAATACGATCAACACATTCGAGCGGCTGCAATGACGAATATGAATTTTCTTACTCGGAGGATTGAGGAGGTCGTGGCAGAGAATGTGCAGACTGGCACGGACAACGAAGATGATGCAAAACTTTGACAGGCCGTGGAGGGAGCTGGAGTAGGCTTTCGTACTGTGGTTGTTATGTTCAATATTCCTTGTAATTTTATATGTAATACTCTGTTTCTTCGTGTGCTTGGTTTCTTCTGTGTAACGCACGTGAGACTCGCTTGTCGTAGGGTTAGGGTTACACTAATTTTTCGGTCAATTTTGGGCTGACTGCGTTCCTAACTTCATGTGTCTGGTGGTTTGGCCAATCGCCACGAGGCCAGTTCGCCTTACTCGCCGTATCTCCCAATCTTTGAAAAATGGTAGCGCGCGCTCCAAAGCCTATTCGAACACTCTTCTCTTGCCAAAGACCTCGTTTCCGCTGTGGGCAGACTTGGCAAAGTCCGAGTTGCTATTTAAAAAGAAGACTTGCGAAGAGCTGTATCGACGGCAGGTGCGTCACTCCAACTCACTCATGCTCTTTATTAAATGCAGTGTACAGGCTCAGAATGTGCACCGACCACTCTTCGTTCTCCTCGACGGCCCTCCTTACGCGAACGGTCATCTTCACATAGGTATGCACGGAGCAATATACGAACATCTGCGATATTAATATTTTATCGTTTCAAGGACATGCTTTAAATAAAATCATAAAGGATATCATCAACAGGTACCAAGTCTTGACAGGTCATCAAGTGCGGTGAGTTTTTGTTCCTACGATTCATTAATACCGCTCATCCGTCGAAGTTACTACCCCGGCTGGGACTGCCATGGTTTACCAATCGAAAATAAGGCTCTACATGAGTTAAAGGCGCGTAGTTCTTCCCTCATAGCTGTGTCATGTCGACTAACTATGAAATTAGAAAGACGCTCTCTCGTTACCCCCCCAACGTCATACGCGCGGCAGCCAGAGCAACGGCGGAGCGCGAAATGAAGACGCAGCAAAAGGAATTCGAGCAGTTCTGTATAATGGCCGATTGGAGCCCCCAAACAACCTTCCGCACGCTTGGTATGACATCAGACATGTCTATGGCTGCATTCTCACTGACAGACCTCTTCGTCAAGACCATGACTACGAGATTCGTCAGCTTCAGGTATTTCAACGAATGGTCGAGCGAGGTACGCGCGATTTCTTGTCTCTTGTCACTCAACATTATTATTTATCTCGTATACTACATAGGTCTTATTTACCGGCACTACCGACCAGTTCATTACTCTCCCTCGTCGCATTCGGCTCTCGCGGAAGCGGAGCTCGTCTATAACGACGAACATGTCTCGCATTCAGCCTATGTGACATTTCCGCTGGACTCACGGACTGCAATCGCGAGCACAGCTCTCCGAGAAGTCTTAGCCAAGGAGCCTTCGGCAAGTTTGCTAGTATGGACCACTACGCCTTGGACTCTGACAGCAAACATGGTATGGATGAGTTTTCTCAAATTTAACAGCCTCACAAATATCCTTCGTTAGGGCATCGCCGTTCATCCCGAATTGACTTACTAGTTTCGTGCGCTCATCTGTCAAGGAGGACACTCTCGTTGTTGCCAAAGATCGTCTTGTCGCGCTGGAGCACATCATCGGACCCCACGAAGTTATTGCTGAAATGAGGGGCGCAGACCTGGTGGGCGCGCAATTTCGCTCCGTCTTCGCTCCGCTCCACTTGTCTGGCTCCCTGAGCGCAAAGATCATTGCGGCATCTCATGTCACATCAGAGTCTGGATCTGGTCTGGTGCACTGTGCCCCTGCACATGGCGCAGAAGATTACCTGGCATTTCGAGCGCTAGGTCTTCTGCAAGGACCCACGGAGATTGTTTGTCACGTCGACGATGCTGGCAAATTTTCTCCTGATGTTGCTCATGTCGTAGGCGAAGAAGCTGCGCAAACACTAGTGGGACAAGAGGTACTCAAGGGTGGAAACAAGGCTATCGTCAAACTACTGGAGTCCACTGGGTCCCTTGTGAAGGTGCAGAGGATCAAGCATCGCTACCCGTATGATTGGAAGACTGGTGAACCCATCATTGTAACGTAAGTTGCGCCCGGCAAGAGATGCCCGCCTCGGTGCTTACATAGTTTAACAGGGCCACCTCGCAATGGTTTGCCAACCTGGACGGTATCAAGGATGATGCACTTCACGCGCTGAAGGATGTACAGTTCTATCCGCCTTCATGTATGTCCCTTCCGTCCTTGAGATTACATTCCAAGTTTATTTGATCACAGCTCGCAATCGACTGGAGTCATTCGTTCGTTCGCGTTCCGAGTGGTGCATTTCTCGCCAGCGAGTGTGGGGTGTCCCGATCCCGGCTCTATACCACACCCCAACGGATACCGCCGTCCTCTCATCCGAATCCCTCACTCACATCTTACGTGTTTTGTCTGAGCGAGGCGTGACTCATTGGTGGGAAGGTCCAGTCGAAGACTTCCTTACCCCCGAGCTACTCGCCCAATTCGAAGGTGGTCCTGAGGCCTGGCGCAAAGGCACGGACACGATGGACGTCTGGTTTGATAGCGGGTCAAATTGGAGTACACTAAGCGCCCCCACAGGCGGGAGAAAACATCGGGCGGACGTATGTCTTGAGGGCACAGACCAGCATCGCGGGTGGTTCCAGAGCCAGTTGTTAACCTCAGTGGGCGTTAGCTCCGGACAAAGCGCTGCAAGGCCGGTGAGCCCATACGGAACACTGATTACGCATGGTATGGTACTTGATGAGGCGGGCAAGAAGATGAGTAAATCCCTCGGAAACATTGTCAGCCCGATGACCATCATCCATGGTGGGAAGGTCGGACATCGCTTATTTTCGCATACAGTTCACTGAAGGTTTGCGGTTGACAGGATAAGAAGAAAGAACCTGCGTACGGTGCCGATGTCCTCCGCTTATGGGTGGCAACTGTCGAGTACTGGCGAGATATGTCCATTGGACCCACAGTTCTTGCACAGTGTGCGGAATCTATGAGGAAGATCCGTAATTCTGCTCGATTTATTCTTGGAAATATTGGTACAACTGCTCAACGAAAGCACTTTGTTCCGGTTGAACGCAGCGAACTGGGCTTGGTCAGTCCACGCATTCTTGATGTCTAATGCCAAGTTTGATTGTTCTGACAGGCGGAGCGCTTTGTGATGAACGAACTTTACAAGCTTGATCAAACTGCTGCAGAGGGGTATGCAAACTACAATTTCCCGAAAGGTGAGAGCTCATCGTGTTCATGGAATTTACAAGCTTATGCTCTCCGCGCTAGTCATGAATTCCTTGACCAACTTTGCAAACGTCACGTTGTCATCGCTCTACTTTGACATCACGAAGGACTGCCTCTATGCCAATGACATTCAAAGTGTTGAGAGACGGGCGGTTGTGACTACCCTTGCCAAAGTGAGTGTTATCCGGTGAGAATATACCGCTGACTAATGTTCCTACCAGGTCCTCGACTCTATGACCTCCGTAATGGCCCCAGTGCTCCCTTATCTTGCAGAGGAAATCCACAGTACTCTCCATGAAGGTGATGAAGTTGTGTCCCAGTTATCCGTCTTTGTGAAGAAGTGGACTCCTGTCGTGAGCATTGATGTCGCAACTGCTTGTACTTTCCCTGATATTCTCTTCAATCACACAGAGCGCCGAGTGGAATGATCCGCGTGCCGAACAGGACATGACTAGTTTACTGAGGATGCGCAGCGTTGTGCTATCTCTTTTGGAAAAGGCTCGAGGGGACAAGTGAGTGCCCAATTCTTTCTGCGTCTGTAGTCTGAGCGTGTTTCGGTACAGGCATCTGAAGAGCTCTCTCGAAGCCGAAGTCGATATTATCTTGCCCAACGATATATCCGTACGACCGTATTTGCTACAGCTGATTGAACGCGAAGGTGAGCAGTTTGATCTTCCTGCTCTTCGTGACTAAACGGTAGTTGCGCGCAGAGACCTTCCTGAAGACGCTTTTCATCGTTTCTGATGCCAACATAACGGACGAGGGCTCTCTCGGCACTAGTTCATTCTCGTGGTCCTATGTCTCTTCAATGGATATACCCGGTATGTTTATGTTTTCCAAAGCTGTTTCTAGCATTCATTCGCCTCATTCCTTCTGCGTAGACTCGGACTTGGAGCTGGCGATTCGCGTTAGACCTGCATCCTTGAGTAAGTGCCCACGGTGCTGGACGTATACTCGTGAAGAGGAGCATGATGTATGTCCCCGCTGTGAGGATGTTGTTCGACATGCGGATTAGATTGTTGGCGAAGATGGTACACGCGTGTATATAGACTACATACGATCTTAGATAATACTCTATTAATCCCACCTCCTGCACTTATTTGAGCTTGACTGGCACTCACAGGTGTAAGAACAACACCACGGCGTTGGGTACATGCGGCAGCATCTTATATACCAAACCAATCAGTGTTCAGAAAACGTCGTCATTTACTCACGCCATAAAACGGCTCAGCACTTCAAGTTATTCTAACTATCCACTGCGACATCTCAGATCCCAAGAATTTCAACCAAGAATTTCAACCAATCATGGTCAAGGCTTTGATCCTCATTGCAGATGGAACAGAAGAAATGGAGTTGTACGTTACATCTGCATCATCCCCTAATCAATGCGCTAATGATCCCTCGGTTGCATATATAGCACGATCACATACGATACACTCGTCCGCGCAGGAATAGAATGCACATCTGCTTTTGTCCCCAGGGGTCTCTCACCATACGGATCTTCTGATACAAGTCCTCCGCTTGCAGTTTGCTCGAGGCAAGTGAAGATCCTTCCTGATGTCACCCTCGACCCCCTTGGTGCTGGTCCGGTGGGCATTTTTCATTTGTTTTGAAGCGTGCCCGAGGTCAAGCTCATGGTATCTTACTTCTTCAGGAGAAGTACGATGCCCTCATCATCCCCGGTGGCATGGGGGGTGCCGTGACGATGGCAGGATCGACAGAGGTGCAAAACCTTGTTCGTTCTTACTACAACCACCCAGAGAAGCGGATTATTGGCATGATATGCGCAGGTATGATCATATTTGACTATATTCGTGATTTATGAAGCGCATGTACATTTTGCAAGGTTCCAAGGTCGCGATCACAGCAAAGCTTCCTGGTCAACCGATCACGTCGCACCCATCTGTCCAGAGCGAGTTCCCAGACCGTGAGTCTCGGTGAAATTGACGACAAATATTGGTATAGCTCTTCTGTTGTGCTAGATTTTGACTACAAGGAGCAAAATGTGGTCGTGTCTGATGCTGTCCCAGGCAAGGCGACGCTCGTCACGAGGTGAGTCAATATCGTGATTTGTTAGCCAATGACCTTGCTGACCTCGATGTCCAGCCGCGGACCAGGTAAGTTGCATCCCGCTTTGTGTGTTTCGTCGTCTCTTTACTATCGCTGAATAGGAACCGCGTTTCCTTTCGCATTCACGCTGATCGAGCTCTTGTGCGGGAAGGAAAAACGCGACGAAGTCGTAGGACCTATGATCTTCCCTTCTGGCACAGTAACTGGGTATCCGTTCTGACGGTGGACTCCCGAATCCGATGAGCCAAACGTGGTAGCGTAACTTTCTATTCTGAAGTTAGCAAGTATCTTTACGAAGTCATCCTAGTATGAGCTGACAATTAAGCATTGGGTCCTAATTCGACTACCATTAGCGCTTGTTCGGTTCATGAGTTGTCGAAGGTCGAAGACTATGATGTTTGCGGCCATATTCGATATCTCCAAGGTCATCAAGAACGGTATTGAGATCACCCCTGAGGTTGATCCTCATCTGATAGGTACGATCAGATATCTTATCGCGTCCCGCGCTGGTCTACAGATAGACACAATTCCAGCTATCTGATGTCCCTCAAGTGTTTTCTATTAAGCCTCGCTCTGTGAAAGTCGTCGCATTCATTTCTAATTTTAAAAGGCACGTTCAAAGTTGGGCGCACGCACACGGCACACCACACACGCACAAGACGCACCCCTTCTAAGAACGGTAGTGTACCTCCTGGATCCACGCGCATGAGATTCGAGTATCGTTCCTGCGAGTCGGACACGCGGCGTATTATTCCCGCCACTAGATGTGATGCCAAGTTCCATCGGATACCCTATATAAGAGCTGAATGAGCTCTGATTAACCCAATGGTATCAACTGTATGGGCCAAGACGCACGGTGTTGGGGTACTCATCAAATGCATCAGCCTCTACAACAGGGCAAGCAGCGCATAAGCGCAGACCTTGTGTATGTATACTCTATTTGATTCAGATTTAGATAACCATTTTTGACAGAGCCACGAAGTGTAGTGGCACCCGTGGAGTTTGCCGGATCACAAGTTCCTATGGCGGTTGACTCAGAGGCAGAGTGCGTGCCACCGCGGCAGCCAATCAGCATCGACTGCAACGATGCGCGCCTCATAAAACCCAGTGTTATCTGGGTGGGAGACGCTGGCGAGCCTGTATCAGCAAGCGATGCTTCTGACCTTCACGTCATCAGTAACCTCACTGAAGATCGTATCTGTTCTATTTGTTTCGCTGTGGCAAGCGAAACAGATAGAACAGATACGATCTTGGTGGACGTATTGTAGGTCACAACGCATCACATCACGCTTCTTTCCTGTATTCACACATGATCTAGGGGAGGCCATGGACAACGTGGATCCTTGTCACATATGCATATATCATCAGGGATTTTGGCCGTTCATGTACTATTTTGCCCTATGCACTACTTAATTCATGCACGCTGCTCTTCAAGCTTCACGCTTCTTCACACAGTCTAGAACAATCTATTTGGAAGGAAAATACTATGAATGGCGGGAAGTGCATTGAATGTGACTCACGTGCGTGCACTTATTCGAACCTCACTATTGTCGGTTACACAGATTCGAGCTACATTTCAACTGCTCCGCTGCCCACTTGTTTCCCCGTGTCCAGATCCCAGGAACTAGTAACGAGGAGACGGGTACCACGGATGAAAGCTACCTCGTTCACCAAATTCTCAAGACCTTTAAGCGTCAGTTTCGAGTCTGTGAGGCATTTCCTTTCGAGTTGGCGCTTGGGACGCTACTGTGTGAGTGCCAGTGGTGGTCGCCATTGAATATTTTTCGGTGTCTCAATTAGCAGGAGCGTCGACGAGGGAGTGGTCACTTGCAATTGCGCGCACTAAGGTGAGTAGGCACACAGTACTCTCCATGAAGGTGATGAAGCTGTGTCCTAGTTATCCGTCTTTGCGAAGAAGTGGACTCCTGTCGTGAGTATTGATGTCGCAAATGCTTGTACTTTCCCTGATATTCTCCTGAACCACATAGAGTGCTGAGTGGAATGATCCGCGTGCCGAACAAAACATGGCTAGTTTACTGAGGACGCGCAGCGTCGTGCTATCTCTTTTGGAAAAGGCTCGAGGGGACAAGTGAGTACCCAATTCTTTTTGTGTTCGTAGTCTGAGCGTGTTTCGGTGTAGGCATCTGAAGAGCTCTCTCGAAGCTGAGGTCGATATTATCTTGCCCGTCGATATATACGTGCAACCGTATTTGCTACAGCTGATTGAACGCGAAGGTAAGCTGATTGAACTTCCCGTTTTTCGTAACTGAACGGTATTTGCGCGCAGAGACCTTCCTGAAGACGCTTTTCATCGTTTCTGATACCAACATCACGGACGAAGGCTCTCTCAGCATTTCGTATTCACGCTGATCGAGCTCTTGTGCGGGAAGGAAAAACGCGACGAAGTCGTAGGACCTATGATCTTCCCTTCTAGCACAGTGACTGGGTATCCGTTCTGACGGTGGACTCCCGAATCTGATGAGCCAAACGCGGTAGCGTAACTTTCTATTCCGAAGTTAACAAGTACCTTTACGAAGTCATCCTATGAGCTGGCATATAAGGATTGGGTCCTAATTTGACTACCATTATCGTTTGTTGAGTTTATGGGTTGTCGAAGGTTGTCGAAGACTCTGAAGTTTGTAGTACCGACGCGTAAGTTACGTAGTCGCTTGAGAGTGTTGAAAAAGCGATTAAGGCGCATTTCTTACTTCCTATCCTCCGCGATTATTTTTTGCTTGTCGCATGCGAGCTCTCTTGCACGCTGTGCAGCGAATTCATGGACTTTCCTGTGGAATAAAAGTTGTCCAGGGTGACTTGCATCTAACTCGGATAACGTATGGACCCTAATTTTATCGAGTCATACCGAAACCGCATTTTGGTCAAAAGGCCCTTAACCACCATTTCTCGATATACCACATCTACAACTATGAACACTCTAGAATCTGTAGCCCAGTCCCTTGCTGGGCTGTCAATCACCCCATCTACCAGCATCACGCATGCTGAAACAAATTCACCGGCGTCTTGGAGAGAAACGCTACTTGCGACCTCATCTGCGCCCCAATCATTCGAGCTGATCAAAACGCTCGTCTACAAGCCGAAGACTGCAAAAACTGCGATTCCGGTCCCTGTTGTCGTCATTGCCCGCGAAGAGACCGAGACGAGTTCATCGGCGCTCGGTAAGAAGCTTAACCTGAAGGAGCTGAGGTTGGCATCAGAGGATCTGCTTGCTGAATTTTTCGCGCTCGATAAGAACTCTTGTACGTTCTTTATTATGACGCGGCGTAACTAAACTGATTTACGTGGACGATCAGTGTCGCTACTTTCATTGACTAGCGAAACGTTCCCAAAAGTTGTCACTGTGATTGATGCATCGATCACATCTTCCTCATCAACATTTGCGTTACACGCACTATCCTCGAGTGCAACCGTCTTCCTTTCTGGACAGGATATCTTGTCTTACCTCCGAACACTTGAGACTGAGGACTTGAAAGTCCAAGAAATCGACTTCACTTCCCTCAAGTCTGATGTTGCTGCGGCTCCTCCAAAACCCGCTGCAAAAGAGAAAGAGGTCGCGAAAATCGATGGCGCCGTTCAGATCGCCATCGGTGTCAAGAAAGAAGTTGATTTCTCCGCGTGGTATCAGAGTGTAAGATCCTTTATCTGATTGCCCCGATCTAGGACTTATTTGTGTGTTCTAGGTATTAATAAAAGCAGAAATGCTCGAGTACTACAGTGTTAGTGGGTGCTATATCCTGAGGCCGTGGTCGTACAGTATCTGGGAAGAGATCCAAGGTATGGAATCTAATTCTCGACTGATCCCGAATGCTAAGGCGTATTATAGACTGGTTCAACAAGAAAATCAAGGCAATGGGCGTTCAGAATGTATACTTCCCTATGCTTGTGTCACAAAAGGTGCTCGAACGTGAGAAGGACCACATCGAGGGTTTCTCTCCGGAAGTCGCATGGGTTACAAGAGCGTAAGTGCATAAAGGAGCGAGTGGACTCTAATATTAATAATTTGACAGTGGGAGTTCTGACCTTGATGAGCCGGTAGCCATTCGCCCGACATCTGAGACTGTTATGTATCCTTGTAAGGCAATTTCTATCGTCATAGAGAGGGCAACATCTCATTGCTCGCAGACTATGCCAAATGGATCAAGAGTCATCGAGATTTGCCACTGAAATTGAACCAATGGAATAATGTCGTCCGATGGGAGTTCAAACACCCGCGTTAGTCCTTGTGCTCGAACACTGTCTGTTGATCGTTTATAATTTTATGCAGAACCGTTCCTCCGTACTCGGGAGTTCCTGTGGCAAGAGGGCCATACTGCTCACCTTACCAAGGCTGAGGCTGATAAGGAAGTCCGGGAGATCCTCGACTTGTACCGCCGCGTGTATGAGGAACTCCTTGCTGTCCCTGTCATTCCTGGCATCAAGTCCGAGAAGGAGAAGTTCGCCGGTGCCCTCTATACCACCACGATTGAAGGCTTTGTTCCTTCCTCGGGCCGTGGTATTCAGGCTGCTACCTCGCACTGCTTGGGCCAGAACTTTTCGCGCCCGGAAATGTTTAATATCATGGTCGAGGACCCGAATGATCCCTCTGGCCAAGGCAAGACCTTTGCATGGCAAAACTCGTGGGGATTGTCGACCCGGACAATCGGTGTGATGACTATGGTGCACGGTGACAACCAAGGCTTGGTTCTTCCTCCGCGAGTTGCATCTGTCCAGGTTGTCGTAGTTCCGTGTGGTGTCACAGCAAAGACGAACGATGAAGATAGAGCGAGGATCAACAATGCCTGCGATGACCTCGCAAAATCTCTGATAGATCGCGATATTCGGGCGAGGGCAGATCTTAGGGAGGGTTACACCCCCGGATACAAATTCAACGATTGGGAACAAAAGGCATGTTATCTACCATCGGTTGTCGTTGCTCGCCTCTGACATGTTGTCTGTCCCATGACCAGGGTGTTCCCCTTCGTCTGGAGATAGGGCCGAATGACCTTGCGAAGCAGCAGACGCTGTCTGTACGCCGCGATACCGGTGCAAAGATCCCCGTTGCTCTCGCTGACCTTGCCACCACAATCCCGAAGATGCTCGAGACTATCCAGAATGACATGTTCCAGCGTGCTCTGGCTGAGTACAATGCGCATGTAAAAGAAGTTACACGATGGGAAGACTTCGTCTCCACACTGGACAGCAAGTGCATAGCTGTCATTCCGTGGTGCGAGCGTGAAGCATGTGAAGATGACATCAAGGAGCGAAGCGGTAGAGCGTGAGTGTTTTATACAGTCTCTGATCCGGACAACTACGTTTTTGATCCTCGGGAACTCCGGAGATTTAAACGGCATCTAACATCATATTTCTGAACAGTACGGAACCGCAGGACGAGCGTGCCCCGTCCGCCGGAGCCAAATCCCTTGCTATTCCGTTCGAGCAGGAGCGTTGGTCTCCTATCAAATTGGGAGAAACGAAGTGTGTTGGCTGTGGACAAGAAGCAAAGCGTTGGACCATGTTTGGGAGATCCTATTAGATGGCCTTACACAGGGTTCTATCATTTGAGAATGGAATTACATGAAGGGGTTTTTGTTCTTTACAAACACTTAGTACACATGACCTACGGAGTCAGTGGGCCGGCGGTTCTGGTTATCCATGGCTGGACGTGGCAAAATTTGACTCGTTCAGTCTTGGCGCATTACTAAGTGACTTGCCAAGACTTTGGAAGCCGGCTTGCATATCCTGAGTACACGATGTGACCTGTAATACCAGTACTGAGCGCTGAGCGCTAGCCCTCGTGATGCAGCGCGGGGTAAGTAATAGCCAGGACCACTGAGTCACAGTGTGCAACAACCAAGGCGACGGACGGACTGGCAAATACCTATCTTCCCTTTCTTATGCTATCTTTTCCCGCTCTTCGAACGCCCTGGAGCTTCCAAATCAATGCAGCTAGTACAACGACGCCATGTAAGGGCAAGAAGGTTTCGTAACGTTTGACGGTATCTGTTGAAGCCACAGCCTCCTGCCATGAGCGGCGAAGAAGTACTAATTACCGCGACAGCTGGCATGCCGCACTGATCAGACACAAACTAGCTCCGTGAGTGGTCTACAAGCAAGCCTTTTATCAAGAGATAGCCAATTACACATACTAGAAACTTCAAGACAGCCGTCTAATCCACATGACCGATATCCCATGCCCAGATGACATGTAAAATATGAAATTCTTATTGTGCATGGGAAGCCAGCGCGCAACAGCCAAAGGATAATTTTTCAACCACGAAGCCTAAGTTCCGAAGTGACACATGTGAGTACCGGAAGCCAGCCAGTCTCAACCGTATGAAAAACTAAATTTATTGCATTCCACAGGTCTGGAATCACTAAGGCATTAAATTCCATTCCATCAATTCATCAAAACTCGCTAGCTGTTACAATGTATAGCTGCCCCGCATTCTCCGCATCTCATTGCGGACTCGATTCAGTTTATACATATGAACAGGGAGGTTCTACCATGCTATATAGTATCTCGTTGTTCACTTGGCCAGATCGGTACATCGGGCGCCAGTCTGCGTCAGTTATTGAGTTCACGCTTGATGCCGGTTACCCACTTAACAAGTGACTGCGTGTTTGATCGCGTCACCATTAGGATGATTATCACGGTCTCATGACCCACCTACGCGCGTTCCAATTTTGTCGTTGAAATTGAGTTCTATAAGATCCATGCGGTCGGTGCCTGACACTGAATATAATACAGCGTCCCGACGACATATTGTTCCATCCTTCACCTGTTCTCCCCCCCTCCCGTCAACATGGGCAAAGGTGTAAGTTGCACTTTGTTTTGAACCCTTGGCTGCTGTGCTTAATGTGTTTAATAGTACAACGCGCGTATCGCCTCGAATCCAGTGAGTGATCACAAGCTCCTATAAGTGTTATACTTGGACGGGATTCTGATATTCATATGATAGTATATCGTCGGTACGTTCGCATGTATCGGTGGAGGCCTCTTCGGTCTGGACATATCTTCTATGTCCGCAGCGTTGAACGTGAGCCCATGATCGTCCACGCCTGATGTCATTTCGACGATGCTGATGTATTATATGTTGATCCTGGGCAGAACCCCGCGTACACGAACACCTTCAACAACGTGCGGTTAATTTCTTGATTATCTTTTGTGTGTGATTCACAAGATTTTCGTGCAGCCCACTGCCAATGCACAGGGTGCCATCGTCGCTTCTATGCCCGCTGGGTCCCTGATTGGAGCCCTTTCTGTTACCTACCTTGGTGACAAGCTTGGACGCAAAAAGACGATCATCCTTGCTGCTCTTTTCTGGGTCATTGGTTCTATTCTCCAGTGCGCGTCAGTCGTAAGTATCATCCTGTCATGTCATCGTTTTTCTGTTGAGATGCTGCTCCAGAACCGTGGCATGCTCGTCGTTGGCCGTATTATCTCCGGTATCTCCGTCGGTATCGCTTCTACTGTTGTTCCTGTCTATCAGTCCGAGATTGCTGCACCTGAAATCCGCGGTCGCCTGGTTGCCTTCCAACAATGGTCTATCACTTGGGGTATCTTGCTTCAGTACTTCGTTCAGTTCGGTTGTTCGTACATAAATGGTACTGCCTCATTCCGTATCCCATGGGGTCTCCAGATGATCCCCGCCATCATTCTTGCTCTCGGTATGATAGCGTTTCCCGAGTCCCCCCGTTGGCTCGTCGATCATAACCGGTACGCGTCCATCATATATATATCAAACTTATATCTCATACATTTTAACAGCGAGGCAGAGGCTTTGGAGATTCTTGCTGACCTCCACGGTGGAGGCAACCAACAGGATGACCTCGTCGTTCTAGAGTTTGAGGAAATTAAGTCACAGGTTTACTTCGAACGAACCGAAGGTGCCAAGTCCTGGTCAGACCTTCTCAAGCCCGGTGTGTCGCGCCGTGTCGTCCTTGGCTCATCTCTTCAGATGTGGTCTCAGCTTACTGGTATGAATGTTATGATGTGGGTTCCCTCTCCAGCCTATGATCACTCGATTCATTTTTACACCCGAAACAGGTACTATGTCGTTTACGTCTTCGAGGGTGCCGGTCTTACTGGTCGTCGCGCGAATCTTATTGCAGACTCTGTGCAATATGTTCTTAACGTCTCCTTCACTGGTAAGATTGATTACTTTGATCGGGCCATGATTGTGATGCGCTTTAATTTCAGTCCCTGCAATAATTTACATCGACAAATGGGGACGTCGCCCGATGTTTATTTACGGTTGTCTCATCATGGGCTTCTGGCTCTACCTCGTCGGTGGTCTCCAGGCCCGCTTCGGCCAATGGGGAACTCTCAACGGTGCTAGTAAGTTTAACGTTTAAACTCCTTAACTCTGTATGATGCCCACTTCTTTTCTTAATCAGCTACATGGGTGGTAGTCAACAACCCCGCCGCCACAAAAGCCATAATCGTGTGTTCCTACTTTTTCGTATCTTCCTTCGCCATTACGATGGGTCCCGCCTCCTGGGCCTACCCTGCCGAGATCTTCCCCATGCGTGTGCGCGCCAAGGCTGTCTCTCTCTCCACGGCCACGAACTGGTTGTTCAACTTCGCTTTGGCATGGGCTGCACCTCCGATGTTGGCCAACATCCAGTGGAAGACGTATTTCGTGTTCGGGACGTTCAACTTCGCAGCCTGCATCCATTTCTTCTTCTGCTTCCCCGAGACAGCACAACGTTCGTTGGAGGAGATCGAAGATGTGTTCGCACAGGGCCACGAGTACAGCGCCTGGGCTGTGTCGAGGTCCGTGGGCAAGAAGGACTTGGCGGATGTACTTGCACACAAGGTGGATGAGAAGGAGTCAGTTGATGCTTAAGGGGTTAAAGGCATGTTTTAAACTTGCTCATTTCCTGATTCTTGGTAACATTTAATAGTTTACTGTATTTGTTAAGCACTGCTATTAGCATAAGCATTGAGCATCACAACTGGCAATGATGATACACGTTTTATGATCCTACACGCCAGCAATGATTTATCGCAAGCGTACTACATAGGTCTGCATAAGTGCATTTCAGAATAACATCTACATAGTTCCGGAGCCCCTCTTTGTCTTGACGTCCGTTGACCGCACATTTGAATACACGAAGTACTTGCAGGCTACTGGCCATCACATCTAGACTTCTGACTGGGCCGCTAATACCCTATCTGGATTATTGATCACCCCATCAGTATACAACCTGGGCTATCATAGGTCATCGCCTAAGTTGCTATTTCTAGATATAATATTTCGCATGGCAACCATCCGAGTCATCATAGGCCCATATAGGTCTCATTTCATGATTAGGTCGTGTCACATACAGCACTAGCCCCACGATGCGTGGATTCGGATGGAGGCCCTCAATCGTCAGTATGCTTGAAATGGTTATCATCACGTGGGGCGTTCGAACTTCGCGCACAGTCACTAGTCACCGCTTCAACGTTTCAACATCTGAACACCTGAAACCTTTCAGCTGGCTCACAGCTAGTTGCTTTCATCAGGAAAATGCAAATTCCTGTAGGCAGCTGTTTCTAAAGGGACGCGAGTTTTGTGCGATTGCAAGGAACCAAAACATCGAAGAGTCGGGGACACGATTTTCGGTCGCACATCACTGCCACATCTACAACTAGTTGCTGATGCCAGCAGATGAGTGACTGTAATCAATTGCTGTCCTGCAGATAAGTTTCTCCAATTACTATACCTAAGTACAGTTGTGACATACAGCAAAACCTCTCATCCGACCTCCAACCTACTAGATTCGGAATGCGTTTACCGTCTCATATACAACTTCCCTTCCTTACCTTGCAGATTTTGCTTGCCCTCGACCCATCGCCTCCATGGAACTTATTCGGTGCCTTCGCCATCGCATTGATCTGCTCGCTCATCATCAGCCCGAGTGTGTTTGTGAGATCGAACATTGACACTGGCGTCGGCTACGTAGACTACCTGCTAGGATCAGTCGTCGCGAGCTGTGCTGTGCTCGGTTTCTATGCGCTCTTACTGGGGAGGCCATTGAAGAATTTCAAGTCTATAGAGAATGGGAACGAAAAAGTGCACAAATATTGGTGGAAAAGGATCTTCCACGTTGCGTATGTCTTTCAGTCCCCGCGGGGGGTTGGATGGAACTATCAGGTGTGTTTTTACAATCTTTGCGGTTGTAACTCGGACTGGCTCATCCCATTCTTGATTTCCAGGTGAACAATATTCCTGCTGCTCCACGACAACCTAGACACTTGTTCATCCTCACCTCCTCCCTGCGTGCTGCCTGCTACGCAGTCTTGTTTGAAGTCGCGCGGCTGTATGTTTGGTACAACCCTGCATGTGCATCGGTTACGGTCGAGACGCGAAGCTATGTTGCGCGGTGTGCTGACACCATTGCATTCATCGGGCTGACATACTGGGGCTTGAACGCTATCTACTTCGCAATGGCAGCGGGGAGTGTTGCGCTTGGACTGTACGAGCCGAGAATGTGGCCTGACTTGTTTGGGTCTTGGCGAGATGCGTATACCGTTCGACGAGCTTGGGGGTAAGTGAATGTGTCAAGTAGGGTTTTTTCGGTGTTCCTGATATTCTATGCAGGAGGACATGGCATCAGACCTTGAAATGGGTGAGTGCGCTTGACCAAATTTGCGCATATATTAGCTGAAAACGTGTATTCGTGCCAGTTCCTCGCCCCTCTTGGTAAAGCGACATCATCTGTCCTTGGGTTCAACCGCGGTACATCAGGGGCATTGTACGCACAGGTTTACGTTGCGTTCTTATTATCGGGCCTCGTACACACAGGAGGGGATATCGTGCTCTCTGGATCTTCCACCTCTGCTGTATCACGGCCGTTGTTCTCGATGCCATTCTTTTTCTCGCAAGCAGTCGTTATTACCCTTGAAGACGTGTTAATCCGGATCGCAAGACGACTGGGAGTCAAGGATAGCGTGTGGACGAGAGCCTTGGGGTTTTTCTGGGTCGCGGTATGGTTCGGGTGGTGTGTACCCGGATTTGTCGAGAATATGATCAGGGCGGGTGGGGGGATAAGGAAGTCTGCCAGCGGATTGGGTGGGAATGATATGGGCCTCAATTTGGTGCAAGCCGCGATGGTTAGATTGTTTGGGTTTGATATTGGGGAGTTTGCAGAATCATGGTTCGGGGTATGACTGAAGTGATGACAGGGTTCGTGACATAACCTTGTTGAACGCTTGCCTTTCTGAACGGATGAACTGATGAACAACTGAACGTCCGTAATGGTTTTACTAGCACTTAAGGGCGAATGTGTAACTGGATAAAACAGTACTGATTCCGGCTCACAGCAGATACTTATTGTGCCTGGGCCTCGTCACAAGTTACTGGCTCGATTATACCTGATTGTGATCCACCACTAGATCATTTGCCAAACCCCCGCAACAATGTGAGTCTGTTCAATACTATATATGCCATACAAGGTTATATACATAGGGCTCAAGTACGTACGCTGTCTGTGGCACAGATACAACCGCGGTCCATCACAAGACGTATTCCCATGGCAGAACATGCCAGAAGTCAGAGTCAGGGTCATTTTGATCAATCACGAGGATCCGTTGTAGTGGGTATTAATGACCAGACTCAGACACTGTCTTCGTCACCCGCGTTAACTTGAGGCCACCCACCGAGATTTCCTCATCGACAGACTTTGGCATCATACACTGTACAAGCAACATCGATCGTCATGCCCAGTTTAATACATGCTACAGGGAGGAAAGCGAGACACGTGAATTCACACCGTAGGCGAAATGTCCAATTGTGCCGTAGTTTCTCACCCTACACAGCGATTTGATCATTACACTCTCCATTTCTTGCTTCCTCTCGGCATGCTCTTACTTACAGGACAGAACCGGATCTTCTACTCCCCACTGGACTGGCACGGCTGTTCTTCTTTGTCTCGCAAGCATTCATCATTAGAGAGTTGCACAGGGCTGCAAAACACATAGGAGTTAAGGACAGTAGTGTATGGACGAATGTTTTGGGGTATGGTCTAGGTCGCAGTATAGATTGGGTAGTGCCCAATGTGCGTGAAGATACGCCGAGTGCAGGCGGGAGAAAATAAGGCCATCTATATAGGCTTAGAACGGGTGGCATGGTTAGCATTTGATATCGGGGACTTTGCTGAATCTGATCACGGCTTGGACCATCATGCATATGTCATGAGCGGAAATTTGAAGGATTGCCTGAGCTATCTCATCAGGACGCAGCGGAAGATAAAGGGCTGTAAGGCTGATAATGGAATTCGACGGGGACGGAAGTGGGGGGTTAATTCACCTGAAGATACGGAAAGTGAGGACATGCTTCTGTTATCTAAAAACGGTACAAAGGGAATTCCATCGATAGCGGAGTGGCACTCCTTACAAAGCGGTGTTTCCATCCTCGTGGATCTGTTGCGTGACGTGGAACGCAGTTTTTATCTGATACAGCATTCTGACGCATGGTTGAGGCAGTGTATCCCATACTGGTCTACATATATGCTGGCAATTGTTGAGCGGTATATCCAAATCCGACCTTCAATTAGCGTCGGGGGAAATGGGAGATGCTTGTGCATGTAGTTCCGAGGTGTCGCTGGCACCTACTTACATTCTCCGGACGTCAATATAATCATCATGGGGGGACGTCACCGTCTGTCACGAGATAAGGCGTGGTTCAAGGATCAGGTGAGGGACTTCGTGTGAGACCACAATGCAAAGTAGTAGTTCAATATGCGTGCCAGCGCCAATAAGATACAACATATACTGGACCAAGGGGTATATTCAGTATGAATTCATAATCAGTGCTCTGCGTTTTGAAGGTATACCTTGGACTTATTTTGCAGTTGGCATCGCCGCATCGACTATTTCTGTCATCCTTATGACCGCCTCTTCTTCCAGAGTCCGACCGACAAGTTGCAAACAAACAGGGGCGTTTTTGAATTTCTCCGGATCATCTGAATCAATAATCAGAAAACCATGCGCTGAGGTTGTTAAGTGCCGGCACTATACTCACACATTTCGTAAACGTCCTTATCGAACTCGTCGTAGAAAGCATGAGGAGGCGCCTTCCTATCGAGAGTGGAGTCGACAGTGGTCACAGGGAAAATAGCGGCAGGATAGTCGAGCGCATTCCAAACGGCCGTGTAGTCAACATATCTGCCCATTACCTCTCATTGACCTGAGTGCATCATTCCATAATTACAGACACAGACCTGTTCTTCCCATGGGGAGTTGCCGCAAACGGTGCAGCTGGACAGATGATAGCGTCGACAGGCCGTCCTGTCCCAGTCTCTGACGCAGTTGCTTCCCAGTGGTCTAAATATTCTTTCCGGATATTTTGACGCAGTTTCTGCACTTGCCAGAGCTGGTATGCGGTGATGCCGCTATTCTGAGGACGGAAGGATGATACCGCGGCATCTGCGTTGTCCAATTCCATCGATGTAATTATTGGTTCTCCCGTGACAGAGGTCGTGACCATGAATTCCTCAGCGGAAGCGGCGTTCCAGATGTCTCGCTGCACAGTGCTACTAGGTCAATAGATAGGCATAGTAAAAGGCACGACTACTTACCGTAATATCTCCAAGTAACCTGTGCTTGATGGGTTTCCAGTCAACAACTATCACTAAATGAGTACAATATTAATTCAGCAGAGGACTTAGACGAGAAAAACCTTTGTGGCCCGCCTTCTGAAGAGCCGCTTTGGCGATTTCCAGAGACCTCCTGATAGGTGGGTGGGGAACAACGACACCATCATCCCACATAATTGCAAAGCACAAATCCTTGCCAGACCCATGGTCCACAAGATTGTACTCGTCTTCGTCCCACTTCTTCCGAATAACAAGAGGGTCATTGAGCCATGGTTTAGCGTTAACCACAGCTTTCATGAAGATTTTGATACCGACGACGCTGCTTGTCATGGGACCGAACACGGGGAGAACCGAGTCTTGGCCATCAAGTGTGCCACGGGCACCATAGTGCGGTACACGCCCGTATGATGGTCTAAGGCCGTATAGGCCGCAGAACGCAGAGGGAATACGAACAGAGCTATCACGAAGCCATCAGAAGGCTACCACTGATAGCCCCAAATCCTTTTCATACCCTCCGAGATCAGAACCAACTCCCAAGGGGCTTCCTTTGAGGGCAATTAATGCACCCTCTCCTCCTGATGACCCACCCGAGGTCAGAGCGCGGTTGTATGGGTTTGTCGTCCGGCCGAAGACATTGTTGAAGGTTTCTGGCCACTGAAGATACCTCTAGCCTATGAGTATTATTCACGTCGAGGGTGCACTCACTGCAAGGGTTTGCGGAACGTTAGTGCGGACAAATGGCACAGCTCCGCACTCAATCAAAACGTCGACCAGCACTGCGTTTTTATCCGCATACTGCCCAATCCACGAAACATACCCTAGATCACGGTGAATCACAGTGCGTTAAGCTTATGCCAGGATTATTACTTACCTATGGTGGTTTCTAGTCCCTTGATACATAGTTGATCCTTCAGGGAGATTGGTAGCCCGTGAAGGGGGCCAACGACCTTCCCTGTGTTCTTCAAGTAATCATCGAGTTCAGCCGCTCGGGCCAATGCACGATCAACAAAAATTTCCGTCAAGCAATTGACCTCGTTGGCCAGTTAATACAACTTGAATGTCGTCAAACAAAGCTGCCTCGCAATTTTGCTTACAAGTTGATGAGCAACGATGGCCCTCTTGTAGAATGCGATGGTCACGTCTACAGCTGTCCATGCAGCACTTGCAAGTTTCTCCAACAAAACATTCACCGGAAGTATTGGTGATCTCGATTTCTCTCGCGTTCAGAAGGCCACACGTCTCTGGAAAAGCAGATACATCTAGAGTAGAGTCCGAAGGTGGAGTCACAATCCACTCCCGTGGAATAGATTCTAGTTGCCTTTGCTTCTTCTCCGCAACTAGAGCAGTCCAGTGCGGTATGTCTGTGGGGATGGAATTGGCCATAGCTCGACTAGAAGGAAAAGAGTCATCCCTTATTTGATAAAAACAATAAGGACTCGAACGGACAACCCCGACAAATTCTGGACCAGCTGTAGTAGCCAGCTTAAGCAAGACTAAATTATTAACGTCACTGCAATTCATGTCAACTGTAACGCGTGGAATTTATATATCAGAGATTCAGCATCGAAATTTCAAGGTCAAGTTTCAAATATGAAGTGCTGAAACTTGCTAGGCTCGTGACCAGCCTGGCTTGGACAAGTCGAGTGGCGAAACACTTAACATCTCAAAGACGCAGTCCAGACTGGTTACGAGTCTAGAAGCTTGCAACAATGAAGACATTGGATATTCACTGGACTGGCACAGCTAGCAATGTGCCTGCCTCTAGCAAACAGAAGCTGGTGTGACCTCAACTTAATGATGAATCAATTAATCATTGCTACTAATACGCCTGTCTACCCCTACTGACTAAGCTACGCAAATGGTGGCAAACACCCGTCTGTGGCCTGGAGGGTACCCCATTCCAGCGCGATGAAACATGCTGAAACCATGTGTCCGACCGGTCCTCATTGAATCTGGCGCCTGGATGCCCTGATAACAAATTGGGGGTTACATGAAGACAAGTGGCCCGCCTTCGCTGGTCGTCTTTTCCGAGTTGATTCATCGTCAAGTTTGCAGTGATGTGGTTAGGATCGTCTATTGTAAGTCGCATCTGAATCTAGTTCTCGTTCAACATAAAGTATTCACACTGAAAACCAGGGTGCTGCTGGCTCCAGTCATGTCGAGGAAGTTTCACCAGACACATGCAATATCGTCATTTTCGGAGAAACAGGAGCTGGCAAAAGCTCCTTGGTCAATTTAATCGTCGGGCCAGAAACAGCACTAGCATCTTGCGACGCTGAAGGATGTACAGCTGAAACCATGGAGTACTCATATGACCTTGCGATTCACAGCAAGACCTTGAAGGTAAAGTTTTTCGATACAGCCGGTCAGTGCAGGGCGCCGCTCTTCTTGGGTCTTACTGAACTGGATTGCAGGTCTTGGTGAGGGCTCTGAGGGTAAAGTCCCCGACAAGAAAGCTCGGAGACTTTTGAAGGACCTCCTTCGAAGGCTTATGAAGCAGGACGGCATTCATCTCCTCATGCACTGTGTTGATGGCAAAAAAACAGGGGACGGAAGCGATCAAGGCACTCTGCCGCAACTATAAACTATGTACCTTTGAAGTTAAGAAAAGAGTCCCAATCGTCCTCGTCATCACGCGTTTGGAAAGCATAGAACCAGAAATGGAAAAATGGTGGAAGAACAACGAGCGGTTCATCTCAGAGCATAGCATGACCTTTAATGGCCACGCATGTATCACCACGCTGACTGATGATGTGACGCTCAAGGGGCGCCACGACCAGTCATACTACGCCGTCTGCAAACTTATTGAGGAGTATTGTACAAGGTGCGGTATTTCCAGATGCTCATTTTGCTGTATTTTTATTCTGTTAAGTAGGAACGGGCCCAGGAGGAATGGGCGCGAAGTGAATGGGCTTAAGAGGAACAGGCCTAAAAAGTTGTTCAAAAAAATCAAAAGGACCGCACCCCAAAGAATCGGGCCCGAAAAGAACAAGCCTAAGAATATCATACTCTTTGGGGAGACGGGGGCAGATAAAAGTTCACTCGTTAACCTTATGGCGGGAAGGGAGGTGTCAGTCGCATCTCCTGACCTGCAACGTTGTACGATGGATTGGGAAGACTACATCATCGACTTCGGAGATGAGACTTACAAGGTGTTCGATACTATTGGAGTCGAGGAGCCGCAGCTGGGGATCAGAGAGTACCTCGAGTCTGTCGATAGCGCCTATAGGCTCATCAAGGAATTGGACCGACAAGGCGGAGTTGATCTGCTTCTGTTCTGCATTCGCCCCTGCCGAATAAATGCTACGCTTTACAGCAATTATAAGCTGTTTCACGATTACCTCTGCGAGGGGAATGTTCCCATCGTTCTTGTGATCACGCACCTAGAAAGAGAGATGGAGGACTGGTGGGAGAGAGTACAGAGTAAATTCGACTGTTACGGGATCCGGGTCGCTGGTCACGCATGCATCCTCGCCGCTGATGGATTGGATGGCCCATACGAAACCCCTGATGATGAAGCCATGATCCGTAATCTTGTGGAGAGGTTTACTGCCAACGGGCAGAAGCCAGCATGGATAGGAGGGGACAATCTGTTTGTGTCGTTGATGCGTAAGCTGAAGGAGCTACCTGCTGGGAATTTGCGTGTGAAGGGGGTGAGTATTGTCTCTCGCCTGATGAAGCGTTGCGATACATCTCGACGAGTCGCAAGAAAGTTGGCTTATATGATCAAGCAAGACGCGGCTACTAGTTGAGCCCTTTTCAATAACTTACACAGTAGGCTTTGTTGTCATTGATACTTGACGCTTACTACTTGAGACCAACTACAATCTACAGACCGGGAGCCCATTTGTTCTTATTGTTCTTATCTCAGTACCGTTCAAGAAGATCCGAGTCACCTCGGACCTTCTTGAAAGGTACTGACATATGCGTACATTTGCCTGTACTCCAAGAAGCTGAGAGCCGCGCACGAATGGAGCATCCTATACACGTGCCTGCAACATGCTGAATTCATGCCTCGGGTTCCATATTTCAAGCTTAAAATGAAGATACCAGTACCACAAATATCCTTGGAACAACATGCTGAATACATGTCTCCGACTGGCAACCGATCTTCAAATCTGGACAGGCCTGGACCCACCCACGTTGTTTTAAGAATTTGAGGATACTACATGAAGAAAAGTCTGAGGACATTACTGAACACGCAAGTTAAGAGACCGTGACGACTTCGCTGTTCTCTCTCGAGTTAAATTGTCTTCAAGGTTGCAATGATGCCGCGGTCAGGATCGTTTACTGTGAGTTATGTCTACCTCTTCCTCGGCATCAAGTTACTAACTTCCACAATCAGGGCGCCGCCGGTACTGGCTCTAACGATGCCGAAGAAGTTTCTTATTGCACAGACAGCTGCAGTGTTGTCATTTTCGGAGAAACAGGAGCTGGCAAAAGCTCCTTGATCAATTTGATCGCCAGGACAGAAGCGGCACCGATATCCCCCGACGCCACGGGATGTACAACTGGAACCAAGGAGTACATGCATGACATTTCGATTCAAAACAGGACCTTAAAGGTAAAGCTTTTAGATACAGCCGGTGAGTGCAGGTCGTCGCTACCAGCGGGTGTTACTGATCTAGATTGTAGGACTTAATGAGGGCTCTGAGGGCACAGTCCCCGCCGAGGAAGGTCGGAAAGTTTTGAAGAAGCTCCTTCAAAAGCGCATGGGGCAGGATGACATTAACCTCATCATGTACTGTGTTCAGGGTACGAAACAGGGCCGGCATGGAATCAAGGGGCTCTGCCGCAACTACGAAATATGCAAGTCCGAAGTTCAGGGTCGAATTCCCATCGTCCTTGTCGTTACAGGTTTGGAAAACATGAAAACAGAAATGGAACAATGGTGGAGGAATAATGAGCGGTTCATATCAGAGCACAGCATGGCCTTTGCTGGCCACGCATGTATCACCACGCTGACAGATGATGCGACGCTCAGGGGGCGCTGCGACCAGTCATACCGCGCCGTCTGCAAACTTATTGAGGAGTGTCGTACAAGGTGCGAATCTTTTGATCCATTTTGTGCTGTACGTTTTTCTAATATACACATTCACATTGTCAAGTAGGAACGGGCATCGAAGGGACGGTCCCAAAAAGATTGTACTCTTTGGGGAGGCAGGGGCAGGCAAAAGTTCGGTCGTCAACCTCATGGCAGGGAAAGAAGTAGCAGCCGCATCTAATGACATGCAGCGCTGTACGCTGCATTGGCAAGACTATACCATCGATTTTGGTGGCGAGTCTTATACAGTGTTCGATACCGTTGGACTCGAGAAGCCACAACTGGGAATCAATGGGTACCTCGACTCTGTCGAGAACGTATATAGGCTCATCAAGAAATTGGACCAACAAGGCGGTATTGATCTACTTCTGTTCTGCATTCGTGCTGGCAGACTCAGTCCTGCAATCCAGAGCAATTACCGGCTCTTTCACGAATTCCTCTGCGAGAAGAAGGTTCCTATTGTCCTTGTATTCACGCACCTTGAAAGAGAGGTGAGGATGGAGGATTGGTGGGAGAGACAACAAAGTACCTTCGAAAAAAAATATGGGTTCCAGGTCACTGATCACGCGTGCATCACTGCCGCTAACAGATTGGAGGGTCGACACAAAATCCTTTATGAAGAATCACGCGCCACGGTCCGCACCCTTGTGGAGAAGTTTACTGCTGACGAACAGAAGTCATCATGGATAGGAGGGAACGGCCGGTTCGTGTCGTTAATGCGTAAGCTGAAGGAGCTACTTCCAGAGCCTTTGGATCTGAAGAAGAAAGATATTGTCTCTCGCCTCATGCAGCGATGCAGTTTGTCTCCAGACGTTGCAAGACAGCTGGCTGAGATGATTAAGCAAGGCTAGTAGAAGTAGTTATTCTCTTTTCGATACCCACACTCAGATTTGCTTCTAGATTTTGTGCTCGTTGATACGTTACACTAGGACTTCCCGTTTACTGATGCTCACTCGCGAGCCTATCTGTATTTCAGCATGACGGTTTGAGTTACACTTAGACTATGTGTAGAGTTCAATTCGCTGCGGGGAAGGTCGATTGAGATAAGGCGTCCCTATCCACAATGACATTGTGATTTGAAAACAATTGTCCTTCATATGGTCGGGTGTGTTAAGGTTTAAGCACTCAAAAACACTATGAATCACGCATTACGTCTGTATCGAGGATGTATGAAGTGAGCTGTCCAGCCAACCATTAAAATCTACGTGATCTACTTCACCTATAACATCTGAATTGGGCTGTGTGCGTATGTGGGCTAGAGAACAAAGAAAGGATACGAAAGCGCAGATCGACAAAGCACAATAGATGCGTGCGAGAAAGATGAACAGGGGGGCTATGAATATGGCAGACCTCCCCCGCCAGTCCCGTTTCCTCCTCCCGTCCGCCGTGGGGCACGACCACCGAATGATGGTGGACCAGAGCCCATAGGAGCCACGGGTCGTGGCGGTAGATGAGAAGGATGGTCCATGGTACGCGGAGCTTGACGTGGCAGGTGCATCCCACGGGGAGGATACCCAGCGCCGTGGGCTGGTGGACGTCCGAAAGGGGGGTGCTGGCCGCCGGGATGTTGGCCACCAGGATGCCCAGGATGCTGACCACTGGGATGCTGACCGCCCGGATGCTGACCACCAGGAGGTTGACCACCGCCTTGATGTTGCAACAAAGCAGACACAATGACAGGCGGTGGGGGACCTGGTCTGAACGCATCACGATGCGGAGGTCCACGAGAATAGAACCCGGGGGGCTGGTTTGGCAAAGGGTGGGGCCTGAAGTAGCCATCGGGAGGCATAATACCTGGTGGCGGCTGGTTGCGTCGCCCGCGCTTATCAAATTCGTGGGAAGCTTCGTATGACGGCAGACTGGGTGGATAAAGGGTGAATGGAACAAGTACGAACAAATCAGCAATACTCACGTTTTAGGGTCAGCAGGAAGTGGGTCCGTCCAGAAATAATCATGGTCAAGGGCTTGTGAGGCAGTGATACGATCTCTTGGGTTGCATGTGAGGAGCTTATCCAGGAGGTCGCAGGTCTCAGGGCCGATACTTGCAAAACAGTTAAGCATAAACTAAAAGCGTTGCGAAAATGAGAACCGACCTTTCATACGCGGCTCTCAGCTTCTTGGAATAAGTCTGATTGAACCGCTTTACGCCTTCGCACCCTGGCAGTGCATCATAATTTGGCCAGGTATGCTGATTCGGAGTACCACACAACTGCCAAATCTTCTCCAATTGGTCAATATCCGACGATCCAGGAAGAATCGGCCTGCGCATGAACATTTCTCCCAGAACGCATCTGCAGAGGATAAATTCAACAACTGCCCCAAAGATGTCGACAAACACAAACCCTATGCCCCAGATGTCTACTTCTCCACCATACTGTCGAGCACCGAGGAGTAGTTCTGGAGGACGGTACCACCTTGTCACGACACAGTTTGTATACTTCTTTTCTCTCCCACGCTGATCCATGACTCCATGGATAACGCTCGGATCATACGCACGCGCTAGACCGAAATCTGCTATCCGGAGCGAGCCGTTGTTATCGATGAGAAGATTGGCAGCTTTCATGTCTCGGTGTAGGATGTGATTCTGTGAACGGTCATAAGACAAAATGGAGGGTGAGAAAATGAGGACGAACACGATGCATATATTCCGTTCCTTCCAAAAGTTGTTTCATGTACAATTTGATATGGCTGGGTTGGAGCTTTACTCGCTCGTTCTCCAATAGGCCAGCAAGGTCGTGGTCCATGTATGGAAATACCATGTAAACAGAGAGGGGCGAGTTCTTGCCATTGCCTGGTGCACGGTGTCGGTGATCATGTATGACATACAATATATGAGCACTCACTACGGACGACGAACATATCCAGGATTTCGATGATGCATGAATGGTTCATTGCCTTGAGAATTTTGATCTCGCGCAAGGCAGTTACAGGCATGCCCTCCTTCTCGTTATGCATAAGAATACGTTTGAGGGCCACCAGACGCCCGGTGAGGTGATGCACTGCCTTGTGGACCTCTCTGAGCAAGGTGAGCAGTGCGCTCAGTAGTAGTGCAACAGGCGTAATACATACCCAAAAGTACCTTCGCCGAGTTTCGCAGTGGCGTCGTAGTCACTTTGTTGGCCACAACCTAAAAAGATGTGACCGTATGCCTCCTGCTCTTGCTTTCTCGTACGCTGCACAGGGACACGTTTCCGCTTATGCTCCGCCGGTGGTAATCGTTGCGTCGCGTCAACTGCGGTATCCTTCTTCTCCGTCACCGGTTCTTCATGAGCCGACGGAAGCGGAAGTGGCGACGGAGAGTGGGTGTCTCTAGGCGCTGGGGGCCGTTTCAAAGGAATTGCAATCGAGATAGCTGCGTGAGGGGGTAGGGTATCATCTTTGGGTCGTTCAGGGGTGGGGACGGGAGGTGGAGAAGAAGGTGGTGGTGGTGGTGTGTGGCGGACCTGTATGTGATTTGAAGCCAAAGGTGATGGAGAAGGATGACGAGATACACCCGGGGAAACAGGACGATACTGATCGTCACGGTCGTCATCGTGAGCACGAGGTGCCACAGAACGACGACTCTCCGTATGATAGGTATCGCGATCAGCATCACGCCCTGCTTCAATGTGATTTGGGTGGTCCCTATCATAAGAGTCCCATGAACGTTCGCGTTCGCGACGCGGCGAGTGGCGCATAGGACGACGATAGCGGTCGTCCATCCGTGAGTAGTTGTCATTGTCCGATGGTACCCCCCAGCGATTATGGTCATTATGACGGGCGCGTTCCCAACCCCCATCACGCATCCTTTGGTCATGTAATCTGTCCACGCCATAGTCACGACGAGGCGGACTATAATTGACCGCTGGAGAGCGACGTGAGGGCAATCTGTGCTTTCCTCGGTGTGAAGAAGAAGAGGAGGACCGGGAACGGGAGCGGTCAGGTGAATGAGATGACAATGAAGAAATATCGCGTTCCCTTCCGTAGACACGACCATCATATCTATCTCGTGCTGGAATATAGGTGTCATGAGCAGGCCTATAAGGGTCCCGTGGAAGGTCCCAGGCAGGGGGACGACGGTCGCCTTCTCTACTATAGGAAGGAGGCCAATGATTAGGTATTTGAGCACCACCCCTCTTGCGAGACTGGTCATAGTGAGGCCTGGGCCTGCCGTTGCGCTGGTCATCCTCCCGAATGCGCCTCTCGTCGTCTTCGGATCTCTCATAAACCGAAGGATGCCTTCTATCCATCATAGGACTAATTCTCTGAGTAGAAGGACCAGGCGCATCTGGACCATTTGTTTTCTTCTTGAAAGGAAACTTGACCTTGGTCTCGAACTTGGAAGGAGCTGGCTTGGGTGGTAGGGGAATTACTGTTGGGCGCGGAGAAGGTGGCAAAGAGTCATCGACTTCGCCTTCTTCTGGCGACGATGTGGTAAATCTCTTTGCTGGACGTTCATTATGAGGTACGTCTGGAGCTGCCCGTTTGTTTGAAGTCTGAAGCATTACACGGTGACGAAGAATGAAGTGCGACCACAGGAATTAAAAGCAACTCTCGGAGAAAAAGGTCGGCTGACGTAATATCAATACATTTATGTAAATGAAAATCCGAGTCTTTGTAAGTCAAGTCCCTGACATGAATATGGCGCTATCTAACGATGACCAGATCAAGGAGATTATTGTTATCGGTGCAGGCGTCGTCGGCCTCACCACAGCGTTCAAAATTCAGGAGCAGGGCGCCTATCGTGTCACCATCGTCGCTGAGACCTTACCCACAGATCCAAAGTCAAGCAGATACACCAGTCACTGGGCGGTGAGCAGTTATCTTACCAGACATGTTTAAGTTTTGGCTGATGATCCATAGGGTGCACATCATGTCAGCCATGCTTACGATGATCAAAGACAGCGAAGTATGCTGCTTTTTGACTGCATGAACAAATATGTCACACCCTAGTCATACAGAGCTTGATCAGGATACCTTCCATGCATTATGGCAGCTATCAGAACCAGGTGGTGCAGCCGAGGGTTGTTTCTTGCGCCACACCCAAACTGAATATCACGGAGATGATCTCACTGATGCTGAATGGCTTCATTATATGCCAGATGTATGAACACAGACTTGCATTCATGGCTGTCATTCTCACTTGTATCAGTTCAAATATTTAGATACGAATGAACTTCGTGGTCCAGCAAAGATGGGCTTCTCATTCAGCACAGTCACCATGAATACACCAGCCTACCTCAACTGGCTCATGTCCTCTTTCCTTGCGAAAAACGGGACTATTCTGCGCGTGTCCCTGCAGCACATCAGTCAACTTCTTGAGCGAGGAACCAGTCCGTACACGGGTGCCCATTCATACCGTGACGTCGATGCCATTGTTGTCTGCGCTGGTCTTGGCGCCCGCAGCCTAGGAGGCGTTGAAGATAAGGACGTATATCCAATTCGCGGGCAAACAGTGCTACTTAGAGCTCCTTGGATCAAGTTCGGGAGGACTATGACTGAGGCTGACGGGACTTACACTTATACGATGCCAAGAAGCAATGGCGATGTGCGATTTCTGAGAACCATGCAAGATATGTTCTCTGATTGTTTTATATAGGTGCTGTGCGGCGGCACGAGAGTACCTAATGACTGGTAGTTCTCTCAAATTATCTTTTAGTTGAATTCTCAGCTATTACAGGTACCCGATTCCGCGTCCTGAAATAACTGAGGACATTCTTGCGCGGGCCCTGCAGCTCACCCCAGAGCTTGCACCCCCACAGACACGTGTCGACCGTGAGCCCATCGTCGAGGACCTCCGTCCAATCATTATTGAGCCAGGTTGTGGTCTGCGCCCTGGGAGAAAGAGGTGGCATCAGACTCGAAGTCGAGTGGGTTGATGCGCCCGCGCGAGGTAAAGTGCCTGTGGTGTATAACTACGGGTGAGTGACGTTACACTAGCCCATGCTGCCCTAATTACGTGCACATTTCTAGACACTCTGGTTATGGCTTCTTATCGTCATGGGGCTCAGCGAGCATGGCTTTGGACTTGCTGGAGGGTGCTCTCACAACGGGCGCTCCCACAAATGCAGACATATGCGTCGATCATCCATCTGGAAATTCAGGAAACTGAGGTGATGTGAAAGGCCGCCTATTGTACTAGCAGCGCGTGGAAAGGCGAATGTATGGATGTAGAAACAAGTGTAGGATGACACAAGCAACCAATATCCAAAGTATACAACCGAATCTGTCGTGCGTGGATCAGAAACTGTGGTGATGATCGATTCAATAATGTACCTTGCTATCATCGTCGCTCTCCGCCCTTGTAGAATCCTTGAACACTCTGCGCCGCTTCCGAAGCTCACCTGCGGGCGATGTCTGTGGCAGAGAAATCAATTCTTGCCACCTTCCTTCTGCGAGATTAGCGAGCACCGTGGAATTTTCCTCCGTAGCGAATTTGTCGAAACCGACTCGAATTAGTGTAAGCCACTTACGTGTGATATAGCACCTGGACTGGTCTTGAGCAAGGAGCACAAGATGGCTGATGCGCCTGTAATCGGCTGGACCAGCTTTGAACACAACACGCAATCCAAATTTCAGCCCCGACCACTGGTGAGGGCAACCTCTGCGCTCTTACCCTTGTGTGCTCAGGCGTTCGGCCGTAAGCAAATATGGCGTACTCCACCTTAGCCTCTTCATGTACCAGCATAGCCTTCATAAGAAATATCAGGGGACTAGAGAACACAGTTAGTCCAGGGAGAACTGCTGTAATGTATAATGAGAGACATACTAGAATCTTCGAAGTTCTTCAGGAAAGATTCTTTGCTTCTCCTTCGATTCAAGCACCGAATAGGGACCGGTTGATGTGGACCTCCCCCTTGATATATCGTCTTGTAGTGGCGCCAGGACGATTGTCACTGGTATCGGTCCAGACCGACTCGTGACTCGGCATCCACGTAGATGCCAGGAGGATACGGTGACGATAAATTTCTATCATCCGGCGAGCATCGATGGCTTCATCAATCGGGTTTTCGGAAAGTGAGTTGATAGCGTACTAGTACTGCCGGAAAACACTAGGGCGTTAGAGGATATTGTATTGTGTCTCGGACAGTAGTTCAAGGAAAGCTTTGTGGCCAGGAGTGGGTGGAGCATCAAGACGATAGTGGACAGTGGTGAATTGTCAAGCTGATAATGATTAGTCGATCGGGGAGTGGCAGTGGGCGGGGGCATAAACATGTAGAGCTGGATGCTAATTCAGAAAATGAGACAACCGCGGCGAGGTGGGTAGATGCAAGATGCAAGAAGCTCTACACTACCTTGCTGATTCCCGCACAGACTAACCTCTGCGCTAATTAAGCTCAAACCTCTGTTAGCCCAGAAAATCAACTGTCAGGAGTATGCAGGCCATCCAATGGTAGTAAAATAATGGAGTGCAGAACTGACTCGAGGTGAAGGCGTGCTCCATTATAGTTGACGTCTCATTAAACAGATTAATAGTAATCAATTTAATGTATCGCAACGGCGCCAGCCTCCGACCGAGCATCATAGGGAGCTTCCGGATCCGGTGGCGTACTGATTATGTCAATAGTTAATCCTTGTGGCACTACGTCGGACGAACTCTGCTTGTATTGGGCCGTAGTCACATCCGCGCAACAGGACGAGTACAAGGCCGACGTGGAATGGTTGCAGAGTACGGGGCTGTTATTTTCCCTGAAAATCGTTCCCCTGCCCGCTGATTCCCGATTTCGTATCAGTTTTGCACATATGTGATCCGCTCGAGCAACTCGGGAAATTTCGTATTCAAGCAGGAAATTTCAGATCTGACCCGCTGGCGCTCGACCTCATCATGTTACACCATGACAGAAAGCCAGAGTACGAACTTGTCACCTATAGAGGTCTGGAGTGTGGAACTCCCGCTACCTTTAGGTAGACTCTAGAGGGTCTTTCTTTTTTTTTTTGGACAAGCGAGTCTATTATATAGCTACTGACACTGTCTAGTCCTATATAAACGCTTATAGCGGTATCAGGGATACCGGTCCGAGGAAAAAATGCACTTACGCACTCCCTAGTTACTAGGGGTGTGTGGGGCTCTGTGAACTACCTAGGTTGCCTCGGTCTGCGGGGGCCTGTGTAGTGTAATACCCACTAAAACCTCGAGGGAAGTTATCCAGTTTTTTGGTTTATTTGGTGCAGTGACTTTTGACCATGTTGAGTGGACTAGGTTGTATGTCTTTTTGTTTCTTTTTATTTTGCTTGCTGTTACTCTATCTAGTTGTAAACGTTTGTCTATTGCGTTCATCCACCTTCTTTTTATTTTTTCTTCGTCTTGGGGTATTTCTTGTATTACGCGTTCGCATCTCAATACCCATATTAGGTAAGCTGATTCGGATATGATTATTCTGAGTAATCTTGATGCGCCTCGTTTTGACTCTGCCTTTTTGTTATCTTCTGGGTCTAGTTCATCGGGGTTGTGTGGTATTTTGAGTGATCCGCATCCTAGTATTAGGCCAATTGATATGTTAGGCCAAGGTGCTATTTCTTCGGGCCATAGGGAGTTTGCTAGTTGCCATATAGTTTTTACAGTGACGTTGTTGCATTCTGTTAAAATGTGTTCTATTGATTCAACGTCTTCTTTACATGTAGGGCATAGGGCTCTGTGTTCTAGTGTGGCGATTTGCGACCAGAAGTCTCCTACTTTGTAAGCATTGTTTAACGCTTTATATGTGAAGGTTTGAAATTTTTTGGATAGATCTTTATGTTTTCTATTGAGCCATATTGTTCGGTCTGTCTCAAGTTCATTAGAGACTTCATGGACTGCGTGGCGGGTCATGTCTAGGAGGCCTAGCGTGCGCCTCTTGTATTCTGGGTTTGGGGAGGCTAATATTCCTTTGTATGCTAGGGCTTGCGATATTTTGGAGAGTTTTGCTCCTTGGAGGTCGAAATTCTGTGGTATAGTGGTATTGATTTGATCGTAAGTGTCTTTTGTTGCACCTAGTCCTGCTAGTCTGTCCGCCTCTTCGTTTCCTTTAATCCTGTTGTGGCCTTTTACCCATCTGAAGGCTGTTGGTGCTAATCTGTTTCTTAGGTGGTATGCTGTCGCTTTAAACAGCTCTTTGTTCGCTATGTTTATCCATCCGCGTTCTTCCCAATTTTTTAGGTTTTTTGTTAGTCCGTCTATGACATACCGCGAGTCAGTGATGATTATTGCTGGTGACATTGGGTTTAATGATTGTATTCCGACTAGGACCGCCGTTATCTCTCCCACTTGGTTTGATTGATTTGGACCCGGCACTTTTATCGATTTGTTTAGGGGGTGATTGTCGTCTATCCATATACCGCTTCCACATTGTGCGTTTTCCTTACCATTGTTCAAGCAGGAGCCATCTGTGTATATCTCAATTGTTGGGTCTGATGTCCCTCGTCCTATTCCTGGTCTTGGGTGTCTGTGTGCTGGGTTTTGTAAGTATGTGTTGTTTTCGGTGAATATTCTAAAGCATTCTGTTAGGTTCAAGTTCTCCGTCACCGATGGATCGAACATTATGTCGCTGTTCCTCTGGTTTACTGCTCTTTCGTTTTTTTCTTTTCTCTGGTGTGTAAGTGTTAGATTGTCGTCTGGCGGGATATGTGAGGGATTGAGTTTTGGGGTTAATTTGGTCAGTATGTTCGCGGCCGTGTTTGCGCATTTATGTGGGTTTTTGCAGCCATCTCTTCTATCTATTTTACATTGATCGCATGCGCAGTTACTTCTTGTGTGGTGTGTGGGGTCATTTGTGAGTCTTTTGCTTATTGTTTGTAGGTCTTTGATCGATTTGGCTGTATGGCTGTTTTGTAAACAGGTGTCACGCAGTTTGTTGTATGTGCGTGGGGGTACTCCCATGTGAAACCATGCAGGGAGTTGTTGTTTAAGGTGAGTGGACAGTTTTCTCGGGGCGAAGCTCATTTTATATGTTTTTGCGGCTTTTAGCATTGCTATCACTTCTTTTGGGAGTTTGTTGGTTCTGGGGCCTTGGCACGGCTGGTTTCCACGATGTTAGTAGGGTTTCGATGTCCATAGCAGGTTCTCATTCCCTCCGGTTTCATGGAGTTGATGAGGGCGTCTGTTGTGAAGGCCCATGTGGGGCGGTTAGGTGCAGGTGTCGATATATGAGCTTAACCACGTTATGTTTATCGCTTGGTTTCGCGCTTCTATGTCTAGGAGTCCTATTCCTCCTTCTTCTCTGGGTCTTTGTAGTCTTTTTAGACTTATCAGGGGGGAGCATGTATTGTTCCAGATGAACCTCCTGATGGTTTTGTTTATGGCTGATTCTATTCGTTTTGGCATGCCTTGGGCTTTTGTTAAGAACTGAGTCATTCCTCCAACTAGCATTTGGATTATTAGTTGTTTTCCGTCGAGGGTAGGATGACTCTTGTTCCAGGTGAGTAGTTTCTGTTCGATTTTGTCTATTATTGGTTCCCAGGGTGTAGCGTTATCTATCTCGTTGCCTATCCATGCTCCTAATGATCTGATAGGTGTGCCGTCTTTGGCAATTCTGATATTGTCATTCCATGGGGAGTCTTCTTCGTTTAGTTTTCTCGCGGTTATTATTTCTTCTCTGTGTTTCTTTGTGCCGATCGGTAAGATTTCTGTCTTTTCGAGATTAAATTTTGCTCCTGACGCTAAACACCACTTTTGTAGTATGTTTTGTAGGTCATTGTAGCTGTCTCCTTTTTTAAGGAAAATCGTCGTGTCATCTGCATATAAGTTCACGATTGTCCATTGGGTTAGTCCGGGTATTTTATATCCAGATAGTTTATCTGAGTTTCTTAACTTGCATGCTAGGGGTTCGATCGCTAGATCGAAAAAGAAGGCATGATAATGGGTCACCTTGGCGTACCCCTCTCGTTACTTTGAAGGGGTCACTTAAGAAGCCGTTGATGGCTACTTTGGTGTTAGCATTGTTGTATAGCGATTGTATTGTTCTTGTGAACATATCTGGTAGGCCAAATTTCTGGAGGGTTTTTATTATATAGTCATGTTTTATTTTATCATACGCCTTTTCTTGGTCTAGGGCAACAATTATGCCATCCGTTTCCATGACGTCTGCGTATGCTATCATCATTTGTGTTAGTCTTATTGGATCAAAGATTGATCTTTTCAGTATGAACGCTCTTTGATCTGGGTGTATTAATGTATGTATTTCTTTTGCTAGTAGCATGGCTAGGCATTTTGTTAATGTTTTGTAGTCCGTATTCAGAAGTGTTATTGGTCTATAGTTGTCGATCTAAGCACGGTCTTTTTTTTTTGAATAACGGGCACATCCAGCTGAGTGCGAAGTCTGAGTCTTTTGTTATACCGTGAGTTTGTATGTCGTTGAATACCATTTTAAGGGTTTTTATGACGTTGAAGTTTGGTTTTTCTTTTGATTGATCTTCTTTATGTCTTTCATGTAGTTTCTTCCAGGTTTCGTATGGAATGCTGTCTATACCTGCGGCACTTCCTGCTTTTGATGCGTATAGTGCTTCCTTTATCGTTTGTTCATCTAGTAGGTTGTTCAGTGGGGAGTTTGGTGAGTTCATTCTTTGTTCAGCTGGTATTTCATTAATACATTCGTGTATCGCTTCCTGTCTTCTTTCTTCTAGGGCTTGATGTTCCCCTTGTGTTTGTAGGTCTCAGGTGATATTCTTTGGCGATTTCTGCCATCTTTGCAGAGTTCGTTGTGAATCTGTTAGTGTTGGGTATCCTCATTCAATGTATTAGGTCTCTAGGTTTTCTAGGGTTGTTTATACTTGACCAATATTTGCTTATGGTTTCTCCTTTTATTGACCATTGCGCTTGTGATTTTAGGTTCGCGTTCTTATGGCGTTTTTTCTTGAGGTGCTCTATTTCTTTTTCTAATAGGATCTTATTAATATGTTTGTCTTCAGATGTGTCTATCTCTTGCACGTTTGAGGAGGATCGTACGTCTTTCCTGAGTTTATTTATTCAATGATTTATCTTAGCGAGGTGGGTCTTTGCCGTTTCTTTTGCTTCTGAGTTCATTTGTGTTTTTAGGGATTCCCATAACGTTTGTGGGTTCTCAGTCTCTGTTCTGTTCTGGCTGGTGAGTCTTTCTATTTTTTCTTGTGTTTTTATTCCTAGTTTTATGATTTTGTCTATTAGTGATTTGTCGGATAGGATTCCGAGGGGCCAGGACCTTCTACCTTTACCTATATGTGGGACTCCCGGTGGGGCGAATCTTACGAGCACAATGTTATGATCCGTTGGGATGGAACAACGGTGCAATCTCCATTCTGACGTGCTTTCGTGATGCGTTGTTGATGTATATATTCTGTCCAGGCGCGACATAGTGTTGGTATTACTATTGAATGTGAACATTCTGGTTGTTGGGAAGGTGTGTTGCCACGTATCTTGTATGCTTAGTTCTAGTCTAAAGTCCCTTAGTGCTTCGGCAGCTTGTTCAGTTGTCAGGTTTTGCGGGGGCTCTATCAAGTGGGTCTTCCGTTAAATTAAAATCTCCCATCATGAAGTCCATTGTGCCTAGGTTGTCTAGTCTCCATTTGTTTTTAATGTCATTCCAGAAAGGTGGGTGTTCTCTTGGATCGTTTGGTGCGTATACATTCAATATTTTTATAGTTTTTTTGGCCATGCCATTTGATTGTTAGCGCTATCGCTCTTCCAGGTATGAGGGTGGTCATTTTTGCGTCCGATGTGTTTATCTTTTCTTTGTTTAGCACGAAGGCTACTCCTGCTGAGTTTCCGGTCCTTGTTGGATCACTTGAGTTTAGTACTAACATTTGTCTTCGCGAATAGGGTTTCGATTTGCGATTCATGGTCGTTTGACAGGTGTGTTTCTTGTAGGCATAGAATGTCTATTTTTTCGTCTCTTACTAATTTATTTACTAGTGGCCATTTATTTATTTGGCCTGGGCCGAGCGTGTTGGATGCTCTGCCCTTTATATTCAGTGTGGCGAGAATTATATTCGCACGTGAGCGTTTGTTTGGGTTTGAATACACTGTGTTTGCGTCAACCTGATGAGGTCTGGGGTGTACTACGCCTCCGATCTCCCGAGGTGCTTCATTGAGGGGAGCTCCGGCAATGGAAAGCAGCCTCTCTCTGCTCCTTGGGAGGCTGAAACCATGGCCGAGAAAAGAACCAAGGGGGGGGGGTTGTATTAAGGTTTGTTTCTGTAGTCGATTTTACTTAACTTATCTTACGACTCTGTTACAGTCAAGTACGCCCCTATTCATTTTCCTCCTCTTACATCATTGTATTACATCACGATCGCATCTTGCCGTCGCTAGACGATCTATTCTTGTTATCTCTGACTCGTCTCTATTCTTGTTATCTCTGACTCGTCTCTATTCTTGTTATCTCTGACTCGTCTCTATTCTTGTTATCTCTGACTCGTCTCGTCTTATCTCTGACTCGTCTTATGATCTCATTGTACCGGCCCTAAAGTCGTTACCGTTCACTATATAAACTTGTCCTGTACTATGTAGTTCTTTACTTTAATCTTACTAGGTTTTACCTGGAACTTCCTTCGCTTAAGACCTCCAATCTTAAGTCATATTGAACTTGATTCAAGTCGAGGACACTCTCCTTGTCTTGTCTTAGAACATCGAACTTCGGTATACGCCGAAGTCTTGAACCGACCTTGGCTGATTACTCTTATCGAGTAGCCATACGTCTGAACTATCCTAGTTCGTAACAGACTCTAGATAAGCCAGGGATAGCATTACCCGGCTACCCGGGGGACCATGTTAGCCCTTTCGAAAGACATGACGGCCCGGGCCATTCATGTTTCATACTTGGTGAGAACTTCAGCCTCTCGGCACGGCTCATCCTAAACCTAAATAGGTTTCCATGGTCTGGCATGCGCCATGCTTGTTTGAGATATCTCCCGCTTTCCTGTCCCGCTTTGCGACCAGTATATTTGGGCAGGGAGACTTACTTGCCGGGTCAGATCTCATATGAACCGGGTGAGCATTTTAACGTCTCTCTTTCTCGTTGGGTTCGGGACCCAAGTTGGAGGCGTTATGGTGATTTCCTGTTAGTGCTTTTGGGAAGGTGAAGGAGGGAATGGGACTGTATATTTGCCTGGTAATGTGAGTAATGTGGGACTGATTGGGGCTAAGGATTTCATCTAGGGTAGCATAGCTGGTATGTATGTAGGTGAGCATTTATACCGCTTGGAGAGACTTAGAGTTCCTTGGCGGCCTTAGGTGTGATGGCTCACTCTACCTCCCCTCATCCTGCCGGCTTGCCCAGATTTTAGGGCACTGTTTCTATTTCCTGCCTTAGGGCCATTCCACATGGGGACATTTGGGAATGGGCATAGGCCGCGCGGGTGAGCGAGCGAGTAGTAGATTGTGCACGGGGATAATGCTACTGCTGACCCACATCCATCAAGATCTGTTGGGTAGTCAAGGGAGTGGAGGTAGCTTCTGAGCGCGGTCCAAATCTTCGCGTTTTGCGTCGGACTAGTTGCAAAGATATTGAAACGGGGAGCTGATAGACCTCCCGCGACCTTAAAATCAAGATGTTCGACTCTTATAGATCTGATTAGGTCTCCTGTAGCTTTGTAGATGAGTTCTTCCTTTTCAAAGCCGCATGTGGCGAAAAGGTCGTTTATGTGGGGCCAGATTTCATGGTACGACCAGGCGGCGCCTACAGTCTTATGTATGGTTTCCATGTTCGAGGTAGTGAAGCTGGATAGGCAAAAGAGGAGGTCTGGGGGTTGGCTGCAGTTGAAAGGGAGAGCTTCGAACGTGAGGTCCGACGAAGACCAGATGTGTTGGTTTAAGATGAGGTTCCTTGTTTCCTCGGATACATTGTGGACGAGGAATCCTGTGGGGAAGTCTTTGGAGTCTCTACCCCCCAGAGGTTGTGGGGGGGGGGCTCTGACGGGGGGGCGCCTTGATGTACAAAGTTCGCGATTATAGCGATGTTAGTGCGGATGCGCTCAGCGATGACTGCTGATCTTTCATAAACATCTTTCCCGGTATGTTCAAATACTCGGACTATAAATTTCGGGTGGTTGACTTGGAACCATGCGAGTAGCACTCGGTTATCCAGGTGGTCAAAGACTTGCGCAGAATGTGACATGTAGATGATAGGGAAGCCTCCACTAGGCGTTGGGGTGAACTGAGGGAGGGTTGTGAGGTGATTGGGTGCGTCATGTCTCACTATGGACCTGTTCTGTTCTGCGAGGGCAATATGCGCTAGTATATTCTCTTCTTCCGCTGTTGGAGCACGTGGGAGGTCATGGTAGGGTGGGGCACTCATTTCCTGGTCTGTTGTCATGTTCTGTGGGGCGTGGATGGAGTTCACGAGGTCACTCTGTACCGGTTGTTGGGTGTTCGTGGCAGGGAGGGCAGGGAGGGTGTCCGATTCCTTAGAGGTGCAGGTTTCGGTAGACGATGTATGGTCATGGATGGTACGTGGGGTTGGGGTTGGTGTATTGGGTGGGGATAAGGAGGTTGTTGGGGAGGGTGGGTTGGCGGGGTTGGGAGAGGGTTCCATGTTGTTGTCGTCGTTGAGGACGTTGGGGGGGAAGAATAATGGTCCGGTACGTGGTGTCTGGGATGTATGATGAGGGGTAGATGGGTAAGGACGGGTAGTCTGAGAGAGGGTTTTGATCGAGGTGAGTTCCTTGTCTTTCATCTTCCAGTGGACGGGGGAGATGATTTTGTCCTGCAGGTTATATACTTTTAGATTTCGGTCGCAGCTTACAGGGGATTGGTTTTTGTTATCGGGGAGTCTTCGTGGCCAAGGTGTGCGCTTTTAATTTGATGGTCTGTATGATTTAGTATGACCATGAGTGTGCGTGAAGTTCTCAAGGGTTTGCTTTATCGACAGGCATAGTTAAGCGGTATTATCTGGGGGGTGTACATTTTACGTTCGGCGTAGTTCAATGTCTTGACTTAGATTAGTTTGCGGTTTGTTCAGAATGGTCTCCCGAGATGAGTATTTATCTGTTTTTGTTGGCTTTGATCATGACGTGTTTTGGTTGTTTCTCGAGCAACGTAGGGTTGCGTGTAGTATTTTGTATTGAGGTGGGGAGCGGTTTTAGGTTGCAGGTTCTTATTTATGGCTGGCATTTGTGAGGGTGTTGTCCAGAGGTTTCCATTTATGTCCTTTTGTTAGAGGGTTTATGTATGATGGAGGTTTTGTTATTTTATTAGGGCTAGATTTTGACTATGAGCTGGCGTAGCTCGACCTTGCCCGCGTTTTTGCGTGGGAAAAAAACGACCATGGTTGTGGTTCGAGTTCAAGGGCCCCCAATAGAGGGTCTTTCTTGTCATGTTTCTTCACAAATAGACGGGGTCGAACCCATTAAATGGTAACAAGTTCACACGGTTGCTCGTGCAGTTCAAGTCCGATGCTGTGATTACATCAGCATTGCTTTTGCCCTCTGTTACTTCGAAGGTCTCACTTCGCGCGATCTGTCTGCTTCTTCGTCTTTTGTTACTTCTCATTTTTAGTCCACCGTCTTCTCCGACGAAGTGTTATACATTCCATCCCCTTTCGAGCCTTATTCACTATATTGGATTGTTCTACGAATTTCTCCACTAATTTTATATTCCTTGTGATTGACACAGCGCCGAGCGATGTGGTTTTTGGTTGTGACTGGATGACATATTGTCGGGATATAACAGAGAATCATCGAGAAATCCAATTACCTGCACATGGATGTTGCTCCGGTAAGTCTGTTGTCAGTCTTACAATTGATTGATGTCGTCATATGTTCAGATGATAACAATTCCGTATACGGATCTTCGGTCGACGGTCATATTGCTATTCAGTCGGGTTCTTCCAAATCTGATGACTGTGACAAAGCAGAAGGCAGGATCCGAGAGATACTGCTATGTCGCCGTCACTGTTTTCAGCTGATGGTGTTTAATTATCACCAATCGTGTATGATCACGGACTGCATATAGACTCGTCGCGAGAAGAAATGAAAGCCAATCTTCTGCGTCATTTTTTTCCGGCGTTTGGATTGAAGCAGGAGCTGTGTAACGTGCTCCTCAAGCAAGCTTGCGCGTTGATTTCTCAGCGATTTTCAGAACAATGATTATCACTTGGTTACATACTCCGGGAGGTTTTATCTTCTTTATCATCGGCGTTGTCTGTCGCCTGTCTTAGGGATATGGTCCAGGCTGCGGGGGAAGAAAAATCGCTTGTTCATGCCAACCGCGGAGATTTGATTCGTTTGCTCGCTGATCGATGTTTTCAGGTGACCATCTACATGCAAGAATTGTTCGTTGGATTTGAGGCTTTATCTTATTATTCGTTCTAAGTAACTAAGTACTATTTAGGTGTGACCTATTAAGACAAAAGGTAGCGGGCTCTGCCACGGACGTGGCCCTACACTTATTTTATACTGATACCCAGATGCACTTCCCCAGTTCTGCATTGTCAAATGAGCCCATTAAGCTCGACATAGAGCATACAGTGGTTGAGGATGATCCTCGAATATGGTCAAACACGAAGAAGGCGAGTCTTTCTATCTTAATATGTAAGTAGCAATTGATTGAACACAATCACAGACCGTTATATTGTTCATCATATCTGGAGCCTCGATGTTTTCGGGTTTGGCGGGGAACATACAAAACTGTAGGTTGCGCCCGTGAACATATTGTATCCGATATCGGTTGAACAGCAAGGGAACAGCTGCCAATGCTCAAATCGAGCAAGAGCTACACGCCAGCAGCGGAGGTATCAGCCTGACCTTGTCTCTGTTCGTTCTCGTTCAAGGCAATCTTCCTTTCATTTGGAGCGCGATTAGCGAGATAAAGGGTCGCAAGGTTTGTATTTATAGCTACCTTCAGAGCGTCGTTTGTTCATATGACTGATCCCAGTTCGCGTACCTTCTATCCATCGCACTTTTTATAATTGGATCTGCAATCGTGGCGGTGTCAAGAACTATTGGTTTGGTGATTGGCATGCGAATCGTGCAAGCCGCAGGGTAGGACAGTTCCTCAATCCCTCGTGTTCATGCTCATTTGGAGTAGGTCAAGCGCGGTTTTCGCTATCGGAGCTGCCACTCTGGCCGATATATACGAGTCTCATCAACGAGGTACAATGATGGGTATCTACTACTCTGCACCTCTCCTCGGTCCCTCGTTAGGACCAATCTTTGGTGGTGCACTCACACAGGCCCTCAGCTGGCGGGCGGTTTTCTGGTTTTTAGTCGTCTGGGGAGGCATGATTTTTTTGGCATTCCTTTTCTTGTTCAAGGACACCTTCAGGAAGGAGAGGAGTGCGACTTACCAGAACGTATTGAATTCCAGACTCCGAAAGCAGCAGCAGTCGGAAGCAAAGGACGAGTCGCGACATATTTCGAAGTCAGAAGTGGGCGGAGAAAACCAGACGACTTCGAAAGATATCGAAGCACAACGGACGGTTGTACCATCAACAGCCATTAAAGACGTAAAACTGTCCATGGCTGATGTCAACCCTTTCCCTGCATACTTCTCGATTGTCAGCCGCAAGAATAACCTTTTTATCTTGATAGTATCAGGCGCGTGCTCTCATTTCTTGCTGAAAACTATTTTTATGCCCTATTGCGCCAGGCTTAACCTTTGCGTTTAGTTTTAGTATTATGTATACATGCGCAAGAACATTGTCGATGCACTATAATTATGATGCATTGAAGATCGGCCTTGTTTTGCTTGCCTATGGTGTTGGTGAGCGAATTATAAGCAAATTTGGAATACCTGCCTGACGCATATATTTATCCCAGGCTGCGTAGCCGGCAGCATATTGGGTGGTCGTTGGTCCGATCGGACACTTGCTCGGCTGAAGGCCGCAAACGGAGGGATCAGCTTTCCAGAGGTGAGCATTGAACCACTAACTCTAGCTCGGGATGTAGCTGACGCAAATCCATGCAGATGCGCCTCGAGAGCACGAAAATTGCCATGTTGTGGTCACCTCTATCGGTGATTGGATACGCCTGGGTGTGCCAAGAACGAGTCAATGTCGCCGCCGTGTGCGTGATGCTGTTCCTCACGGGATTTCTACCCATGTACGTTTACCCCGTTTTATATTGTATTTTGCTCTCATCCATGATAGTTGGATCTACACAAGCGCACTGGCATACCTTGTCGATGCAAACATTGGTTGCTCATCAATGGCAGTAGCAACGAATAGTTCCTTCCGTGGTCTGTTTGCTTTTGTCGCCGCCGAGATTGCGGTTCCGTTACAAGTGAGTCAAGGTCATTACAGCTCGCAGAAGGCCGGTTCTAATGTTAGTGTAGGACACAATTGGCGATGGCGGTCTGTATACTCTCTGGGCAGGTCTGATTATCGTCGCTGAGTGCATGATTCTGCTGGTGTTGTACAAAGGCAGGAACTGGAGAGAAGCCAGCGTTGAGCGGGAGAAGCAGAAACTGGATGCTAAGTAAGGAGTGGACGATATAGGCCCGATCGAATATTGAGGGGCAGTAACTTCAAGGTAAGTAACATGGTCATAGAAAGACCAGAATATGACCGTACAAGGACTCGCCTTCGGTCTTTTATAGGTATGATTATTGATATTGAATCCGTCATAGCGCCAGAAATTCTTTTTATCAATCTGATACGTTTTGAAGACCGGCAATGCCGTGAGATGAAGCAGAGGTCGCCATGGTCCTGAGAAAAGAGCTGCAAAAAGGAGACGGAACATGGATGCGCAACAACACAGCATGACGCAGCAGGAAAGAGCTGTCGGAAAGAGATGGAACGCAACAACACAGCGTGATGTGGTGGACGCCATCGCCGGTGAGATCTTCTATCTACATATTGTAAAGACCTGCGGAACCAATTCGTGTCGACCCCATGTGCGGGCTTCACCCGAACCCCTCTTCTACTCCACTTTGGCGCAGGCATGTGTTGCCAGAAATATGTCTGCAGGGGTATGGCAGTGCTCTGATACATCCAATTACATCACGCTATGAGCGAGTGCATTGTTGTATCCGATTTTTCATGGTGCTACAAGGACTGGACTGATACATCTAAACTACAGCTACTGGTGAAATGGACTGTGGCGTTGCGCTTAATGTCCTGGACCAGGCTTTCAACTTCCAAGTGCACTGTGAGTATATAGCACACCGCTTCCATCATTCCTTGACATGTGACGCTAGACATGAGCAAGTTTAGATTTCTGTCAAAGGAAGAATATGTATGGTCATACACGGGTGAAACTCCCGTCCCCCAAACGTATCTCCTAGGATTGACCTTGTCAGTTGCTAGTTGATAATATCGTTCCACCAAAAAAAATAAAAAATAAAAAATAAAATGGCCCGAACCAAGTGAAGATTGCAGGTGAGGAAATAATTGGGTGGGGACAAGCGCCAGAGGCAGCGTTGATGTGAAGTATGGGAGGAAAACGCGGAGACCAGTAAAGAGGCAAATTAATGCGTGTGCAGTCCTTGGAGTATCCATGACTTTTGTAGACCCACACTAACGCTAAAATACGCTATCAGCGTGCTTTAACCAAACCAAGTCCTGCAGTAATTTCAATTAAAATGTACTAATGATCGGGAGAAGCTTGCAGGAACGCCTACCCAAATTAAATATTACACTTCCGTCCAATCTCATCGGCAGAGCTCGAGAAGCAAGGTCATGATACCCTTAAGATATCATCAAAAATGGCTGCATAAACCGCACGTTAAAAGACTTAGTGAACTACTCGCAGTTTGGGATGCGAGATTTTTTGGCTGCATCCAATGCGTATGCAGACCCTGGGTTGGGAGTTAACGGCAAGACTAAAGTGATAGCACAGTGAGGGAAATACATTTCAGTTTGGTGAGAGGTGGTCATGACGCACGCTAGATGTGACCGTTCAGCCTGAGACATGTGAGATGTTGGAGTAACAGCTCGACATGAGAAACAGAAATGATACGCGTACGACCACGACAGTGATCATATTTGAAAGGCATACCCATCGAGCGTTACCAGTCATTGAATGACGGATCAAGAAGCACCGGCTGCACGATCGCAGCGAACACAAGGCATTTTGAAAGCTGTGGAGACACACAACTTGCACAAGTTGCGCAGCCTCAGGCGCAAATTTTTATTACACCGTCAGCATGAGAATTGGAAGCGTGCCGCCTGCAGCCAAAGTTTAGAGCGAACAACCTCGCATCTCGGGTCTGTATTAAGTTTGCTCGCGACAAACTACTCGAGTGTTTAAAGTTGATGAAACGTACACGGTTTTATTCCACGCAGTCCTCCAGAATAAACGATGTATGGTGACGGTGGGACTTATGAAATGGAGCTGTATCGAAGAAAATGGAGGGGCATCACGAGTGGGTGAACAAATTGGCTGCACCACAAGACCGGCGATTGATAACAAGCGATGATTCCGAGGTAGACCCGAGGTAGAGCTCATCAGCTGCAAGTGGGACGGAGACACTAGGGAACCATGAAATTCCAACGCGAGATCAATTTTCTGAGCTTTTCTCCAAATGTTGACAGAGTGCTGCATCAACGCTACAACGACAGAGCTGCCAGCTGCAGTATGGAGCATAGAAACATGGCAATTTCCGAAGGTGAGCATGGCTGAGCCTGTGTCGGGTAAGAAAAGTACACACGTCGCGCACGCTTAAACTATAATTTTACAAGGACTAAAGCTCAAAGACGTGATCAGCTATAGTGCATGTGAATCTTATATCCTAAAAACCATATGGCTCCAGCCGTCTGATGCACTTGGGTTGTGGTCTCTTCCATTCCCCTTTGTTTGGGTCTGGCCATAAGGAAGCACTGTCCTGAAATGGTGGAGCATCGTCTTCATCACCAGGAGGCGGGAAAAACCCAAAGGGCCAAGTAGGCAAGTAGCACATCTCCTGCACGACAAGGTCAGTCATTTCGCAAACAAGTAACTTGGCTTTGTTGCCTCGATACCACAGGCCGGTCGGCACTTCACCCACACGCTCCAGTCTAACCAGGAGATTAACCGTGTCACATCTTCCTTCCATTCGCCCATGAGAGTATGTATGTGATCAGCTTCTGGGAATTGTTCTGGAGGATAGAAAGGGTCGACTCCAACAATCAATCCAGAAGCCCACATCTTTGTGGCAACGCGGCATATTTCACGCGTAGTTTCCCGCACCGCCTGCAGGAGTAAATGTTCAGAGGGCATCAATGTTGTTCCATGAGCTTCTATGGAGGTCGTGTGCGATGTAGCACATTCACGAAAAACTGGTGCAGCCCACGAATTTGTCGCGTTGCCAGTGACAGACGTATTGGTATTAGAAGGTCGAGCTGCAAACAGAGTATAGGGCAAAAGTACAGTGCGCAGTCGTCTCTGGACTTGTTGCGCGTGGTCAAAGATCGACCTATCTTCCAACGTCATGTTCAAAAGGTACTGCAACATATCCAGGCGGCTGGCATATCGATCAGCCACCACACGCAAGACGGTCTTCCAGTCAATGCCACTGGTTGACATGGGTGGTCGTACCAACGCTTGAGCTAGCCTGTCTTGGACACGTTCTATATCCCCTGATGATATTCCTCCCACTCGATGGTCCCACCGCTCCAAACCTACACGACGCGGCACCAAGGAGGGAACAAGAGCGGTGTCATAGAAAGAGATTAGCCCAGAAAAATCAAGCACAATCCGGGTTTCTCCTGGATAATTTTTCGCGCCATGAAGCAGAATGCATTCCTTCATAAACGTGATGCACTGATGTCCGAGAATAAATCAGACCTATGTCAAAACATAGACATGCTCGCTCACCAGTATTGAGGTCCTCTGGAAGATCCGTAGCCGGGCCGACCCCAATGCGAGTGCTCTCGAGATTTAAGAACGAAACGACCTCCATGTGAGAGTTGAAGTCGCAGATCATGATTTCACTATGACCATCGTTAGGATCAAATCACCAAGGAACTATGTATGGGTTCGCACAAATTCAGTTCCATCCTATGACTCACAAATCAGCATCAGGTATTGACGCATCTCAAAATCCAACGAACCTCACAAAGCCATTCACACCATATTTCTGACCCCATTTACACAGATCCATAATGCGCTGCTTTTCATGGTTCAGCCACTCGGGTTTCATTTCCGACCACGCCACGAGATCTTGGGTGTCCATGGTGCCCTCGGGGAGGTTCGCAGCGCTATTTCCGTCAAAATAAAGTACTTTCATCGGCCGAGTGACTGTAAGGGTGAGGTGCCAGCACCCTGTTTCGATTGACCCACGGCAGAAAATTAAGGAAGTGGTCTGGCTCTACAGACACCCAATCTAGAGCGGTCGGTAAATGGGGAACCGGTGATGGCTCCATGGTAGAGGAGAGTGCCTACGGGAATAGTCCCTGGGACTATTGTATGACCTGCAGGACGTAAATGATGAGTCATGACATTTGCGCAGTGTTCAGTATTTTTAGACATACCAATACGATAACGTGTGTTTGCCCAGTGTTGAAGCAGGGAATTGGCCGTTTCGAACACCAGATGTCCTGTCGCGTTCACCGCAGGCGCTTCACCAAGATCCCATCGTCCAAGATCATTTTCGACCCCCTGGTAAAAGGATAAAGGCGCATGACTCGACAGAGGTGTCTGTGCAGTCAGAACCCGTTCAAAGGCAAGGAAAAGCCAAACGGCTGCGGATTTCCTGGCAGAAAACATGAGTGCGTAGTGCCAGGTAGTGACCTGTTAGCATTAATGCCGAACTAGGCTCCCAACAGGGTGGGAAACAACACCACATACCACTTTTTAGCTTTTCATCGTTGTGTCTGCCAGTGCCACTACTCTCTCCCATACAGAACGTAGGTGTGTACTGAGAGGGCTGCTCAATTCTAAAAGTTCGAGTTCACCTGCAGGGATCCGAGCACCGCTAAGCGTCGCTAAACCTGTCCTAAACGGGACTGGTACCTAAACCTTACGGCGCGCAGCGCCATCGCTTGGTGTCAAGCAAATTATCTACAAGCAGTCTTAAAGCACACCTAACCGTGACCTTGTACATGTTGTATAAATATCAGTAGGTTCCAGTATACATAGGGAATCATTTTGACGCCGATCATCGATGTGCATTGATTCATCCACAGTAACTGGAGATACTGTTTCATGGCCGACCCGGTTCCAATGGGACGTCGTTTGGAAGGTCGTCCTCAAAATGTGCAGAATACCTTGCATGCCTGGCTCGGTACGAGGATGGGCTCATAACCATGCAGACTGCGAATCCGTTATCGGTTGTCCGAGTCCAACATTGTTGCCTTGTCCTCCGTGAAGGTCGCGCCTTCTTGCCCACTGTCTATCGCCTTCAAGCTCCTGTTTGAATGTTCAGAACGTGGTAAGATTGTTGAGCAGGTTTCGAACGAGGTGGAATCTTGTACATTCAACATTCAAGACTCGCAGCCCCACCGGTGACCACTTGAATATGTTTCCACTATGCTTACTTAACTTAGTGTCTTCTACTTTTACAGCAAACTGGGCCGAGCATTTCTTTTTCTCCCTCGCAATCCAGTGCATCTTCATCTGTCGTGCATGGGTCAGAGACTGTGGTCATGATCAATTACTATGCCTTACCGTCATCATGACTCTCTGCCGCTGTATAATCCTCGAACACTCTGCACCGCTTCGGAAACTCGCCTACGGGCGAGGTCTGTGGCAAAGAAGGGAATTCTTCCCACTTTCCTGCTGCAAGGTCGGCAAGCACCGCGACATTCTCCTCTGCAGTAAATTTGTCAAACCCGGCTCACAACACGGCAAACCGCTTGCGCGTGATATAGCGCCTGGATTGGTCTTGAGCAAGGAGCACCAGATGGCTGATGTGCTGGGTTATAAAGGCGACCTATACCGGCTTCGAATACGGCCCAAATTTCTCCTTGGTCACCAGTGAGGGCGACTTCTGCAGCCATACCATTGATATTCTTGGAAGTTGGGCCGTCCGTGAAGATCGAAGTCGCCAACTTGGCTTCTTTATGTACCAACGCAGAAATGTCAAAAAACTAATTGAAAGCAGAGTTGCAGTTAGTTCTAAGGGAGATGTTATGATGACAGACATACTGGAGTTTGGGAAGCTTATCGGTGGATATTGTTCCTCCAACTTGCTCGTTCTTCAATTCGAACCAAGCAATGAACAGCGAACGGTCGACGTAGGCTTCCCCTTGACTCACAACATCTCGTCTTGCGGTGGTGCTAAGACAAGTGACAATGGTATCCGGCCAACCCAACTCCAGAAAAAGTGATTCAACGTAGATGTCAGGAGGATACGGTGTAAGGTAACGACTAATTTTTGTCACCCGAGCCACAGCTTCATCGGTCAGGTTGTCTGAAAGTGAGTTGATAGCGTGGTTCCGGAGAATGCGAGAGCATGCGAGGATGTTGTTATGCGTCTCTGAAAGAAATTCCAGAAAGATTTCCTGATCAAGAATTATAATGGATGTATGATAACCAAGGCATGATAATGTCATTTCGCCCCTATCTTTGGCGTCACTGGTGCCGGTTGATCATCACAGCGGTCTGCTCCAAAATATTATCGCTTGCGAGCATACTCTTTTTCGTCTCAACATTCTGGTTTACATGACTCACCGACATCGTTTATCTTCGGAATAATTCAATTAATAGTGGGTGACTTCCTGTAAGAATTTAACGTTTTGACAACTTGATGTCGGCTAACTTACGGACAATATCTGCAAACCGTAATTAATAGACATAGAACGTGAGTTTACAGCTGTTTTTCCTTAATCTGGGCTCTGTCATGGATATCGAAGCATGCATGAAGCTTCGCTGATGATGAGTACTGCTTGATAGAGATTTATTCCGGCCTGTCACCTCCTGTCACACTCCCTTGGCAGCACTTTTCCGATGAAGTTCTCGAGACATGCAGCAGTTATACTGATTGACACAACAACTATTACAAAACATAGTAGCTACTGGGGTATGAACATTCCCGCTCGGTGAGTGACTAAAGTGGCCAAGCAAATCCGATGCAGGAGAGTTATACGGAGTGTTGAATCACTCTGCGCGAACCTCACTGGATCCATAAATATCTGGAGGTGGGAAATCACCAAGGTAGCGGGAATGACGGAAGCCACGCTGGTATAAGGTATTGCGGGGGTGGAGAGAGTGACGAGTCGCAGTTAAAAATCAGTCACTTCGCGCTGATCCAGGACCTCGCGATGACGGACATAGTAACGGTGGTTGTGCGGGTGCAGAGGGTCACGAGAATGACCATGGGAAGGACGACGAGGGTCATGCTGAACATCATCACGAGGGTCGTGGAGAGGCTCGGGCTCGCGGGGGTTGTGTACAGACCAGTGATGCCGGCACGACTTGGTGGATCAAACCACTCGCAGTCTGTCGTTGGATCAGTAATGATTTTGGTCAGGCCAGAGGGTGTCAGATAATGAATGAACGGACTTGCAGCCTGACGACAGAACAGCAATTGCCCTGATACGCTCACAACCTGTTCGGTGCCATGCAAGGTGATTGATGGCTGGGAATAGCAGGAGGTACTAACCAAATAGTTGCCATTTTCGTCCAGCTGGTCTGATCACTCCCAGCGGTTTTTGGATCGTGATGACTTGCATTATCGAGCCCTGAAATAGTGACTGGCCTTGGATAAGCGAAGTCAAAGCCAGAGCGTCCAGCAGAGCGTCGCGAGGCAGACCACGTTCTTAGCACCCGCTGCAGTCACCCGTCTCCTAGGATAAGAGTCTGTTAGCTAGGGAAAGATGGGAAATGGCAGCGGTTTCGAACCTGGGAAAGTTCTCGTCAGCCTGAGGGGGCGTAGTACCACTACCCCAACCTTCTCGTTTTGTTTAGGACAATGCTACTGAGCTTATATATCTAGTGGGAGTACAGGCTCTGTCGCACGACTGCAACCGCGAAACGAGGACCGGCCAGTTGCGTCCAGTAAACATGACCCACCGGCAGGGTAGTTTACGGTTGGGTGAAAGCTGGGTAGAACGGCCTTTAGCACATCGAGACCCCACTAAACCCACTTACCAAGGGACCCGATTCGGCTGTTTCCGAACCGAACAGTGTCTCGGTGCCTGAGAGATGATGATACGACTGGCAGGCTTAAAATAGTATTTGAATCACCTTCTTCAAGTCGAACCATCATAAATACTGTGCTCTGATCAGTGATTACGCAGTACTGCGATCATCGTAATTCATGCATCATGATATCATGATCAGATATCTGACAACAAGGCACCCTCCAAACCCGAGGCCTAAGGCCTGAGCGCTCTACGTTACCGCACACTCACAGTCCTCGATACTTGCCGTTGACTCTCACAGCTGTGCGACAATAGCATCACTCTCACGGTTGCGAGTGCACATTCAAGTTATAGTACATATTGACAACTGCTTCAAGTTGCAGCACACTTCAATTCACCTCACTGTTGTGCCACTCGAAAATGTCAGTCTCGGACCCCTTCGGTTTGCAGTTAGCCAAGGTGATCCAATCGTGCTTTTGTCCAGCCTTTCTCTAATGTCTCTAATTTTTGAAGTACACTAATGGTGAGGTTGAGCTGGTGACAATCTTATCGTTATTCACGACCCTCCAAAGTCGCTGCATCAGCAATCCTAGTAAGTCGTGTCTCTTCAGTCTCTTTATAGCCCTGATGTATGACCAGATTTATGACTACTTTGTCACCTTACACTCTGAAGTCAGACAAATCAGCCACCCGCACCTCAGTGCTGATATTCCTTGTAGGTCCAATGGGCCTGGGGACGGAAGTGGGGAATCATTCGGATTGCCTTCACGATTTCACGATATGTACCTTTTGCTGGTGCACTTATGACTTCGTACTGTAAGTACGCCGGTGCGCGCTACCACGCAAAAGCTGATTCCTAACCAGCCGCTGTCAAGACATGGGGCACGCAAGATGTGAGCACACCTTTAATCTGTGCAACACCGATTTCAACTCACATCAATATAGTGCGCACCTTTTAACGATGCCGTAAATGGTTGGTCCACATGGCTCATAACATGACTTGCCAGTGACATTTCGCAGGCATACATTTTTTGGGCATCATCGCCTCGGAAGGTTGGCTTTCGCATACCAAGTTACAGCGTGCATTTACGCTCGCAAGACAGGTTTATTGATTTCTAGGGTCTACGCCTTCTCTGGCAACAAAAGGGCTTATCTTATCACTCTTCTTTCCTTTGGTTTGGTACAATGATATCTCTATTTCCCTGTGCACCACTAACCTGTATTGTGCAGGCGATCTTGGTGACGTCTGTGATTCTAAGTGCTGCCCCCATCAATTTCAATATCCCAGAACCAGGTGAGGTCTCAAGGCTCGCTCCTTAGTCGCAGTATTCACCTCCTTTCAGTCACGCCGCCTTGTGTGTTGGAGGGGGCTCGTAGTAGTGCCATCCCATATGGACTCTTGATGTTATTCGAGATAGGTGAGGCGACTATTGATCCAAAAATCCTTACTTGATAGTTCACTTCTAGCTCTCATGTCCACTACTGCAATTTTGAGATATCGACACTATCTGGATTCTCATAGTGTGCTGGTGAAGAATATTTATCGTGATGGACTACTCTACATGTTCTGCATCATGAGTATGAATGTCAGTGTTACTATTCATTTCGTGCTGACATCTCTGTAGTGATATCTACAGCCAATGTCATCGTTATCGCTGCGTTGCCTGTGAGTTCTTTCTTTGTTTTCGTCGACCTCGAAGAACTGAGTACGCCCCCTAGATCTCGTACAGCGAGATGCTAAACACGTTAGTCTGGTCAAGCATATAGGTAGTCGAAAGCTCACATTCCTCATTTTAGACCTCAGATTGTAGCGCACAGTGTTCTTGCTTCTCGAATACTATTCAATCTTCAAGTAAGCAGGGAGGAACCGCTCTTGCACACCTACCGATCGACTAAGGCTAATGCAATGGAATTACTATCCCGTCCACATGAATTCCAAGCGCGGTCTAGAGGCAGTGTGACAGCTTGTGAGCCAGATGAAGCTTAGACCTGCTGACAGCTCTGTGAGTCGCACATATAACGCTTGTTATTTGAGCTTGCTGACTATGCTCGCTTCTTTCAGCTTGTATTTTCCGTGTCCTTCGTATTTTAGTGGTGAGCTACTCTACCCAGGCGTATACGTTCTCTGTGCTAATAAACACATCGATGCACAAGTCTTTTTACAAAACAAATATCCTGATTTATTGATATTCATGGCGTTTACGACGTCAGATGCAGTTTGCGGCTCGATCTTTCTTTGATTTCACTTCGCATTTCTTCCAGCCTTGCGAGAATTGACCCGCGCCTTGGACCCACATGTTGATACTCAAATGAGCCACTCGTTGCAAATAGTCTCCTGCTTGCCCGACGGAAATTCGGGTTCGATGCAGACAAGATGCAGAGGCTGAGTAGTTTCATGCAAACTGCATCCCAGTGCTCTTCTTGTCCTCTACTCGTCATCCCCACCAACCAGTCATCGGAGATGTTCCAAGGAGGACGGGCACATCATCACACTAGCTTCATCTGGTATGTTTGTGCCCAATATTATATTCCTTAATGGAGGGTCGTCTTTCGTATTGCGACTACGCTCGTCCATTTCCTCACTTCCACTTGTTCTTCGATTTTCGCACGTTCTTCTACGCCCCATACGTCGCATATCCTTGTACCATTACTCTCATGGTACTCTTGTTGTTACCAGCTGTACTGCATGCAACCAACTACGTTCCTTCCCATTGACCCGGTTCTCTCAACATTTAAACCCGTGTGTGCTGTGTGCAACCGAAGCCAAACGACCCCGCAACATCCAGACACGACCCCGCTGCTGCTGTTTGTTCTATCCACTTTGGGAAGAACACACTCTTCTCTCGATTGGTTTCGCTCCACCGCATCTCTGATCACATCATTCGCTGCCCAATAATCGTTCCATGCTCTCAAAAACCTGCTACCCAATCACCTTTCTAACATGTCGTTCGCTCAAACTACCCCAAATTCGAATGCAATGCTACATACATACAACAGACTATGATTAACTGTACACTCGATACCATACTCCACGAAGTGTCTCTGGCATCTCCGCAACTGGAACAAGATCATCGTAATCAAGAGCTACAATGATCGAATTGATTAACTGCAAGGAACGGAAAAGACAGGAGATTGCTCGTAGCAGTGCTGTCAGCATGTCCCATGTCCCATGTCCCATGCGACTCAAATCAAACTCTGGACCTCCGCTAGGTAACACTAATGCAGTCCGAGGATTAAAAAATGGGTTTCGAGAAGCGGCTGGTACCCAGAATAAGAGCCGACGGTTTAGTCCCATCATCCATCCATCCTCTCCCAAAAGAGCGAACGTTAACCTGTGGTCATCATGGGCGGTGCCTGCGACTCCGAGTAGCTCAGCAGTGTCGTGCAGTACATGAGTTGAGTTTGATGAGAAGGAAATGAAGTCATTGTTCGCAGTGTTGGGTGTGGGGATGGCTACTGTTGGATGTGGTATGCAACTGCCATGCGGGGAGGATGCTGAACAGTCTTCTTCGATGTGGTCCTGCAATGACTTCCCAATCGCTGCATACTATACCCGGATAGTCCCATCATATGAACAAGAAACGATGCGAGTCCCATCCCGCGAGAAAGAGACTGAGTTGACCACGTACAGAAATCTTCTTCGTTACAACATCCTTGACCCTCCTCAGAAACCGACATGTAACTTTGTTTGGCGGTTGGACCTGGACAGATGGGGCAACGGAGTCAGCGTTTGAGGGTGCGATAGATAGGCGATGCTCATAAGCAACATACCGAGCGTCTGCGAGCAACTGCTGTGGTACCTGGAGGAACTGAGCTCAAGGCCTTCAATTGACTGCTGTCAAATAGTCAATAATCAGTCTGAGCGAAGTAGTCAACAAGTAACAGGCCATAGCCTTGATCGCGGCAATATCTATTTGCTGCTGTGTTGATGTGGCGGTATGCCTTGATCGAGGAGCATAGGAACCGGCCACGAGAGCCCAGACCGCTGTCTCCCTTAAGTAGTGTCCAAGACCTCACATGAATGAGAACTTGAATGGCATATGACATTAATTAGTCTGTGCGCCTGCACTTCCTCTTCGCTCTCCTGGCGCCCTATAGTACTCAGTACTAGTTTCAGACCCAACGTCCGCTCCGATACTAAATCAGTTAGCGCTCCGGAGTCCGAAGGGTTATTTTTTTCCTCCTCCCGATACCCGTTGACTTTTGTCTCGATGCACGCGCCTCGAATCGGGTACTCCGAGCTTTATATAGTCTCGGTCAAGCAACGCCAGCCCTTCCCACACAAATATTCAAATCCTCTAGCTTATCGATTCAAAACCCACGAAGATTTGCTTATCCTCAGAATTCTCTTTCATCGCGATTCTAGATGTTTACTATCGCTACCCATGGCCAGGCTCAGCAAATGTCATCCCTCTTTTATCTCTTCCTCAAAGATTAACTTGGTCTCTTCCCTCCGACACGTTTAATCTTCTTCTTCGCTTCACATACAATTTGATACAAAGGTCTGCAGCAGAGGAGACTCGATGTTTGGAATGGAAGGGCGTAAGTACCAAGTGCGTACTATGTATATATAGCACTACTAGAGTACTGAGCGCTAAAGCTGAAATGCAGTGTTTTGAATTATATCTTTGATGTAGGAGAGACGGAATCCGAACGCAGACGAGGCTACTGCAATTTACAGGTCTTTACTTACAAGGAGGTAACTTCACAGGTACTCTACAGCATGCACAGCAACCTCGTGGCCTTCTGCAACCGGACAAGCGCCCAACGCCTAATACCCAGCACATCGTCCTTGAATTGTATCACCCATCATCATCCAGCAAACTTGCCATCCCATATCCATCGCGCTTCGGGACCATTGACAGATTACTTCGACTCCAACAAATCCACACTTTGATTCAAATCTTCGTACCTCGAGATAAACATCACCCAGACGATTTCTAATCGCACCCAGCTAGTACTCTCAATTTGTCCATTTCATCACGCATCTCACAACCTTCGTGAATGAGTGAGGAACAATGTCGGTTTTTCTCACTCTTGTCCCTCTCTCACTTTCTGACCTTTTTGACAGTCATTCAAGGAACTTGGGCGAGGCTGTCCCAGGTTGCTGTCAACGGTGCTGAATACAACTCCCGAGAACGTCAGCCCCACCCGAAATGTTTGAAAGGGACCCGCGTGGATCTCCTCACCTACATATACGAATTTCTAGACGACCCAGAGGAGAATCGACTCATTTGGTTGCATGGCACGGCAGGCGTCGGAAAGTCTGCTGTTGCATTCACTGTAGCTGAGAGGATGAGAGGTATAAAGGCGACAGAGCAGACTAATGTCGAAAAGCGGCTCGGAAGAACATTCTTTTTCTCGCGCAAGCACACGAAACGTTGCACGACTGGGTACTTTTTCATGACTCTTGTCTATCAGCTTGCCACAAATTTTCCCAGCATCCGGAAGGATGTGAACAAAGCTATCCGCGACAATCCCGCTCTACTAGACCCAGACAAGTCTCTCTGCAACCAGATGGAGGCTCTCTTTCTCCAACCTCTCCGAAATCTTGAAGTTAGATTGCGCGGGTGTCCGCCTTTGACATTTGTTGTCGATGCCCTTGATGAATGCACATCCGAACCCGAGGTTACCGATCTTATCCTTTCCCTTGCACGGGCTCTTCGTGAGCCTAATCTACCCGTGACACAAATTCTACTCACGAGTCGCTCGGAATCGCATATCTGCAAAGCCTTTCAGAACGAGGAGGTGCGGCCGTTGTTGTGCGAAATACCAGTGAAAACTTCTGGGGAGGGTGTTGCTACCATCATCTCGCTCGACGGCGCCGATGTTGACAACGACATCTATATTTTCTTGCAGCATTCCTTCGCAGAGCTGGCAAGTCGCCATACTGATTTCCCTCAGCCATCGAAGGATGATCTTGCGGAGCTGGCGAGTCGAGCGGGCAGACGTTTCATCGTGGCGTCTACGATGATGAAGTTTATTATCGACGATGAAGACGATGATCCCCATGGTCGGCTGCAGCTGATGCTCAAGCTGACGAGCGAACTGCTGCCAGAAACGGAGGTGTACAAGTTATACGATTCTATCCTTTCCACGTGTGCTGACCCCAAGCGGGCTTACATGCACTTGTCCATCGTCACCGCCCTCGCAGACCCTCTTCCCATCTCGCAAATCTCGTCACTTCTTGGCCCTGGTTTGGGGAGAGATGTGCAGACAACGCTGATCCAGCTACGGTCTGTCATAGATATCCCTACAGACAGCACTCTCCCCGTGAATATCTATCACTCGTCCATTCGCGACTATGTTTCCGACCCCTCAAACTGCAGCCTCCCTCAAGTACGCGAACATGATATGCCATCACCCCACTCCCTACTCGCTGATTCCTCTTTTCGCTTGATGACGAAAAATATTCCAGAAAGCACGGCCCTTTTGGATGCGGTCTCAGAACTGAAGAAACAGAGCCAAGCTATGCAACCTGAGGACCCCCATCGATTAAAAAATTCGCTATCCTTCCTGGTTCGGCCACCAGAGCCACTGTCAGTTCTCATCTGTATGCTATGGCTTCGGGGAGATCGTACTTCAGATTTACAATATTGGCTGGGAACCGTGGACGGGTGTGCCTGGGTGCAGACTACGAATGGGCGAGACTGGCTGCAGACTGAGGGAGCACGAGATTGGGTGGAGACCGAGGGAGCACGAGAGTGGCTGCAAACCCAGGGAGGGCGAGAGTGGCTGCAGACCTGGGGAGGAATAGTGTGGCTACAGACCTGGGGAGGACGACACTGGGTGCAGACCAAGGGAGGACGAGAGTGGCTACCGACCAAGGCAGGAGAAGAGTGGTTGGAGACCGAGGCAGGACGAGAGTGGCTGCAGACCCAGAGAGGACGAGAGTGGCTGCAGACCGAGGGAGGGCGAGAGTGGTTGGAGACCGAGGGTGGACGATACTGGCTGCAGACCGAGACAGGACGACGGTGGCTGCAGATC